CCCCCCCCCTTTCTTCCTTCTCCCCATTTCATTAAGCATCGTACACCATGACCACCCGCTACACTGAAGTCCACAAGGAGCCCTAGGGACCTGGCGATTCTCGCCCTACCGCCTTCCAGGTGAAAGATGAAGGCCTGGAAGGCCAACTGGCCGACAAGTCCATCTTCATCACCGGCGCCTCTTTAGGAATTGGCGTCGAATCTGCCAAGAGCTTTCTGCGGTATCTGTCTTTATGTATACATAGACTCTGATCACCTGTGGTCTTGATAGATGGCATGTTCTGGTAAAGAATGATGTAAATACGATAACCAAGAACACCAATGTATCATATCCATATGCAAGGCTATTTTTGCTTGAATTCATTCTATAAATGCGCTCATGCTGGCATACAAACATATTTCACTGTCCGTTTTCCGCACCTGCTCCTTCATATTCGAGATACCGTTTGTAAACGCATATCATAGCAAGATATGGGGTTTTATTTTTACAGCTATTTAGTTAAATAATGCAATAAATTGAATTCTTAAGTGCACAAATGGACTCACAATCCAAGTCTCCAAATTGTTGGAGTAGGTTCCTCTTTACCCCCGCTCGCCGCGGCGCTCAGAGCTAACATTACATAGTAAATAGATTAGGGTTATTCACTTCTGTCGGACATAAACGGAGAAGCTGTAACCATAGGCAGATAAGCAGATACTTGCTATCCTGGCCAAGATGAAGTCGATCAGATAAACTGCAAGATCATACAGGCACATATTTCTCTTAGGAACGAGTATTCTCAGTTACTCTTATTTAGGCCCTTCCTCGATTGGATAGCTTGAAATATAAGAGCCCAAGCCAACTGCCGGCTAGAATTTCTAGAGCAAACTAGATTTGAGATGTTGGCGAAGATGATTCAATACATCAAACAACAAGCATTGTACCTTGCAATACTATGCAGCGCAGCACTGACTTTGAACAGAGTCTCCCCTGCTAATGCAGAAAACTTAGCACATGGCCGAGTCACCGTATTGGATGGAATCCCTTATTATGTGGACGATATCCCGGTGTCTCGGCTGCTCGATGTACCGGCATCTACGCTGAACTCCGCCAACCTTTCTGATGTTGATATTTTGCCTATGACCGTCATATCTAGCAATACCTCCGATTTTACCGGCAGTGAGCTCAATGCTACTATAGCCGAGTACTCTACGCGAGATGATGTGTTTAGCTTGGCTTTCCTTAACAGTAAGTAAATTCCAACTGCTGTATGGAATTATGGAAAACTGAAACTTGCACATCAGCAATCTACCTCACGAACACTAAACACGGCTCCGCTGCTATCGATGTGCAATCAACACTTCCGGAGCTTCACAGAAACGGCAATTCGGTTCTCATGGTCTCGCCAGAGTACCACCCTAGTGAAACAGCTCATCCAGCGATGAAGACGCGTCTTTCGCTGGAATTGTCGGTTGGTCCTTACTTTCTGTCGACAAAAACTGGACAGATCTTTAAGGCACATCGACTGTATGAGGACCCTCAAATGGCTTTTCTTGAATCCTCAGTCAGCGACGGAATGGGTGGATACCGCCCACCTCCTGGACGGAGTATCGCTGTTCCTTCACGGTTATACTATACAGTAACAGCAGAGAAGCCTTTGGCTGGTGTACGTCTGCATCTCTCCTGTTCCCAGCTCATCTTCAATACTGAATCCTCAATAGCTTCGGCTCGGAGTAAAGGACATATACCACATCAAAGGACTGCGAACGAGTGGCGGAAATCGTGCATACTATTCCCTGTATGGACCGCGCAATGCCACAGGCACGGCTGTTCAGCGTCTCATTAATAAGGGTGCTGTCTTTGTGGGGAAGATGGGCACCGTCCAATTTGCCAATGGTGACAGGCCTACTGCTGATTGGGTGGACTTTCACTGCCCTTTCAACCCTCGAGTAAGTCCCTTTTCTACTATTTTTAAACCTTCATACACAGATTAATAAATTCGCTTCTAGGGGGATGGCTACCAGGACCCCAGCGGTTCCTCCACCGGCCCTGGCGCTGGTATGGGCGCATACGACTGGCTTGACATCGCCGTGGGGAGTGACACAGGCGGTTCGATGCGTGGCCCAGCCGGCGCTCAGGGCTTATTCGGCAATCGACCCAGCACGGGCGCTGTTCAATTAGATAACGTCATTCCTCTTTGCTCTGGTCTCGATACCGCGGGCGTCTTTGCTCGGAGTGCGCATACTTGGGCTCGTGTCGCCCATACCTGGTATCAATACTTCGATGGCGACTATCGGTCATACCCTAAAAGGCTCTTGTATCCGAGAAACTCGTTCACGCCAAAGGCTATTAACAACACAGATGCGTCAGCAGTGATTGAGAGATTTGTGCTAAAGCTAGAAACGTTCCTTGGGGCGCAGCGCACCCATGTCGATATCAATTCTGCTTGGAATTCCACCCGGCCCTCTGACGCGCCCGATACTACATTGCAAGACATGCTACACTATGTAAAAGACCCTACGCCACCCCAGTTAATGAAATCACTAACCTAATCAATATAGACATACGGAACCCTCATTTCCGTACACCAATGGCTTCACCTCGGTGCTCCTTTTTTCCAAGACTACGCTGCAAAGCACGATGATCGCACTCCATACATAAATCCCGGTCCCCTACTTCGCTGGAACATTGGCAAGGAAGCACAGCAAGAAGGGTGGGATAAAGCGTGGCAGAACAAGACTATCTTCCAGCATTGGTGGAATGGGGATACCGGTTTCGGAGCTCATGATAATGAAACTTGCTCCGACGCCATCTACATCTATCCGAACAGTGTGGGATCTGTCAGTTACCGTGATGAATATTTCGGGTAGGATGTCATCCCCAATTCCTCGTACATGTGAAAACACTGACATTTCTTAGCCCTCCGTCGCCTCCATTCTGGGGTATGAGCGATAGCAACATTGCTGTTTTCGCTGGAGTTCCAGACCTGGTTGTTCCAAGTATGTCACCCTGCCTGCCTGTGTTCTTTTGCGCAAGTCTTTTCTAATACCACGTTTCTGTTCTAGTTGGCGAAGTCCCTTACAACAGCACCAAGAGCGGCAAGACTGAGTATCTGCCTGTCACTATGAGCTTGGTCGCGGCTCGCAGCTGTGACCTGATGCTGGCAAATATGGTTCGGGAAATGGAAGCACAGGACATACTCAGGCCAGTTGCTGTTGGTCCAATGTTGTACCCTTCGAAGGGTTATCCATCTTCAAATGTTGGAGGTAAACTCGACTATTTAGGATAGCTCTTGGGTAATGAAAAGGCCTTATGGCTCTCTATAGTTATTATTCAAGGTCACTATATAACAAATTCATTATTATGATCCCCTCCCCCCAAAAAAAAGATACTTGCGACATGCTCAAGGAAATTCCCTGGCTGCTCCAAGACTATTTAGATGTCTTGCCTTGTAATGATTGCTCAGTTTCTCTTGATTAGACCCTCTCCGGTATGTCCAGGAGAATCACGAGTGATCTTCCATGACTTCTTAAGTTATTAGACTGCGTAAATCTTCTTGACGTGGTGATACTATCGAGGTTTTCTCCAAGGATAAGAATGAGAATCGGATTTAAAATAGACTTGATAACTGATTTGGCTTCAAATATATAGTTCGAGGTGAGTCTCAAACGTGATATAAAGATGGAACTCATTTCAATGACTAAATAGACAAGAAGCTGGTGATTGAAGTGAATAATATGGTATACTTACTATGGAAGCACATGACGGATGATCCATGAATCCGAATATATACATCAACGGAATCTTCTATTCCACCAAGGATGGAACTCTACAAACGTCATGAAATTATGAATAGCGAGCAACTTTATCCATCAACTACTTAAAGATTGAATCTATCACCTCACCAGTCAAGCCATCAAAACGCCACTTTATCGCACCTGTATACTCGGCATGCCCGATGCGATCAAAGGCAGTAAGCCACCAGCCCCCGTAAGGAAACTTCAATCAAGCAATAAGCACTAGTACTACCGGTATGATCTTACTTGGCGCGAACAGCTGGAGATAAAAGACGGCGATCTAGTGACCTATCACACCTGTCAAATCGTGCCTGTTCCAGCCGCAATTTAGTTCCCGCCTAGTAAAATAGACCAATCGGCAAAAGTTCGCGGCTTCTGGCATGGGACTTCTGTTTTTGTTTGCCTTTGAGAATGGTATGCCGGCCGTCCCGGTAGTTACGTGGTTAGCAAATAGCGTGTCGTGAGTTGATTGTAAATAGATTAATGCGGCCCCATCCCGAGTACAAGGATTGTTGGAACAGAACAAAAAAAAAGCGCTCGGATCCGGTGAGACACTCACGGCAAGAGACAGACCAGATTGATGAGCCGCGTGGGTCCAGATCGCAATTGCGAAAAAGACGGATAAGTTCCTCCAAATCTAATGGTAAGGGCGAGCTTGCGACAGACACCTGCTCGGGCTCCACTGCGCAGCCGTCATGCCGTCGCTGCCGCCGTCATGGATCATCGGAACCGGAAATCGGATCTGGTTCTCTTTGGACGTGTTCCATTGACCAACCAACAAGGCCATTAAATTTAACTAGGGGCTGGGCAACCTAAGTCCAATTTTTTGGTCCCCACTGTCAGCCTGTCAGTCGACAATCATAATGTTTCTTGCGGTCACCGTCACATGCACGGCGGACGGGGAAAAGCACGAAGCCTTTCTTGGAATGTGTTGGGCTGAGTCGCGAGATTTCGAGACATGACTTGCAGGAATTATGTTCCAGAGTGGCATCGCGTGCTGCGAAATGTAGATCAAGGAACTAGCAGCAATCCGACTGGATAGCACTATGTATGTGCCGACGGCGAAGATCCGTGTAAATCATTTATCATTGAATGAATTGTGCGGAGAATACACAAGCATGCACCCTGTAGGTTTTGGCGGTTTCACTTGGCCCTGGTCGATTCCGGGGTAGGAGGCCGGATTGGCCTGATCTTTTCAAACCGAGGTCGCAAACCTTTCCAGAAGAAGACATTCAAGGATTGCATATGACACGAGAGCCTGGCCGAGAAGCGCCCGACGTGGACCGAGGGGGGTTCAGTCAAAGGATTATTAAGTGCAGGTGGCGTAACATGGCCGTTCTCGTAGCGTTCTCGTAGTCGAAATAACAATAATTCAATAATTGGTGGTACGGCATCCAGCAGTCAGCAACATTAATTGCAGTCGCCCATCCTTGCCAAACCCAAATGACAGTCCCACTGAGCGCTCAAAGCGTTTAGTGGAGCAGCTGTCAAGCCGTCCTTTGGACCTTGACACGTGCCAATTTCAGCATGCTGTGTTACCGTGATGGTTTGTCGGCCTTTGTTCATGCAGTATAACGACAAATCTTCCAGGGTGCAGCTACTGACGGAATTTGCGAATTCTGCATACTCCGTAACTGCATGTTGGCCAAGACAAACAGTAGTAGTCTGCATGGTAGCATGGAGTCCATTATGGTCAACACAATAGCGGGGCATGATTTGAGTTATCAAAAGCCTATCCATAAAGGATCAGAGGCTCAAATAACGAAGGAACTGCAAAGGGCCTGAATCCTTTACCGCAAAGGAACGTATGCAGCCACCCATGCAGGATTCAGACCAGGTGGCTTGGGATCCATAAGCATTGCTACCTAGAAGTTAAACATGCCGATAATTCAATAGTTTATTGAAGGTCACCTGCCTGCCAGATTTGCTTTTCTTTTGCATATATATAAAGTCTATGTAGCGGTCAGCGCCTTATTATGCCATAAATCGTGCCCGATGTGGAGCTCACTCACTTCGTATCCCCATCCTACAGCTTGCACTGTACCAACCTATTATAAACACATGAATGCAGGGCCCTGAGCATCGAGCATCGCAGTAGTTGATCCCTTAGGTCCCTGATGCACATGTATCCCCGACGCACAGTAGGTTCACCATTGCAAGCTGTCACGACGCACTGCGGAGACAAATGACATTTTGTCTGTTTGTCCGTATAGACAGGAACACGAGTCAGGAACACGTAGAAGATTATAGCGCGTCTGATCACAACAACAAGCAAACGCTAGTAGCCCCATCGTCAGCATGCAGCTAACCATGCCCATATCCTGTACCCGCGACTACCCAAGTTGGCATCTCCATTCGTCTGCCTGCGTCAGGGTCTCATTATGATACAAGCCTGACTAGCGCCGTATAGAGATGCTGCCATATGCCGCATGACATGGGTATCTGTATGAGTTGTGTAGCCGCGAACACCGTGGCTTCACGACAGACAGTGATTTGGAAGCAGTAAACGCTAGGTTTTGCTGTCGGGACGCCACTGCCGTGATAGTGCGTCGCAGGCGTTAGCGTCGTTTCTTCTTTGTACCTAGATTAGAAGCCTTACCTGGTTTGGTTACTTCGCGTTGAACTTGTATGGGATGTCATCATTCGTACCGAATGATGACATGCTCATCGAAGTAACTTGATAACAGGGTACCTGTAGAATCTAAGTAATGAGATGGATCCGAATGGTAATGTATGAGAAAAAGGAAGAGAGACGACATAGGTTTCGAAGCGCTGAACAAGGCACATGATCTAACCCCGTCACATCCCGATCCCTGTGCAACATACAAAAATTACCAGCCCGATTGAAAACACAAGGATAAGCGAGTATAGAACATACTGTAAATGATAGTAACTGCAGTATCTGACTATTATCCAGTTCCATTCTAAACATGCCATCGCCCTCCTCCCTCCTTCCAAAACACAACCATGTCCAGAATAGCAAACACCGAGCACGTCCCTTCCATGAGCCGTATCAACTCTGAAACACACCACGCGAGGACGGACCGCATCGTCTAATAAGCCGTCATTGTCAGACACTGAGACAACTCCACCAGTTTGAAGCTCGACAGGATGAAGACAAGACGGTGTCAGTGTCAGTGTCAGATTCGGCAGCTAGCAGCTGGCAGCTGGCAGGAGCGGACGCCGTTTCGATGGTGAAACGTGTCAGATGAGTATGAAACGTCAAACTGTCAGTGGTTGGGACGGTAGGCAGCGCGTTTCTGTTTCTATTATTTCATCCATAATAATACCAGAGAGAGGTTCATGGGCATATGGATACAAGGATGTCGGTTCTCGAAACAACGGTTGTCGTGAGTATTTCCAGCCGCATCAACATATTCCTACTCAGTATCCCTACTTCATACGAACTAGGGATAGCCAGCGAACAGAGCTCGGCTGGTCAGCCAGCCAGCCAGCAGCCTAACAGGGCAGGACCGACGATCATTGCGGAATTCAACAGAAGCATACATAACATTGCGATTGTGATTGCAATTGCAATTGTGATCGTATTCTTCAGGTATCCAGTGCGACAGGGGTTGTGGAAGGAAGTCGGAGCCAGGGTTGCTTCTTCGTATGACGTACTGGAGGGTGGTTCTAGAAAGACAGATTGAGTTTGGATCAGGGGAATATAGAGAGTTTGGGCGGTTATTAGAGTGGTCGACTATTGGAATCGAATCGGACAAGGGTGAATTTCGGCAGCGTGGTAGCGTATAATGTCTACGAATACGGGAGGAGCTATTCTTTGCCTTTGATATTGTGGGAAGAGAGTGATATTCTGTATGGAGAACTGTCATTTGTAAATGGAGGAGTGGAGAGAACCCAGCAACCAGGTAATGGCAGCGGTGACAAGCAGGCACAGGACATGACAAATTCCACTAGCATATGATGGATCACCCTGAATCCTGACCGCGTGGATGGCAAATTTGCTGGATTACCGCTAATACATACGGAGTACGGAGTTGGGTGTTCTCCGTATACTCCGTCCTTGCTCTACAGAATGATAATGAAATAATCATGGGATTTACTGAACCGGATGCTCATGATTATCCTAAGGATCTACACGATCGGGGATCTGGATCTAACCGTGTTTGGCAGGAGGTATTGCACTCTGTCCAATTTCTAAGACACCACAAGAGGGGAAGGTCTCCTGAAAACCACTAATGTGAGAGAATGAGAAGGTGAACCCTTGGTCACGCCAGGAGGATTAACACAATGCTGTTATGCCCGTCACAATGGAGAGACGGGGCTACAGTCTCTCATTGGAGTGTGTAAAAGCACTCGTGCTGTTGGATGGTACCAAAAGGGATTAGTAGTGGAGCGACGTTAAGCTTATGAACTCTCTAGCACGTATTCTTGACAGGAATACGGTCTAATAACTTGTCAAACCAAACTCTCCACGCCGAATTAGGCAATAGCACAGTTCCAGCGAGACAGAATTGGAAGAAAGTCTATTTCTTTTTCAGGCGCTCTCTTTGGTCGTACCGGATTACACACCAGAACGGCACCGGTGCTGATTACCGCACACAGCAAGAGGGCCAGCCCCCATTTTGAGAAATATTCCCGGATTGTTAGTCCATTCATAGTAGCGAGTTCTTCGGACAGTAATGCGTTGAAAGGGGATTTGAAGGGTTCGATGGATTTTCGATGGAGATCGATGGGGCTACTTCTTTTCCAGTGATCCGAATGACAGGTGTCCGTACTCCGTTCCGGTGTATGTCATAGTACTCCGTAGTGCCTCCCATACTCGGCACTGAGAGTGCGAGAGCAGGGAGGACCAACCAGACGATAGTAGTGGAGGTCTCCATATTGAACTCCGTATGCATTCGGGGACTGTGTACGTACAGAGTACGCACTCCGTACGAAACGAGTGACACCTGACACGTCCCCATCGGTCCCTTCCGCTGACAACCCCGTACTCTTTGCACGAGTCAGATCGTGTCAATGGACCAAGTCCAAATCGATAGTGTTATATTTGCGATTCATGACAGGGAGAATCATCTACTAGGATTGCAACAGAAACAAACCAATAAATTGGACCCCGACGGGTGATGGACAGTAATTTTTGCCCCGATCGGCTTAGGGGTGGGATATTTCCCGTCATGGTCACGGACGGGGGGGATGGGCCAATGAAAACACTCCAATGCGGCCATTTTTCAGCTCGTTCGGACTATCATCTCGTGGCCAACCAGCCATATTGAGATACGGCAACAGTGGGGAAGCGTGTCATTTGTCATTTGTCATTTGCCCTTAAACTTCCACTAGGCGGGTTTTTAAATTTTTCTTAATTATCATCCTGTCAGATGTTGCCTGTTGTTGTTTTGGCTATTTCGCCAATAATCCAAGTGCATGGTTTTCTTGACACATGTCGGATACGTATTCTCCAACACATCCAACAAAGAATATACGGAGTACTACTGTATAATTATAGAGATACAACCCACACATGCATAACTTCCTAATCAGTATGCCACACACCATCCCCCCCTTGTCTCCCGATCAAAAGCACGGGGCAACGGATCTTGCTTTTAGTATCACACTACCAATAACCTGCAAATACTTCAAGGGCGTCATACAGATAGACAGGTCGTTTTTTATTTGTTTTTGTTTCCTTCCTTTCTTTGTACAGATGCAGCGTGCATGGGGTTACAGAGATCAACCAAAGGGAAAATAGATCCAGCCATTGAATTGAAGGGAATAATTGCTTCTTTCCGGCTTCCTGGCGGAAAGTGGCGGATGGGCGCTTGACGTACAACCCGGAGTGGGTCTCTCCATCTCGACAGCCGTGGGGCGAACAGGCGATCGTTTTGTGTACAGGTATGTACAGTACTCTACGGAGTACATACTAGTACTCTGTGCATTGTAGTGTTCCCTGTACAGTAGGATATACTTGTATATTCTCTGCCCAGTATCGCGTTGTATACAATACTGTATATTCTCCAAGTCTATACAGATCTGACAGTGGATCTGCGAGGGGCACTGACTGGTTCACCCGGCGATCCTTGCCCTACGCGCTGGGAACTGCGGGCGAGGGGCCAATAATCTAATTATTTTGTTACAATTTGGCAGCCGGTATTAGGGGAGTCCTAGTTATCGATCCCCCCTCGATGCACTAATAATGCACTCAGTATTACCAGTGCATAGTAGAACCGCCTCAGACACCGCCGCCACCGCCACTCGGTCTGCAGGCGCTCTATCGTAGGGGTAGAATAGTGTGAAGTATGTACAGAGTACGGACGGGAATATGGAGACGGCCCATACAATGATTGTTTGAAGAGGTTTCAGCTATCTTTGGCTCAGTCAGTTCAGACAACAGTGCTCCAAGTCCGTCCCATTCCGGACCGAATAAGGCCTTTCTCCAACCAGAAGACCTTAATTCTGCTGTACAAAATTAATGCTGCTTATTAACCTCAAAAATGGTGTGTGATGACAACATTGGAAAAGTCAAACCCCCAGTGTGGCAGCCATGGCTCTGGGACGCTTCGGGAATTAACACGGTATTCTACCCCTACCAAGTTTACTATGTAGTTACAAGAGTCCAGAGTACAGCATACACTACTAGGAGCTGTATGTAGGTGTTGTCCTTCTGAAGTGTCCTGCTGCTGCCGCACAACCTGATAGATCAATTATCCCTTGATTTTTTCTTTTTTGAAATGATGTCCAAGATAGATCCATCTGTCAAGAAGGTACATACCAAAAAAGAAAAAGAAAAAAGAAAAAGGAAAAAGGAAAAAAAAGAGTTTGGGACGGTTCCTCCACCCAAAAAGCCTCAAAATTCTTTCTTTTAGATATCCCGAACGGAGCCGTGACGGTTCTCCGTAGTTTGTGGATAATCCATGTCCGGATCCACTCGGTCTTCACACCTCCCACGATCGTCCTTGTTGGGTTTGTCCCTGATGATTTCACTTTTTGGAGTTATGAATATCATCTATTATTCTGCCTGTGCATATAAATGCGATTTTCAGACAGCCTGGCCTGCAGTCAGGAGTGGTGCCAGCCCGTGCATATTGGAACTGCCTAACTATACTTACTTGCCTCCCGAGTAACACTACTTACTGGTACCAACGACCCAGATCTGAATTATTTTATTTTCCATTTTCCATTTTCCATTTTCCATTTTCCATTTTTCTTTTATTTATTTATTTTTTTTCTTTTATTTTATATTTTAGTTTCGTTTTATTTTATTTTAAATTTCCTTTTCCACCCCTGCCTTGCATCGATAACCATATATAACCTTGGTTCAGCTGTTTCCCCATCGTCATCGACCAATGTCACTGGTTCTGCGTTTCCGCTCAGCTCTCGTGAGTCTTCTATATTAAATCTCGAATTTCCTTCCTCTTATCCTTGTCTTCTTTCTTGTCAATCCTTGTTCTCTATAACTATCGTCTTCGCATCCTTTCTGTCGCCCAACTCATACATCCACACTGTCAGCCGCTGGCGGCTCCCGATCGATCTAACGCTGCCTCAGTGATTGTCGCCCATTCTCTCTGCTTACCCTGCGTCCATTGCTTCCGGCTGGATTTATATCCTTGTCTATGACCACGTCCCATCCGGACGACGATTCCAGCAAAATGGCGATTTCGTACGCAAACACTCTTCCTACCGACCATTCTCAGACCTTGCCCTCGTTTAGAGAGGTATGCATCCCCGTCTTTACATTTCTTGTCTTTTCCCCCAAAGAAATAGAAATACTGACCGGAGCAGCTTCTCCCTCCTCATCTCCACGATGAAATCGACTCTACCTCCTACTTCACCTCTCCTCGCCAACGCTCTAGCTTTGAGTTCCCCGGCCGTCAGCCTCTGCAATCACCTCCCAAGATGCCGCTGAATGACGCCCCACGAGACTATTCCCTCACTCCTATCCGTGCTTCAGATCCTGGGGACCATTCCTCTCTCCCTCCCCGGTTTCCCGGGAATGGCTCCCCCATCGCTCCTGGTTCGACCCCCCGGTATGCGGCAGCCTCCTCGCGTGGCCCTAGCCCCATTCTGCCCCCGATCCGGGATTTGCACTCTCTTCCAGACCGCAGCTTGACCTCGAGCTCGCCATTCTCAGATGGGAGACCGACATCGCGACCAGACCCATTTCTGCCTGATTACCGTTCCGCGCCGATGGATGCACGTGGGCCATGGGATCGTCGCAATGGGGACTCTGCCTCGTACATGGGGACTAGCGGACCGGCGGCCATGATGCACAGTCACCCCGCTCCTTATGGGTATTCAATGGCCTACCCCAGTGACTCTGAGCAGCACTCGCCGCAGTTGGTATCACATGCGCAGTCGAACTTTGGCATTATGGGCGACCAGGCCGACTCCAGGAACAGGCGCAGGCGGGGTAACCTTCCCAAGCCTGTGACCGATATCCTTCGAGCTTGGTTCCATGAGCACCTGGATCATCCGTATCCCAGTGAGGAGGATAAGCAGATGTTTATGACCCGGACAGGGTTGTCTATCAGTCAGGTAAGCTTCATCATTTGTCTTTTCTATCATTATTGCTTTAGCTGACGACGTTCCAGATCAGCAACTGGTTCATCAACGCCAGAAGACGACAACTGCCCGCTCTTCGCAATCAGATGCGCAGCGGTGCCAGCGACATGGACTCGCAACGACAGTCCCCCTTTAGCGACATGGATCAGACCTCGTCTGAATCGATGCCTTCTCCTCACCGGTAGATTCGACCACCTAATCCGATAATCCGATATAATACATCCCGCAAGGGTTAGAACGTTTTGCATCATTTCACCATTACGAGTTACGGGGGCTGGCTAAGTACACGGAAAGCTGAAATGCCTCTGTCCACGAATTTTCTTCATTACACCATTTATTCAAGACCGACAAGATCATACTTGATACCCTATCATCTTCATTTCTGGTTGTTTTATTTTACTACGTGGGATTGATCGCTTCGAGGATCATGCATAGGCGCCACTATGCAGGGAACCTTGTAGCCTTGCTTGATCCTCCCACTCAATATGCATCTGTGCGGTGTTCTGGTTCGTTTTTACTATTTATTGAATATTTGTCATTTTCATTTGTTTTACTCATGTATTGTTTGGTTTGGGGGTTCATGATTTTCATTTTCGAGACCTTATAGAAGTTACTATGCATATTCTCCTTTTTCGGAAGGAGATGGAACTAGGGAAAGTTGTACCAGTATGGAATTGAATGATGATGTGACCATGTCTCCAGCGCATACTCCATTATCCGCTTTAGCAAGTGGACATGGTCCAATAAACAACTAGAAATTGATTTGGTTTTCTGCATCGAGAACTGGCCATTGCAACCTGCCTAAATCGGCATTGACAATCCATGAAGAAATACTAATTAATAACTTAAAAATTCCTCACGACATCCGAAGGTCTCCAATCCCCTCGTAGTTTTAAATAAAAAGAAGACCCCCACAACGAACCTTTCGATCATACGGTTGACAACCACATGTCATTGACAATTCTAGAAACAACCCCGAAACTAACGGTACCAAGATTTGGGTCAGGGATACACTTCCGGCCATCAAGTCAAAATAATTCGATACATATTCGATAATTCTACCACCATGGAAAGGGGGCCGAAACCCCGAAAACCCGAATGCCGGTTTGTGAGGCTTGATTGGGGAAACCAGTGTTCGTGTAGCCATCTCAAACCATGGTAAATTAATCTACTCGATACGAGGTCGACGTAGTCTGTTCTCCACTATTACCATAACCATGGGCGTGTGTGTCATTTTCTACTTTTGCGGAAGGAGATCATGACTATCAGTTGTGCCGAGAGTGCGGGTATCGGTACGTACTGGGTATGCCCTGAATACCGATAGCCGCGGATGACAGTGGAATTTTCAATTGACACATCCGTACAGATACCAACCACCAGGATTCACGGTACCAGGTCCGTGGGTAGTGGCCAATTGGATCGGAGATGGTTTCCAGAAGATTTGTTGCTCTGGTTGGTATGTACAAGTATGGTCGATCATCGACAGAAGGCATTACCGAAGCCACCGCCACACTGCCATTACAATTAACAGAGTACTATAGACAGTGACAGCGCATGAATCCTACAAGCACTCCTAGTATGCAATGCATTGCAACTTTGCACATAAATATACAGAGTACATGGTTTGTAATACATACCGACGGCTAGGCGCAGGGACCTCTGACCGTACTTTGCAGATGTCGATCCGGAAAAGTAACGGCTTGAGTACCGATACTTGTACCACAGGTCCTATCGGGGTTCCCTACAGAGCACAGTACCCCTGTATCGCGTACCCTTAATCCCTAACGTTATCCTAGATTCATGTTTGCGCTTTTGACATTGTATTGGTGCTGTAGAGTACTTCCGTACAAATAGTCTGCACTGCGCTGCGCCCTGTACGTACGGAGTACGGAGTAGCAACTGACCCCTACATCCGAGGTAGCAGATAACGATGGCTTTACTCGGTGATGCTTTCCTTTCTTTTGCTTTTGCCAGTTTCATGTCACTGTATATAGTGCTAGTTTTGATATCTGTCTGGCTATACGGAGTACGGATTACAGGGTCCCGCATACTAGCACCCAATTCCTCAATTGGGATAATGCATGAGTAGTAATGACACTATGCCAGAGCGATCCGTCGATCTCGATTTTCGATCTAGGGGGCTGTCTTTCTTGTCTCTCTTGACCCCGCAGCTCGCACCACATAACGGCTGCAATGATCCTTGGACAATAGTCTGGGCAGGCAGACTGCGTATTCCGTATACATAGCGCAGTAGGCAGTAGGATTGGCACAATAGTGGCGACAGTATACCATGGGAGTATCTGCCACTAGTGGCTGTCATCTTACTCCATCCTACTCCATCCATGTATATCCATGTATATCCAAATCAGGAAGGTAGTTTTTGCACCACGCAGTTAGCACGGAGTATTCCGGAATTTATTAGATTTATGATCATGGAACTGGTAATTATGCCCTCTGGTTTGGGAATGGTCCGCTGATCTAGATTGGATCTGCTGAGACCCGGATGAATGGAACTGTTCGGAGACTACTGTACGGAGTATGGAGAACTAACATGAATAGTTACCCTGGAGTGTGGTATGGGTTCGCTTTCATTTCCGATATGTTTCCATCTTGTGGAATTCCGCGGAGTAGAGGTACTGCGCAATCGCAATCCTTTGTTCTTTGGACCAATTATCTGTGTACGGAGTGCTTTGTACGGTTCTGGCTACAGTACACCGTCACTACGTGCGTCGACCATGATTCACCGCCATGTGATAGAGATCGGATCGAGATCTCCTAGCTGTCTACTCTGTACTTGGCTGCTTGTTGTCGACCTGTCCACCTGTCTAGAGCGTATCACTGCACTGTACAATGTTCCCTCCGTATGTCCAAGTATACTCCGTGCTTGTTGCAGAGTATCACTGAGGGTACATGTACATGTAGTTACAGATGAAAAGCAGTGGCAAACCCAAGAATCACAAGTACATTGCAGAATCCCTACCTCGGAAATGGTTTCCTACAATAGTCGCATTTTATCCTTGTATAACTACAAGTATGATGCAGACACACTCCGTAAAACATACATACTTGTCTGTAGTTGTATCGCATACAAGGACGATTTTGGTATGCGGACGCGGCGTACTCCGTGAAATATGTAATGCATGGGTACCAAGTACCGGGGTAAGTCGAGTGGAAAGTTCTGGACGGAGAATATGACATGTGGCAGGTCTTGTCGCTTGCTGTCAGTGGGGTGAGTTGGTATATTGGTATGCTTGGCTTGGAACGATATGTCAGATGTGTCACTGCTGTATGTTTACTTGTACTAGCGTATCGAGGTGAACTGGCAGTATATTTTTAGTATGAGTGTCACCGTAAGCAGCTTCGAGAATGGCTCTTGATATGACCAATCTGACACAACAGGGGATATAGTTACACAACAGACCTCTCGACTCTCATATCCGCATGTCAATGCACTGACACCTGTTCTGTTCCACAAAAGAATACCGGAAGAAGGAAAACGAAACCTGTCAAATTGAAATCCAACCGACATCTTCCTTCCAAGTTCCGGGAACTTGCAGATGTCGGTGACAGAAATCCCGAATCTCGAATCTCGGCCGAGGCAATAATTTAATAGTTGCCTAGGCAGGGAGTGTTGAAGCGCAGGGGCAGGAGCTGGTGTAGGAGTTTCCGAGGTTGGTGGAAAAGTTTTCCGATGCAATATATCATGCTCGAGATATGGAATGTGTTCAGTTTGGTGCAAGGAAGGGTACGAAGTACGGAGTATATGCATCGGAATGTTGGTTCTATTCTTTATCTTGACGGATGTGCTTTAATTTTCTTTTTGTCTTTCTGTTATATTCCGTACTGGACGAGGATTTGAGATGCTACCCGTCAGGAATGTCAGCTCTTTTTGTCACCATATGTGGGATTTTCTTTCCTTTGGGGTCAAACTCCCCACCATCCCAACACGTCCCTGGAACCAAGTTTCTGGATGTATCTTCTAACCAAACCTTTGGCTTCGTAATAACGTCCGTAACAACCCCATAAAAACGGTGCTATCGTGCTGGAAATCCGGTATCGGCACCCCAGAGTTTCCTGTGGCACTGAACGGGTCCCTACTTGTTTTTATTGAGGGCTCTGTAGCTGCCAGCCACTCGTTCTCATATCTAGTTTTGCGAACATTTGGACCACACCAACAGCCCATGCATTCGCAGTTGTCATGCATCTTGTTTGGCTCAGCTGGATAGATGAGACAGAGATGCATGAAACACAAGATTGGATCCCCTTGGGACGCAGATACGACCTAGTCCCTAGTCGTAGTACTTGTGAGCTAATGTTGCAACTGATATACTTTTCCGGGAGCTTTGTGTTTCAACCAGCCCCCCTCAGAGTATATTCAGATGTGCACCTTGACCCGGAAAATACCATCCCTAACCCCATAAATTCGGATTTTGACGATATGGCTGAAAAATGAAAGCATATGATATCCCTGTATGGAGCTTGTGGTGTCACGAGCTTTGTGAACTGCCAGACCCTGATTTTGGCCTCATCAAGAGAATACCAATATGGTGGCCTAGTAATAAGGAAACTGCGTCAGCATTAATAATCTCTGTCAATAGTGTTCTTCACTGCGAGTAGCCTTCTAATAGGAGATATCTTGTGTAATCGCTGTGCTTATTTACTGACCTGTAAGCTTAGGGGGACAGTCTATGCAAAATAGAGATGAAATATCGCTTACTGAATAGATGTATCGCATGAGAACCTGTAGCTGCCAGATGCTTATTTGAACGGATAAATCCGCCTCATCCTTGTCTGAATTCATTGGGGTGCGATGAACTAGGAGTATTCATCAGTTTTCTTGCTGCAAACCTTGTAGTGGTTGTCAAGATCGTGGTCTTATTCCAGCATCAAGTTTCTGGAAATAAGTTGGATTTAGCCCATGCTTGCTTGTAGGTATTTCAAGTATGTCAGTGAAATGTCTCTAAAAGCATCTTGATGCCTCTTCGAGCCCGGGCTGGCGACAGCACGCTGTAAGATAGAAGTCTGTACTAGAGAGGTCATATATTGGTGGCAGGAGCGAGTTATAAGCGTGGCCGCAGATTCAGCGTTATTCTTGGTTAGTTTCTGCATTGGTATAAAAGAATATTAGAACTCGCGCAACCTCACAAGTGGATGCATAGATACCAATCCGGCCGTCCACTGCTCCAGTGCTGTACACCTCGGAAGTCCATTCGCTGCAACTTAGGTTGGAAACTCACACAGATCCATAAAAGAACTGGCTTTTTATCGGAGTATGCGGGGCATATCCTATAAGAATAATCAATATACGATCGTCCCATATCATATCATATGCGCCATGCTAGCTAATATATCCCTTTGTCACAGAGTAATTCTTGGGTGAAAGTCTGCAGAAACAGTCTTCAGCAGAACGGCCTTTGTTTGGTGACTTCATATTAGAATGGTAGTTCAGGTCTGAGAATATCCGTTGCCTGAGCCCAAGCCCGAGCACTTGTACAGATTGTGTGTTATTTCTCTCGTTGTATTAGGGATTCCAGAGCTTTGTTCCTTCACGCAAGCTCCAATAAGGCGAGGAAATGTGCTCTATTGCGCTTCGATAGAACAACTTAGCCAAAGATGCTAATATTAGGATATCCCGATGAAATCCCGTAGAAGTAGAAAACAAGGCGGTGCTAAAGCTCGACTCCACATGTAGTTACTTGGTTACTTATTTTGGTCTCAGTAAGCCATTGATGAAGACCAGCTAGTTATATGAATTGAAGTCATACAGAATCCTCATTCCTTCACGCACAACACAATCATTTAACTCAATGGCTATTTTTCCTGTTCGCATCCTACTATTGTTCATGAAATTATAGCACAATCCTCACATCGTTTACAAACTCAGCCAAACTCCTTTGATTCTTCGCCATATACGCAGTAAGAGAGCAAGACACCCAGACTGCTTGTTTGCTTTGTGGGCCATAAGATACAATTCTTTATTTCAATGTCTCTCTCGCTCTCTCTCTCTTTCTCATCATGCCATCGTTCTGTTAGACCCAGCCATATCAGCCTCACGTGACTATACGGGGAGTGTCGGAAATGTGGCTTAGTCAGGGTTGAAAGTACGTATCAAGCGTATATGGTTGAGGTCTCTAATTCTTGCAAAAGTGTGCTAGCTAGGATCCTATATACGACCGTAAATACCTTATAGAGTATACTAAGCGATTGTGCGGTTTCAAAAGCAGTAATAGCAGAGTAAATACGCTGCTTTGCGCCATATGATATCAGCAAGGCATCAATCAGGCATCAGTTGGTATTGTTCGGTAAGGAACCTCTATATTCCGACAGGGAGTCAAGGCAGAATCATTGGATAGCAGGCTACGAAGGAAATGCAGGAAGGAACAAGGATCAAGTTGATATTCCAATGAAGGAATTACGTGACCTCCTACCATTTATCTACCAAAGAATGGAAAACAGATGGTATACGCTACCATATCTCCTACACAAGATGGTATACGAAATGGTAGGAAGCGAAGGATATATAAGGACACTCATTCATGTACTTAGCTTAGTTCTTCGCGTTCAATCTAGTTAATCAAGCATTGGGTATCTTCTAGTTTCTGACTCGTCCGCACTTAACCAACAACCCAGTATACGTACTCGGTTGGCCTTATTTCTCTATTCGTTACCTTTACCGTTCCTACCTGTTGATTATATTACGGAGTCTGGAGGGGGCGATATACACATCGACGCATACAACTTACTGAACCGGACCCGGAGGGGCATTGAGCATATGATCACTTGGAAGACACTTAGGGTAAATGTCCTGTCTCGAAATACAAATACAACTAACTAGAACCATAGGTACGATACGAGAGAAGCCAGGTTGTGACACATCCACAGAAGAACGTGTGCAAGCGAAGCTCGACGCAAACACCACCAACAGCAATCCTCCAGAGCATTAAAGATTTCTACAATTTAGCAGACTCAGAAAAATAATCCAGCCTACTTGCAGACATAGCTGCACGTGCTGCAGCATAAGCATAGGTTGATATACTTGACTAGGTCTTCAGTGAGGGCTTCCAGATCCCCACTGACTCATTGAATGATGAGTTTTACCACCAGGCTTGCCTCTCGCAGTCTCTTCCCGTGATGAAGACACAAGTGACGAATGGCTTTAACCTCAGCGGGCATCATACTGAATTCTTTGGTGATGTACTGAGCCTGGAAGCATACTGTGGCAACGTTGAGATTATATGCTTCCTTCTAAAGAATGGACAGGACCCCAATGATGCACGGGGGACTATGATGATCTTGAACCAGGTGTGGCAGCATTAGTTGGTGAGAAACCAAATTTGGAGATCCTCCATCTGATGCTTCAGCATGGATAGATCCAGAAAAGATGCGCCACACACGTTGCGGCTGCTGAACTTAGCAAAATGGAGGTGCTAAAGTTACTGGTGGAGCATGGTCCTGACCTTGAGGAAGATAGTGGATGATAGCCCAATTGTGGTATAACCGAAGCTGATAGACGGGGAATTGTATTGTATCACACAGCTCACAAGGGCCAGAGAGAATCTGTGGCATATCTGCTAGACAAAGGCGCTAACATTTGGTTCAGAGATGACAAGGGGCGGTCTATCTTGTGGACAGCGGAGCAGGGAGGGAACGAGGTGATCGATTTGTTGAAAAGAATAAAGAATAAACCAAACCACTTTCATGATTAGATATACAATGGCCTATCTGGTGCTTAGGGGGAAACTTTCCATGCCAGAATATATAGTCTCTTCCGTTATAAGCCACATAAAAAGGGTTTCTTGGGCATTAAAATGTCAACCCCACTTTCAACCATTACTCCTTAGAAGTCCGAACATATGGATATATCTAAATGACTATTGACATTATTTAGCTGGCCCGAGGGACATTGACCCCACGTGGGTGCGGTGTATTTCGGAGGTCTATAGACGCTTCAGGATGTAATCCATGGTATCAATTGCATTTTGCGATTAAATATGAACATCTAAACCAAGCCATTCGCTAAACACCAAACCAACTCATAATAACCCAAACCCATATAAAAATCCTACGACGGCCGCTTAAACGGATGCGCCTCAGTATTCAAAACATACTCATCCAAACTAACAAGATCCGGCTCCGAGAAGGTAAGATAGAAATATTTCAACGTCTCCGCAAGCCAGAAACTCTCCATGAAATCCGACTGATCGGTATGCTTGTTCCGGACGTCGTTGACGATTGCGTGACCGAGCTTAGTGCGGGTGTGCTTCTCGATGCTGGAGAACATGCGCCAGGCGGCGTCTTGCAGGGATTTGTCACCTGTTATGCGGTACATAATGAAGACGGATTCAATAGCTTCGGGTCTGTTTTGTTTGTTAGATTGGATTTTGATGGGGTTATGGAGTTTGTTGGGCTGGTAGTACCTTAGCTTGTACTGGGCGTCAGTGACATCCGTTACACCTGGCTGAAGACCATGGTTTTCGATAAGAGACTTGGTTTCCTTGGTGTTGTCCTCGTCGGTGGTACGGCCGCCACGCAAGAGACGATGACGGACATCACGGTACCACTTCCTTTCATCCCAGTCGCACTCTTCAATTATTTCACACGAACTGACATAGAGTGTCTCTGGCATGATACCAGTAGGCATAACATCGTAAGCCCAGATACAGCCGTCGACCAGGCCACGCGCGATAGAAAGCTCTTCGGGACGATCAAAGACCTTGGCACCAATGCCAACTGTACCACCCAGGTAGCATTTGAGGTGTTCCGCCTGGTATTCGATCACTCCATCGCTGTATCCCGCACGGGTATCGCCTGCAAACAAAATTTCTTCGCCAGTTTGAGTATTCGCGCGGAAGAGAAGACGTCTTTTAATAGCCTTCATAGCCGTCGAGTACATGTTGCGGTACTGGTCAGTGCGAGCCCCAAGCAGAATATGCTCTTTAGGAAGGTACTCGTAAGTGGAGTCTGCCATACCACCCACGGTGTACCGGGGGTCATTGAATGTCATTTCCTCGGCGTCCACCATGATCGGCCATAAGCCTGGGACCCGGGTATGGTTCTGCGCCTCTTCCATAAGGTCCGCGATTCGCTGAATGGCGTCAAAGTATTTAGGGTCGCCAGTCAATTGGGTCAATCGAGTGAATTCAAGGTTCAACGAGCCCAATTCGGCCATGATGGTGTTCCTGCTGGGCTGGATTCCAAGACCTTGCGCGGATCTGGCAAATAATCAACACTTCGTCTCTCGTACGGATAACCGCCATTTCTCACCTGGTCCACTGCCAACGGGTCTGGGGCATTCGGTTTCTCGTGTCAAAAGCACCATACAGCATATCTGCCACCTCCACCGCTTTCTTGAGCAGTATGGGGTGGGCACCGTCGGTCAAGTCATAGGCACCCATGAAACCTCCAAGGTAGCGAATGTTGGTCTCAAACATATTAATCTGGGTCGAATCGGTTGTGTAGAAATCAATCCGGTCAAGAGCATCCAGCGCATCCTCAAACTCATCATCCAAGCCCAAGATAATCAGCGAATCGAGCGAGTCGACCAAAGTAGCTGCCCAGCCAGCAAACGAAGTTCTATGACCACCGCTAAGAGGTGACAACTCATCACGCAGCCATGCATGGTGTTTATACCCCTTCCAAGCATGCTTGAAAGCTTCCTTGACTGCCTTCTGACGGCTCAATCGCTGTCGACGAGCCCACCATGATTCTTCGGGGAAGTCGTACTGGATCTTCGGTATCGGGGAGGGAGGATTCTTGGGGTAGGGAATGTAGTCGGTGACGGGGTGTTTCTCGGGGTACTTGGTCCAGCGAATTCGGCCGGAATTTGCGGTAGACTGGGCATGATCCCAGTTGTCGTTGTCCTCGAGGTCAAAGATGTCACTGGGAGGGAGACTGGAGAAGAGGGTGTAGACGACGAAGATAAGGACGACGGTGGTGACCAGGTAACTCTTCCGCACGAAGAGCATCTTAGCAGCTGATTAATAATGTAGTTATTTGAGCAGTTTTAACTGCCCGAGTCAAGTAAACGAGCGACAGCGCATGGATGTCTCAAACCATGGATAAAGAGTGAATTATGTCTGGAAATAGTAAAGAAGCAAAGGAATGAAGTGAGTAAAAGACAAGAGACAATTCAGCCAGAGATAGTCTGCAGGAATTTGCTGTTCATCCTGCACATCCCCTCAGCCCCCTCCCCAGGAGAACTGACGGCGTGGAGAGAGAGAGAGGGTTTGATCGCCATGGGTTCTCACCGTCTCCCGGGAAATGATTGACACGGCAAAGGAATCCAGGAGGCAACGAGTGCGTAATGGAGTGGAGGGCTTAATTTGTACCCCGTTCTATTCTGAGACTTTTTGACTGAGAATTGTTCTTGGCTCTGGACCCTGATTGAGTGCTTGTCCATACGAATGTGTCTAGAAGATCGTAAGGTGATGGATCTCATGCCTGATTTAGTATCGCTCGCTGGGCTATTCCCTATGGGGAATGTTGTCACTCGAATTGGACATGTGGCTGTTTGCATTGTTTGAATTATTGCCTGAGGCAGAATAGATATCAACTTCAGGCTACGAGATTCAGATATCGACGACATCACATAGATCTATTATCTTGCCTTGAGCATATCATGATCCATTTATATAACCGATAATCTCCTAGATATATTAATAATAACATATTAGTTATTGCAGACTGGTAAGTCGGGAGTCCTTTTCACAAAGCAGCTGCTAATACTTAACAGGAAATCGATATTCAAGGCATATCTGCCATATTTGGATGACATCTACTCTACATTGACCTATCTATTTGAACCTTTTTTATTTTTCCAGACACTGTCGACTGACCGGCCTTGGCTGGCAGTCACATTTCGTGTCCAACTATCATCAAAACACCTTTGAACAGCAAACTTGAAGGTGTAACCGCCAAAATGCCTATCACAGGGTACGTCCCCCTACAGATTTTCTCTTTACTGCATACTAACAAAGCCAGCGTCTTCTTCATTCCCTCAAACCCCAACGCCTCCACAGTGCTCTCCACAATCTCAGAACGCCTACACACCGTCCTCACCGACGAACCCATCCCCGTAGGCCGCTGGGTACTAGAGCACAAACTGATGCGCGACACGCCATCCTGTCTACCAGCATCTGCATCCCAACGACCCGCACAGCCTCGGTGGATGCAATTTCTGTCGTTATCGTATCACCCGTTTCATGGGTTTGTTTATGCGTCTGAGGCGGATAAGTCACAGTTTGGTGGTGTTGCACAAGCACAACCACAGTCACAAGCACAAGCACCAGGGGCCGCACCAAAGGCATCGCCGCAACAACCTCAACCCCAACAACAGCCCCAATTGAGCACAAGCACAAGCACAGCTACAAGTACAAACAGCGGAATGATAATGACAACTGTCCCCCTCCCCTCCTCCGTAACCCTCTTCCAACACTTTGTCTACGCCTGCCAACCATTCTGGAGCCACCGACACACCCACACTATCCCTGGCGGCATGGTCTATGACATTGGCGACTTCCGCGTGCGCATCGGCGACGTGCGCCAGACGCAGCCAGTCGCGAGGATTCGCGGGACTGTCGTTGAGGTTGAGTGGAGGGGGCCTTCGTTGTTGGATTCGTTGGTGCAAAGTCACCCTGTGACTGAAATGCAGGATAATGGGGCAGATGATGGTGATTCTGGTATTGATGTGGGACTTGAGTTGATTGAGGAGGCGGACGTGGATGCTGAGTTTGCGGCGACGGCGAAGTTGATTAGGGAGTTTTGGGAGAAGTTGGGGGTTGAGGGGGCTAGGGAGGCGATTCTTGTGCCAGATGTTGGGAAGGAGGTCAAGGAGCAATTGAGGAGGTGGAAGGCGCTACAGCAGGAGGGTAAGAAGGATGTTGGTCGTGGGGTTGGGGAGGGTAATGGGCAGTTGTTGGATGAGGATCCTGATCCGCAAGCTGGTGTGGATGTTGCAAGGCAATTTATGGAGATTTTCAGGTTTAACCGATGATGTTGCTTGAATATCTATTCTGGCTCTATGGCAAGGAGGGAAAAAGAATCACATGAGGTTCTACGGTAATCTTGGAATGGCAATAAACGTGATAAACAAATGTAGATCATAAAATAGAAGAACAAATGAGGCTTAATTCCGGAGACGTATTGTCCAGATAGAAAAACCGAAGAAAAGAGAGCGGAAGACGCTCTTCCGCACTTCACATGCATGTCAACTTGCACCGGCTGTCGAGATATCCCACAGGTTCTTCCACATAGGACTCATCGTATTGAAATAGAGTCGTTACTGCCAAGTACACGTGCAGTCGAGGAAATGTCTCGGTTAGACTACAGGTAAATGGTATGTATAGGAGACATAAGATAGGAAGTGATGAACGAAACTGCCAGCGGCCTTCTGTCTCTTTTCGCTAACGCCCGAACATAATAACCAAAAGGGGGAAGGGAGATATGTTTATTTTTGCATCATGAGCTGAACGAATTCGTTGTCTGATACCGATTAGCTTCAAATTCGACGGCGAAAAAGGCCAAGTCCACATACAGTCAATACGGCCGTCACCGTCCTGGTCGGCCTCGCGAATCATCTCGTCAACTTCGTCATCGGTGAGCTTCTCGCCAATGGAGGTCATAACGTGGCGCAACTCCGCGGCGGAAATAAAACCGTTGTTGTCGCGATCGAAGACCTTGAAAGCTTCCCGGATCTCCTCCTCGGAGTCGGTGTCCTTCATCTTCCGTGCCATCATGGTAAGGAATTCTGTTATGGTCAGAATCGTCAATCTTGTTACGGAAGTTTTATATCAGGGCGATCGCATACCAGGGAAATCGATGGTGCCGTTGTTGTCAGCGTCGACCTCGTTGATCATATCTTGCAACTCCGACTCGGAGGGGTTCTGGCCCAGCGAGCGCATAACGGTGCCCAGCTCCTTGGTGGTGATCTGGCCTGTAATCGCAGGAACCCATCAGTATTGTGTCACTAACCAGAAAGGCATTATCTCAACAGCGAATATCATATCACGGTCGGAACCAATCGAGAGGTGGGGTAAAAGAGGGATTGAATCTAGAGTAAATCACGAGAACTAACCATCGCCATCCTTGTCCTGTTAAAATGCAAAAATCGTGGTCAGTTTACAGTCCTCGACGCCCGACGGGGAAAATGCCACATGGAGATGGCCAGCGCACTTACGAAGAGGGAGAACGCCTCCTTGTACTCGGAGACTTGCTCTTCAGTCAACGAATCAGCCTACATGATAACGTTGTCAGTAAAATATCGGTAAAAGTTGTCTTTGAGAATGCGTTCTCAAGAATGTTCGTCACAGAATTGCCCCGCAAGTTGGCGGGACATGACAGGGGAGGTGACACGCATACCATGATGTAGGATTCGGAAAAGTCGACGAAAGGGAAAGATTGAGATGGACGGGAAGGTGGAGGATAATATGAATTCTTTGCTAAAGGAAAGAAACAAAAGTGAGTGAGGAAAAGGAGAGAAGATGGAGAAGAGAAGGAGGTGAAGCGTAAGGCAGGCTTAAGTGAGTTTAGTCTGGGTTGGGAGATGGTTTTGGGTCGGGCGGTGGGGGAGTGGCAGCCCGCCTTTTTTTAAGGGGAAGCAAATGAGTATCGAGCCCTGGTACTGTTACTTGGTAGACCGGCGTAGAACGCTCTGGATATTTTGTACCGGTACTTCAATGCTATGACGATCGCTATGCCAGAGAATAAGCTGCTGATACGGCTCCTCTTAACGCTTTGGCAACCCAATCTGAAATTTCTCAGCCTTACACTCGGTCATGCACGTATACCTAGCTGCTCCATATACTGCGGGCTACTTCCATAGTTCAGAGACAAATGTGGCGATAATCACGGTGCATTCCATACCTAACAAATCAATTGTTCGTCTGCATATATGGCATCAAACTGCGAATTCGGCTGAGGCCGTACAGTACATATCCTGCAGCCTGTGTATGGTGCATGGCGTCTGCGTACTCCTACAGCCTTGTCTACTACATAGAACACGCCATCTCAAACATGCCCAGACACAGATCAGCAGCATATTAAAGTCTAAGAATAGCCCTAGTTAGCTTGAACAGTGTTTTGGATAGCACTTCGTCTGGTATCTCCGGAGAGAAAGTGGTGGATACATGTGGCGGTGTCCATATATTGCCCCTGAGATCTATTCTACGAAGTACGGAGTACTAACTTCCAGATGACATTGCATCATCAGCAATAGTATAATACAACATGCACAGCAATGCGCAATCCTTCTAATAATAAGATTTCCTGTTCAAAAACTTGGGAAACTGTACTCTGTACCCTGTTCAGAGTACTTGTACAGATGCTTTTGTCCAATGACCGGCTCTGATATCAGAATACATCCCGGCTCTGTATTACTGACCAATACATAGGGCCTCACTAATTTCACGTGCGGAGAGCCCCAAATGACCGTACAGTTACCCTATATCTAGCCTAATCCGGACTAGCGTTACATTCCCCAACAGTCTCACGTGGTCCAGACTCGGAGATCCAGTAGTGCTATCACTATCGCTTCAATATGCAGACTGCGGATAACAGAGTGAACGCTGTTTACGAACTGACGAACTGAAATGCGCAGGTAGAACGTAAATGAACGTGTCTATATCTGCGACAACCCCGGAATTCTCTAACCTTCCGCCACGGATGACACTTGGACGCTCCTTTCTTGGCCGACGATGATCCCGACTGTCTAAAGGACGCTTCCAATTCCATCACCAGCCAAATATTGAATCTGCCTTTACCTCGCATATACCTAAATAACAATAATGTGGCGGGACCGCACAAACTTGTAACCATCCCCTTCTCATGCAACCCAAATGATGAATGCAGACTAACCCTTGGCCGTCTGCAATCATCCAGGTACATCTCCTACCGACAATCATTCGCTCATCACCCAGCCAAAAAACCTCGCAACACCTTCCCCGATCCCTCTACTGAACCAGAAGAAAGCCGCCGCCTAATATCCTCCACCGAAGACTATGGCGACGCAATCATCGAAATGGACATCCTGCCTCCGCGCTGGGTCGACATCCAGGACGAGGTAACCGAGCAACTAGCCGATATCGCACAGCAGTCATCACAGCTGGACAAGTTACATCATAAACACTTGCTTCCGAGTTTTGGGGATGAGGGTGTGCGGAGACAGGAGGAGGGCGCGATTGAGCGGTTAACGCAGGATATCACGCGCGGTTTCCATGAGTGTCAGAAGGCAGTTCAGAGGATTGAGATTATGGTGCAGGAGGCCAAGATGGAGGGGAGGGTTAGTGCGGGGGATGAGACTATGGCGAAGAATATTCAGATTTCGCTGGCGGCTAGGGTGCAGGATGCTAGTGCAAGGTTCAGGAAGAAGCAGAGTACTTATCTGAAGAGTGAGTTGCATACTCCCGTCCTGGAGCCGCGAGACGAGTTGCTGACGGTTATAGAATTACGAGGTCTAGAAGGCGTATCGTCTCCCTTCGACCGCACCCCAACACCTACGCAAATGCAGAACCCATACACAGACCCCTCCCTAATGGAATCCGACGCCGACAAGTCCTTCTCCCAAACGACCCTCATGCAAACTCAACAACGACAACGGCGTACCGGTCAAAATGACGCGGCGATCGAGCAACGAGAACGCGAAATCAATGATATCGCAAAAGGCATCATCGAGCTATCAGACATCTTCCGCGAATTGCAGACTATGATCATCGACCAGGGTACCATGCTCGATCGGATAGACTATAATGTGGAACGGATGGGGACTGAGGTTAAGGCGGCGGATAAGGAACTCAACGTGGTACGTTCATTTGCCTTGGATGAAGGAAAGACAAAAAATCTAATAGGACCAAGGCTACAAATTACCAGCGACGCACGACGAAACGGAAAATCCTCCTCCTTCTCATTATCATCGTCGCGGGATTGATTATCGTCCTGCTAGTCAAACCGAAAAACAATAACTTCTCTGCACCTGCACCTCCCACGCCACCATCCTCGAACAACATGCGTCGAGCAGGCGAGATGATTTATCGTCGCAGACGATGGTATCCGAACTTGACACGAATGACAAGGGATAGAATATGGATCGATCCAGATAGACCTCGATAGATAGCTTACTCTTCTAATGTATAGATGTAATTGTATGCACAATGGTTCTCATTAGATGGCAGTAATTTGTCCATAATGTATTATCAGGATCACATGAATAAGATCACACGGCTAGTACAACAGAGACGAAGAAAAAGCACCACAAATAACAAACATGCGAATTAGATATTGCCATGAGGCAAATAAATGGCCTAAGCCTGAGGATTACCCTCTTGTTCAAGCAATTGAGCAACATCCGCGTCTAGATCACCGTTCGCAAACTGGGCATAATCTTCATCGCCATGATCGACTTTCCGCTTTTTGGCACTAGTGCCATTCGGACTACCATCAAATTGATGCTGGCCAAGAGATGTAGAGATATCAGGGATTCCTGTGCCGGGAAGTGGCATGCCACCTTGCTGTGGCTCAACAGTGGGCAGCATAAATGGTAACGGTGCGGTGGCAGCAGGGTCGTTTTCTTGCGGTTGCACCTTCGGAGATCCAATGGGCGTAATGGATTCCACAGGCGGAGGAGTGAGCGCCTCAACTTCCGGGCGAGCAATAGGTTCCCCATCAGCATTGCCAGTAGGATGAGCAGCCGGCATGTTTTCAACGAAAAGCCCTTTCATGATTCCATCTTCGACCTCGCGTTTCTTGGTTTCGGTGTCTGCCCTTCTCTCAGACAGCTGTGTAGCCAGAGACTGTTCTTTCGAGAGTGCCAATCTATTGGTCTCCAGGAGCTTCTCCAGACCATCTATCAATGCATGTCGCGACTTGATGACCTCGGATACGGAGCTTTCGGCATTCGCAAGTGTCTTCAACAATTGGCTCAGGCGTGCAGCATGCACAGGAGGTGTAGGAAGCGGTATGTTCGGGTCTTGCATCTTTTCATACTCTGCATTGGCTGTAGAGGCAGCACCAGAGGCCATGGTAGCCTTGGACAGCGCCACTTGTAAAGGGACCAGAGGCTGCAGTTCAGACGGCGTAGATCCGGAAGAGCTCGAGAACAGTGATCCACCAAGTAAAGGCTTCTTTCCAGTAGAGCGTGATCGATCAATTTCTGTTATACAATCAGCAACCGTGGACCAAGTGCCGGAAAGAAAGCTGTTCTTACCATCCACGCGAGCCTCTATAGCTTCCTGGATTGGGAGCTCAAAAATCGAACGCTGCCGCCACACTTCCACCACTCGTCGAATTTTCTGTTGGATATCATTTGACGATCCTTTGTATGCGACAGCCGTGGCCTCGGCAATGACCTTCCATGCGTTAGCTCATCGCTGAAAAGCGTTGAGAAGTGGCACCAACCGGAGAGAATGCGATAAGGAAATCCTCCTTTCTCCGAGCTTTCGACTGTTGCGCCACCTCTGCATTGCCATCGTGTTAGTATCCCAAGGTTGTTCTCGATGACGCGTTTATCGTACCGTTCGCCAGGTATATCAAATTCAATCGCTTAGGAGCCGGGGAATCGCGAAGCTTTTGTAGCCAGAGCTGTGCGGTTCGATCCGCATGTCGTCTGTGATTCAAGGATGGTTAGCTTTCAATATTTCCATCTCTGAATGGGTATCGAGTTACCTGTGAAACAAGACCCATTGCGCGACAGTGACAATACCCTCCTGCGTCTCATTGAGAGCGGAGAGCTTTGCCTTTACAGCATCATCGGTATATGCCATGATGGCAACTGAGATTGTAGAAATAAGATGAGATGATACTATCCAGCAGTGGTAGGCTGAGATCTGTACAAGAAGTGCCGTGTCGTCTCTGGCCGTTGCGATCAAAGGCTTAGAAACTTTAGATGCACGCTAATGATAATGCTGATACAATCCACTGCTTCAAGATCAGACAACACAAGCCAGTACACAACAATTCGGACCCTGAATTCACTGAGAAGGATCTTGAAGGGTTTGACACAGAGAGAGCTATGCAAGTGAAGGAAACTTGCTTGCAGTCCCTCTTGACAGCAGCTCGCATTCACCGCCCCCAAAGCGGCAGAAACCCCCCATCATCTAACAAACGGGGCTCTTGGAGACGCCAGCTTAACATTCCTGTTGATTTCCGTTCCTTATCCCTCCATCCAATTGAATTCCCTATCTCCTCTATACAGCCTCAGCCTAATCTACCAAAAGACTTAACATATCTCCAACATGGCGGACCGTTTTCCTTCCCTCGATGAGTTCTCTGCTGGTAATCGACAGCCCGATTTCCCGTCTTCCCCCATAGTTCTAACTGACAGCGAACAGGCCAGACCGAACCCGTCGAGACCAACGGAGCCGATGCCGATGATTTCCTTGCCCGTGAACGCGCTATTCTCGGAGAAGACGCAGAGCAATTTGCTACCGCTCAAGACCACGTTGCTGAAGGACATGAAGCCGGTGACGACTTGCTGGGCGAGTCCGCCCCGGCCGCTAGCGCTGCCCCGGAAGAGATCTCAGGATTCGAGTCGTCTTTCCCCGCCATAGAGACACAGAACGAGGTGCGCTTAGTTTTTGTGTGATTACATGGGTATTCTCAGTAGACTGACGGAATATTCCTATGACAGCAAGTTGCACCTGGTGGTACTATCACTGGAACCGGTGCGCCTTTCCCGCCAACTGGCTATTCCACCTATCAAGCTCCGGAGGAGGAGGGCGAACCCGTCAAGTAAGCTAGCGCTACGGCTGCTGTATTCTCTGACTGCGATTGTTTTATTAACAGGTTGCTTTCTTTACTACAGAGAGTGGCGTGAGAGACGAGACGCAGACGTTGCCCGCCGTGCCGAGATCTCGAACGAGAAGAAGGAAGCGAACGTCAAGAAGGCTCGTGAAGACATCGACGATTTCTATGTTTCGTACAACAATAAGGCCGACAAGCTCCGCGCCCAGACCCACGCTGACGCCGAACAATTCCTCTCCAACCGTGAGGACACCTCCGCAGGCGGCACCAGCTGGGAGCGCATTGCCAAGTTGGTCGACGTTTCCGGCAAAGGCACTCGGGGTGGTGCTAGCGGCTCTGGTAAGGAGCGGTTCCGTGAATTGCTGCTTGATCTGAGAAAGGACCAGAGTGCGCCGGGTGTTAGTGGAGTTTAGGTTTTTGGTCAACGGAGCCGGGGAGTTGAACATACAAGCATACATATGGGGTAATAGATGGTTTCCGCCCAGTGGGTATGGACGATGTTTTGGCTCTTGAGGTCCTTAAGGTGTAATATGACGAGGATGTCAGGAGATCAAGACCCAAGCATTTTCTCTACACCAGATCCTTCCAATGGTTATGCCCAAAAGTCTGCCTGTTTGCCTCTTGAAATTCGGTTCTAATTTGTTGCAATTTACCCCTTTTTCTTCGTGTGTTTTCTATTTGATCTTTTCATTTCTTCGTGATGTAACTAGATATCAAATGCTATGCTTAATCTTTGGTATTATGCTCACACAGAATGAGAGCATGGTTTACTCTTCTGTTAAACACTTGGGATATCTCGGTGTTTGATTCGTAGTGTCTAAATAAAAGATATCTTAAGCATATACTCGTCACATTCCATCAAAATTCGATGGTCGGAATCTAGTCCAGCTCAGTTACAACTCCCTCCCCCGGCTCTCCAACCTCCTCAACCTTCTCCCGCTTACCCTCAGCTTCAATCTCTTCCAACTTCTTCTTCCCCTCCTCCGTAGTGGCATCGACAATTCCCTCCTCGAGACTAAGCAGACCACCTTCCCCAAGCTTCTCCACGACGCCCTCTGCCTCCGCAACAGGCATCTTACCCAGAACCTTGTTAACTTCGTCCAGAGACTCAGACAACAATGCGTTCCGCAGGTCTGCGGAGAAGGACTCAAAGATCTTGCGAGCTTCAACAATTTCCGGATGGTCGCTGCCCTCAGGGGGAATGTTGATGGTGATCTTGGTGTTTGGATCGACTGCGTGCAGCTGGATCTGCTCGACACCTGCCGGGTCGTTGGAGGCGGAGGGATCTTTGGCGAGTTCAGTGGCGCGGATTTTGATTTTGCTGTACGTTTCGTTGACGTCGTTGCGGAAAAGGGTGGATGCTTGGTGGTTGTCGGTTGTGATACTGGAAGCGATAAGTTAGCTATGCTGTATCCTACCTACATGTGCAAATATTGGGAACGTGAGGACATACCGTTTGAAGAACAGGGAAACACCATCCCGACCCAGCGAACGGCAGTACTGCAACAGCAGACCATGGTGGACACACCGGCGAGCATAGTCGTCCTTGCCTTCCATCTGGCTGTTAAATGCCTCCACCAAAAGACCGTCCGTCTCCTTTTCAGCGACAATCTCGGGGTGATCGCCGATGAATTGAAGTTGAGCTCGATAGTCATGTTGGCTGATCTTTGCAAACGTCTTTACCAGGTCACTGGGTCTGGCGTTCTCCGGGTCGTCATCATCTGCGTCAGCCGACGATGAAGCCTTCTGGGGTGCCGCACCAGGGTTCAGCAGTTCAACAGAGTTAGTCTGTCCTCTGGAGGATGCGTTGCCCTCGGCAGGCTTCGCAATGTGAGAGGTGTTAAATCCATCATGTAAACCCTCACTGGTAATCTTACTACCCTCTTCCTTCTCTAGCTGAGCCAGCCGTTGCAGCAACTCCTTCTGCAACCCTTGTACCTTGTCCTTATGCCCCTGCACGCCCTTGGTGTACGCCTGGAAAAGCTCCTCCGACTTAACCTCACCAATCTCCTTCTTAACCTGGTCGATGAGAGCGCCCATCATGGTTGAATACTTGGGCTGCTCCTTTTCGTGCGTGTGGACACCCTCCGGGGGTGGAGGGGGTTGGTCCTCCGCCGGGTTTCCTGCAGACTCCATGATAACCTGGAACACCAATTCTTCGGGGTTGGCCGATGAGGTTTCATGTTGCTTCAAGGCATGAAGTAGCTTATCGATACGCGATAGGAGTCCGTCGTTGATTATGCGCTCGTATTTCAGAGTTTGGATTTCATAGCGGCGCTGCTCTCGTTGCTGATGAATTTGGTTCTGCTTTGCGCGAATGAACGAACGCTTGTCGACATTGGGATGAACCTCGATATCCGAGTCGTCGGACAGCTCTAGGGCGTCCCACTTGCTGTAATCTAGGACCATTTTGGCAAATCGGGGAAGAAACGTAGATGTTTCTAGGAGAAGTGGGATGTAGAAGCGGGGGAAACTGGAGTAAGAAAAAGGGATTAGCAGAACAATTTTAACCTTAGAACGATACGGAAAATAGCAAGTGGACTACCAAAGGAATCCTTTTAAGATCGACAAATCACACTTGTCAATATTTAAAAACACACCAACTAGCGCTAGCAAATCGAGGCAAAACCATCGAAAGCTCTCGATCACTTTCTACATTTGATAAGGCAGGCGGTGACTATTGGCAAAATTGACGCCGCTTGGCCGGCGCCGATACTGGCCCGACTCCGACGGCGATTGCGCTGCGGCTGACTGAACTCCCAAGCTCCCACCCTCGTCACGATCAAGCCCTATTTTGACATTTGGAGCAACCATTGACTCTTCGGTGGTGCCATGATAGCTAGAGTATTTATCTATACCCGGTGAAATATGTCATCCTGCTCTTTTCCTTCCGTGACATCATCCTGAAGCCTGTCCGATTCCGCGTCCTATCCGACCTCCGAAATGCGCGGGGCCAGGTCGATTGCGTCCTGGACTCCGGGGTTTACTGCAAGACAGGTCGCTCAGCCGAAGCAAAGCATCCTAGGGAATTTATGCTCCGTTTCTTATAGGCCTGTCAATCCTGCTGTTCAGAATGGCCTAATCAGATTGTACTCGGGAGCTTCCGGGCCAGCCCGCAACGGCCACAACTCTCTACGTCCGTCTTTTGGATTCGCACCGTCGATTTACAACAATGGTATAAAACACGCTGGTCCTTCCTCTCGTATTGCCGATCAGGTACGACACCTGTTCTCGACACGGCACTGGTTGCAAGCGAAACCGACATCCCCGACGAAACCGGAAGCAAACGGCACTTCTACACATGACAAGGATAATGAGGATGTTGAAAAGGGTTTCGAATTGTCAGAGAAGGCGGCCCAGGCGGCCCAGGTCAATTTAAGCGCGAAGCTGGCTAAGGATGGTGCTAGTGGAAAGAAGTCCGGTTTCCGCGAAATCTGGAGGCTTCTGATGATCGCACGTCCTGAGGGTAGGAAGCTTATTTTTGCCTTCATGTTCCTCCTGGTTTCTTCGTCGATCACCATGTCTATTCCGTTCTCCATTGGGAAAATTATGGATACAGCGACGAAGTCCAAGGAAGAGGGAGGCAACGAGCTGTTTGGCTTGAGCCTTCCGATGTTTTATGGCGCGCTAGCTTGTATTCTTGCCTGCGGTGCTGCTGCAAATTACGGTCGTATCATTATCCTACGTATTGTCGGTGAGCGCATCGTTGCCAGACTCCGCTCGAAGCTCTTCCGTCAGACCTTTGTGCAAGATGCAGAGTTTTTTGATGCGAATCGCGTTGGTGATTTGATCTCCCGCCTGAGCTCTGACACTATTATTGTTGGAAAGAGTATCACGCAAAATCTGTCGGATGGATTGCGGGCTGCTGTTAGCGGTGCTGCTGGGTTTGGATTGATGGCATACACTAGTCTCAAGCTCTCCAGCATTTTGGCTCTGTTGCTTCCCCCAATTGGACTTGGCGCTTTCTTCTATGGTCGAGCGATCAGGAACCTCAGTCGTCAGATCCAGAGGAACTTGGGTAGTCTGACCAAGATCGCAGAAGAACGCCTAGGAAATGTCAAGACCAGCCAGTCGTTCGCTGGAGAGATTCTCGAGGTTAACCGTTACAACAAACAAGTTCGAAAAATCTTTGAGCTTGGAAAAAAGGAATCTTTGATTAGCGCCACATTCTTTAGTTCTGTACGTACCAGGACCACTTGGTATTGAAAGACGGTATACTGACTGCATTTAGACTGGACTCATGGGAAATATGACAATATTGGCACTACTTTACGTCGGAGGAGGCATGGTCCAATCTGGCGGTATCAGTATTGGCGAACTGACCTCCTTCCTGATGTACACGGCCTATGCTGGCTCTAGCATGTTTGGCCTGTCCAGCTTCTATTCAGAACTCATGAAAGGTGTTGGTGCAGCTAGTCGACTTTTCGAACTGCAAGACCGTCAACCGACAATACCACCGACCAAGGGCAGGAATGTCGAATCTGCACGTGGGCCTATCCGCTTCGAGAATGTCTCTTTCAGCTATCCGACAAGACCGGCTGTCAACATCTTCAAGGGTCTTCATTTCGAGATCCCCCAGGGAACCAACGTTGCTATCGTTGGACCTTCGGGAGGAGGAAAGTCGACAATTGCTTCCATTCTTCTTCGTTTTTACACTCCAACTGAGGGTAAGGTCCTCATTAATGGAAAGGACATCTGCGAAATGAACGCCAAATCTCTCCGCAGGAAGATTGGTGTCGTATCGCAGGAGCCTGTTCTCTTCTCAGGCTCGATTGCCGAGAACATCTCTTACGGGAGACCGCATGCGACAAGATCGGAAATTGTTGCGGCAGCCCGGAAGGCAAACTGCCAATTCATCAGTGATTTCGTGAGTAGTGGGAATAAACCCTGCCAATTGCTTAACTAACAAAATTGTTAGCCCGATGGCCTTGACACTCAAGTTGGCGCAAGAGGCGCCCAACTTTCTGGTGGTCAGAAGCAGCGTATTGCCATCGCCCGTGCATTGATTAAGGATCCGGATATTCTGATCCTCGACGAAGCCACATCCGCTCTTGACGCGGAGTCAGAGACTCTTGTGAACAGCGCACTCGCAGCTCTTCTCCGCGGCAACAACACGACGATCAGCATCGCCCACCGACTCTCCACCATCAAACGCTCAGACACCATCATCGTCCTGAGCCCCGATGGAACTGTGGCCGAACAGGGAAGCTACGAGGAGCTCAGCTCTCATCCTGGCGGGGCTTTCACAAAACTGATGGAGTGGCAAATGAGCGGTGGCGATGCGTCGCAGCCTCCTAAGACAGCTTCCGTCAGTCCTGAGACAGAAGAGAAGCTCTCGGAACTTGACCGTGAAGAGTCTGAGAAACAGCACACGGAGTAACCAACATGCTCTCAAAGCGCATTGCGCATTAATTTGCATTTGCTTATCATTTCTGCATCTTGGCTTCGCAGAAATAATCTATTGACACCCGAGGGCTAATATGCTCACTACATAGTCACAACTTGGTGTATGCTTGAAAAGCTCTCTTCTGTTATTTGGATTTCTTTATGAGCACATATAGAGGTTCGATATTATTCAGCTGGTTCTAGCACTCTCTTTTCTCGATTTCATGTAATTTAACTTCATATTGTTTTTCTCTCTAATGGGTCATTTTGGAAGTCCAACTTGTGCTAACAGAGTGCGACAAACCGTACAGAAGCCGGTCTGGCTATACTGAAAATATTCATAGCTATACTCACATTACAACAATATAAAGTCAATCCAAATTCAATATCCTCGAAACAAAACTTTGCAGCAGGTTGGTCCATTGTTGCTGGGTTCGCTGAAGACCTGAACGAAACACCATTATCGCAATATCAGTCATGCAAGGTAGAGCCTGGGCGTTACGGTCGGGTATGACAAGCTCCTCAATCAGGATCTTGGAATACTCGCGCCTCGTGGCGCGTTCAAGATTATTGAAGATAATCGTCGCTTTCTTATCGAACTAGTCATGGAGGACGTGCTTGAAGCAGTACGCCCTCGCATTGTAGACGGGCTTTTTCTCAGCAAAGAAACTATGACCCACCGTCTCTACACCAACAGTATCCATATCTCGCGCTGCGCGCACTCTATCAAGAACAGACGGTAGCTCCTCAGTATAAGCGTCCCAGGTGTATCAAAGAATTGTTCCTGGAAATAAATAAGATTACGTTCACATTCACTACCAATATCAACTAACAACGGCTTTTTAGGACCTAACCCTTCGTGGTTCAGGATTCGTTCTGGCACAAGGAACTAGTCACACCAGAGGGGATAGTTGGCGCGCTGGCCTTCCATGTAGAAGTTGAAGCATATTAGGGCGGCAGGATTCTGGCAGAGCTAGTTAAATTCGTCGACTCCGACGTTGTGGATTTATTGGAGGGAGCGTACATGGGATCGCCAGAGTTGCAGTAGTTAATAACGCAGAGGTATTCGGTCTTTTATTTTTATTCTATTTTATTTTTATTTTATTTTATTTTTTTTTTGAATGAGCGAGAGGCCCTCAAGGAGTCTGTGAACGAGATTATTGATTGAATATGGGAATTGGTTTCTGGGAAGAGTTACATGGATTCCACCGCGCCAATCGAATTTCAACTGCTCATCACCAGGGATATGGCTGTTGGGAGGTACTTGCGAGGCCCGGCTTCTTTGACGAAGCCATTGAGAGCCAGGGGTCATATACGCTCTTCGTGTTCCATCCGTCAGTGACTACTAAACAGAGCTTATGTTCAATATAAGTAACCAACAAGTAATGTATCCGCCTGCTTGACAGCCGCCAGCTCTCCCGGCGACCAGGCTTATTCGCCTCGTTCAGCACGGAGAAGACGCCTACGTCTATGGCGACTTTGACGGCGATAAAGCCACTGGGCTAATTAACTTCCACTAGCTATATGTCGATCACAGACATGCCATGTCCATTCTCAACATTACTGTGAATAAGAACTTCAGGATCGCATTTCATAGCCGCTTAAGAGCGCGAGCTAATTGAGTGGCCTTTCTCGAGCATAAACACAGCATGACTCGTTTTCCCCGGAGGACTTGAAACGATCAAGGCCAGCTTGAGTTTCGGCGAGAAAGTTTCGATGTGCTGGATATCCATAATTCAATTGGTCCGTGTAAGGTTTCCAGGACCTGGACGGGGACCGGGGGTACATTTTGATTTAAAAAAACCGGCTATATCAACTAATTTTGCAGAGTACAAGTACACTACCTATAGTGCGCTCAGCCGTTCCGGCCTCTTGTTGTGCACTTGAGCAACATAGGGAATGCACATACTTTCTATTTTCGGCATGCCACTTGACGGCTGTCACCAAGTCGGGCGGCGATTTTGTCATTCAGGGTCCATACTGTCTTGCGCTGTGGGGTACAGAGACCAACACTACAGGGTACAGAGCATAAGTACCATATTCTGTGCAATGACTCGGTGCACACTGCGTACATGTCTTGGGCGCTTATTTGGTGGGAGTATACGAGTTGATATACGGGATGCCGTGCTGATTGCATGGTAGCAGTTAAAAAACGTTCGACATGAATCAGTATTTACATGTCAATGCCGAATCAGCGTTGCAGCAGGGTATAATAAAGAGATTGAGGATTCCAGACAAAGGGGAAAAAAAAGAAAAAGAAAAACCAGAGTCACCAGGGTTTGGAACGTAGGATATTTTGCGAAAATCTTCCATTATTGGCTCTATCATCAAACTACCAAGAGGTAGGTGCATAGGGAATCGGACGTCCCCCGTACTAAGCACAGGCACGAGGCATTTTGGCATTCCGCCTAGCTGAGATAAAGAGCCGTCCGAAAAGAACAGTGGATACTTGGGTTCATAAATGACTGCGCCGCACCACTTTTTTGGACTGTGCATGCCGCGGTCGACGGGCGCTGTGGATGCTTGTGTTGCGCGTCCGGAGACGTCAAGGGAACATGTTCCCCAGTCACCAATTTAGGGCTTTATTCCGGAGTTTTATTCCCTGTTTCTCCCATTATTAAAACTGTACAAGTGCTTACGGGCTACATAAAATCCTGAACGGAGGGATTGAATACCTGGTACATAGGAACAAAGTTATGCCATGTGGGGTGAAGGATACGCTAGTGTTGGTTTTATTCTGTTTACGACGCTCCATACAGCTACTCCATCCAGCCTTCCAGTTTGATTCGATTATTTGAAGGAACAAAACTAATTCCTTGGCTTCTATTTGTCAATGTAGGCCGATACTAGTTGTGGTGATAATGCGGTATTATTTGTATGTAGTTCACTGTTATGCATGGCATGACCCAATATCAAGTCTTTAGGGATGGATGGGATTGGCGCAGTGTACCCCGAGCCTGGTAGTTCCAACGACTATTATGCAGGAGCTGCAACAGACGATTTTGATGAAGGACATGTTGGGAAAGTAGGGATCAGGCCGACGGGCACGACACGCACGTGAGGCTCTTCTCTTGTTTTTTAATATATTTTTTCATTCGAGAAATCTCTGCAGATTGGACAAGGCACATCTCCAGATTCCAACAATGGCCTACAATGTGGCATCAGAGCTCTTTGCAGAATGGGCCATTGGTCTGGTCGTCATTGCTATCCGTCTCTATGCCCGCTGGAAAGTCAGTGGAGAGAAATTCTACTGGGACGATCTATGTTTAGGATCTGTTGCTGTATGATTCCGTTCCACTTTGGAGCCTATGTGGGTTGGTGATGCTGACTGGTATTATAGGCCTTCTGGACGTTCCACACGGTCTTTTTGTATCTTTGCACTGGTATGTATCATATTTGCAAGGACGGCTTCGGCGAACTGGTGCTCACGATTACCTTCTTCGGAAAGATGTATACGGATCCAATATTGGTCTTACTGATAAGACGGCTTTAGAGGTTCCCGATGACCAAGTACCGGTGCTACGAGAAGGGTCCATTGACGCCTTCATTGCCTGGCTATCCTACATTTTTATGGCGTGGTCGTTTAAGGGAGTTCTCATCTTCCTCTATAACAAGATGACGTACGATTCGCTCTGAAGAATAAGATACGATATGAGGTTGACTCGCTGAATATAGGATTGGTCTCTGGCAACATAGACTGGCAGTGATAGCTAGCATATTCTGCGTCTGCACATTCTTCGCATCGTTATTTTTCCATCTGTTTATCTGCTACCCGGTTCACAAGACGTGGCAGATTAAACCCTATCCTGGGGGTAAGCCACCTATCACCAGAACAGAATCAAACTAACAACACCAGATAACTGCACAGTCCGACCCCTAAATTACATCGTCATTGAAACCCTCAGTATTGTGTACGTCCCTCCATAACTCATTCCATACGAAGAACTGACCAACAAACCCACCAGAACCGACATCGTAATAATGTGTGTCCCTATTCCTCTAATCCTTGCCGCCCGCATCCGCGCAACCCAAAAGTTCATGCTCTGCTGCCTCTTCTCCTCCGGCATATTCGTCATGGTCGCCGCCTTCTTGCGCGCCTACTACTCTGTGAAAAACATCTCCAGCCTTTCCATCGCCCTCGGATGGGCGTCGCGCGAAGCACTCGTCTCTGTCATCACCGTTAGCGCACCGGGACTCAAGCCGCTGATCACTCGGTCGAGATGGTTCCAGTCGTATGGGTCTTCTAGTGGTGATACGGGGACGCCTAGGATGGCGACCATCGGTGGTTCGAATAAGAGGTTGGATACTGCTTTTAGTAGGAGTAAGGGTCGGGCTCGGAGGAAGAGTATCGGTTCACATCCTATTGAGTTGGGGTCGTCATTGGGTTTCAAGAAGGGGCGGAGGGTGTCGGATGCTGAAAGCCAAGAACATATCACTGGGGAGGAGGAGTTGGGGGATAAGGGACAGGGGGAGAATGGGGGGATTTTGGTTACTACGGATTTGACATTTTCAGAGGATATAGAGCAGGGGGGTCAAAAGTAGCATTGATAAATGTTTAAAAAGCAAGTATGTATATAATAAAGGTATAATTGTATATTAATAATAAAAATACCCAAGACTTGGTAGCCAAATAACTTAAATGATTCAACATCAGTTCAGTCGAGCAAGACACCGTGAAACCAGGTAGTGAGATGGTCTGGAGCACCCGTAGTGCCGGACAAGGTTAGAATCGATATTATTGTCCACCGCGGGTCAATCATTCTCTTCATCTTCAACGCCTGGTCATAAGGCATTTTAAACTCGATGATTTTCCTAGGTAGAATAGGCCTGGATAATCGTACCTTGACCAAGCTAACTCTGGCACCATCCTTTGTACTTTGGGTGCCTCTGTAAGGCTTTAGTGCATGGAATATTCTGTAGACATTCCTTCATGTTATCAAAGTCTATTCATCGATGGGGATCTCGTTTGTTGTATTCAGAAGCCCTCCCGGACATCCAGCAAACTTGGAGTTTTATCGTAGCCATTGGCTCTCCTAAAGTTACTGTTACGGAGCGCGGGCGCTCACCAGCGACGCAAGATGGTGAATTACTTTAGCCTATTTGAATATATGGCAGGGGCTCCCTTCGCACACACTAGATAGCGCACCACTGGCAGGCCCAGCTTTTTCCTTTCCTTCTCCATATCAGTATTGCGCTATATAGTCTACCAATAAAATCATGTCTTTTGAGACCGTCACAGTTGCTCTCAGGCGCTTGGAGCTCAGTAAGCCTTTTTCCATCAAATGGTGGTTTTTATTTAACTCTTTGATAAAACCTTCCAGGTCCGTGGTTCCCAGACACTACTCTGGCTGAAGTAAATTGTTCACTGACATTACCATAAAAGTGGCCAGATTGCCCGCCGTCATCTGCCAGTCGGGGTAAGTCAATCGGCTTTCCTGTGTCATCCAGTCTCTGAGACAATTCTGGCGCGCCCGTGGCCCTGGACATTGCTAGAATCGAGATGAGAATCCACTCAAGGTTTATCATATTTCTCAATTCTCAGCATGCTAATGAGGTATACTAATGTTATGTAACCATCGGAGAAAATATTTCTCGACGAGTTCACCTTTGAAGCCACAATTGTGTCATTGACTACGTGGCTCAAGATTCAATGATCGCATTTTCAAGGAATTTGGTCAAGTGCTTTGTGTAGCTCGCCGGAAGTGGTGCCGACGGTTTGTTGTGTTTCTATATTGAAGAGTAAGGCATCTGGTAGGAGCGTTAAGTGAAGACAAGACAAGATTAGTGTGTAGGGGGATAGGAATGATGGCTGCTTGCCTAGCCCTAACGTAACTTCTGCCTGTCGGAAATGTGGCTTAGTCAGGGTTGAAAGTACGTATCAAGCGTATATGGTTGAGGTCTCTAATTCTTGCAAAAGTGTGCTAGCTAGGATCCTATATACGACCGTAAATACCTTATAGAGTATACTAAGCCGATTGTGCGGTTTCAAAAGCAGTAATAGCAGAGTAAATACGCTGCTTTGCGCCATATGATATCAGCAAGGCATCAATCAGGCATCAGTTGGTATTGTTCGGTAAGGAACCTCTATATTCCGACACTGCCTTGAAGGTCACATGTCATTATCAGCCATCATTATCTTATCAGCACGTGACAGTATGACAACATCAGTGATAAGTGCTGAACACCGCAATGACTCTCCATCTTCATCTTCTTGTCCCCATCATCTCATCGGGGGACGAAAGCTCACGCTCTAACGATCATGAACCGCATCCGGAGATGGCTTCGGCCTGACCCTCAATCCAGCTACCAGCCTGTGGAAGTTGCCGGTGAGGCGGATGATTTCGAGAATCGGTCGCTTCTTTCACAAAGCAGTCATGTTCCGCCATTTTCCAGGGTTGAATATGGGATTTTCTTTCTCTTGGGTGTGTCAATGTTATGGGCTTGGTATGTTTCTTGGATTGTTTGCGGATTACGTTATAATCTGGTTCACTGACGAGCTCGGTGTGCTCCATTACAGGAACATGTTCCTGGCTGCAGCGCCCTACTTCCGGCATCGATTACAGTCCGACGACTGGGCTGCAACCCATTACCAGCCTGCTATTCTGTCCGTCTCGACAGTGACAAATTTGGTAACGGCTTTCATTCTCGCGAAGGTGCAGAAAGGCGCTTCCTATCCCAGACGAATTGTCTTGTCGCTGCTTATCAACCTTACCGTTTTCACTATCTTGGCCTTTTCCACAATCCTTATGGAAGATGTCGCCGTGGGGACGTATTTCAATTTCTTGATGATCACGGTGTTTGGTGCTAGCTTGGCGACGGGAATTAACCAGAATGGGATGTTTGCGTATGTCTCAGGTTTCGGAAGGGAAGAATATACCCAGGCAATCATGGCCGGGCAAGGCGTGGCAGGTGTCTTGCCCAGTATCGTGCAGATTCTGACACAACTGGTCACGCCGGGGCCCAGCGGAGATTTAGAAGCGCCGCAGGGATCGGCCAAGTCGGCCTTTATCTATTTCATCACCGCGACACTGGTGTCTTCGTCCTCGTTACTTGCCTTTCTTTATCTCGTGAAACAGAGTTCAGGAAGGGCATCCGTGCTGCCGGCCAATGATGACGAATTGATTTTGTCAGAGCATGTTGATCGCAAGACTGTGGGTCTTTGGGATCTTTTCAAGAAGCTCCGTTGGAACGCCCTGGCCGTCTTCTTGGTATACATGATCACAATGATGGCCCCTGTGTATACGGTAATGATTGAGTCGGTCCATAATGATGCTGGCCGCTCTCGGCTCCTTGAGCCATCAGTGTTCATTCCATTGGCGTTTCTAATTTGGAACTCAGGAGACCTGATTGGCAGGATGATAGTTCTTGTTCCACATCTATCTCTGGCACATCATCCCTTGACACTGTTCATTTCTGCAGCTTGTCGCTTGGGATTTATTCCTTTATATCTGCTCTGCAACATTCATGGCCGAGGAGCTGTCGTGCAGAGTGACTTTTTCTATCTTTTCATTGTTCAACTGCTCTTTGGTATTACTAATGGTTACTTGGGAAGTAACTGTATGATGGGAACGAACTATTGGATCTTGCCGGAGGAACGAGAACCTGCCGGTGGTTTTATGAGCATGATGCTTGTCGGAGGCTTGACTGCTGGGAGTCTGTTGAGTTTCCTCGCTGCTGGTTGATAGCGGCTCTACGCACGTTTTATTACGTATGACTTCAATTGGTTTTACTATACATCAGATTTCAGATAATAGACGGTCAAGATTGCTCTGATTCCCCGTTTATTCCCCTGTTCCGAGTTTTATCCGTCTGGTGAGCATATGCTTGTGTGTCACCATGTTTTTTTTTTTTTTTTTTCCCGGGGGTGCATTCAGATAGTATTAATCATGACCTAAGAGATTAAGCATCTAATGTTGTCTACTGGAGTGATCCGTAGCGATATCCTGGTTTTGGAGCCATTGCTGACCATTCAAGATGACCTCTGGCTGACTCCTGTTTGTCACCCGGAATCATACGTGAGATTTCATTGGGACAGTGAAACATGAAGAACCTTTTTGCCATCCACCTTGAACCACTGAATTTTTCGGATTTATTGTTCTAGTCATGTTCACTTATTACGACTATCTGACTTCTGCTTGATTTGCTCTCATAAATGCCCTGTTCCCTTTCTCTCAAATCTTGATATCTGACAACCAACTATCAACATCTGACTTTCTGCTTATGCCCCTTTCTTACACTTGACTGCCATTCAGAGCACTTTTGTACAGACTATGACTTTGTCCTTTAGTGACCTCTGGGGTCATCTGTCTTTCCAGGACACGGCATATGGTGCCCTCCTCACGGTATGTAGCCAGCTCTACCAGATGCTGATCATTAGCTACATGGGTGGACATTAATAATAGGCAGTTCCTCATATACTACCTCGGCCACGCTGTTTACGCCCTCTACATTCACCCGCTAAGCCGCTACCCCGGACCCAGACTTGCCGCTGTCTCCTTTATCCCACAAATTGCCTACGAGATCCGTGGTCAGCAACACTCCTGGGTCAAGGCACTCCATGATGAGTATGGCGAGGTCGTTCGCATCGGCCCGAATGCCCTCGTCTACCGCGCACCTCAGGCTTGGAAAGACATCTACGGTCACAAGAAAAGAGGACAGAAAACGTTCGCCAAGGATCCGCAACTCTACACTGCGGCCCCAAATGGCGCAGAGGGTATTGTAACGGTAAACGGAGCGGATCACTCCCGCATGCGAAGACTCATGGCGCATGCGTTCTCAGACAAGGCGTTACGGGAACAGGAGACTTTGTTGCATACCTATGCGGATCTACTTGTGCAGAAGATACACAAGCAGCTTGTCGAGGGCAAGACGTCGAAAATTATTGACCTCGTTCGCTGGTACAATTACGTAACTTTCGACTTGATTGGCGATTTATCTTTCGGGGAACCATTCAATTGTCTCCGTGACGACCAGTACCACTGGTGGGTATCGTTGATGCTGGACGCCGTCAAAGTGAGCGGATACCTCAAGATCCCTCATTTTTACCCGTTCCTCAGGCCACTTGGCACTCTCTTGATACCGAAGCGCCTTGTCAAGAGGAGAGACGCCGTCTTCCAACAGACCGTGGATATGGTTAGTCGACGGCTTCAGCGCCAAATTGAGCGACCGGACTTTACATCCTATATCCTCCGGCATAAAGACGATGAGCTTGCAATGTCCAGGGGCGAACTCGATGCGAATGCGGGCACTTTAGTATTGGCGGGCAGCGAGACGACTGCGACTACATTGTCGGGAACTACGTACTATATTCTACGGCATCCCGCAGTGTATCGACGATTGGTAGATGAAATTCGCGGCGCTTTCAAGGATGCATTGGATATTCAGCTCTCGTCTATTGCTTCACTGCGGTACCTCAATGCAGTCTTTGATGAGTCGATGAGAATTTACCCGCCTGTCCCGGCTATGCTACCGCGTCTTGTCCCTGAGGGAGGTGCGATGATTAACGGTCACTATGTGCCTGAAGGTGTAAGTATCCTTCCCTTCACCATAAAAATTCATTCCTATACTAACTTGAGATGATAATCTACAGACATCAATCTCCATATCTATATATTCGACCGTCCGCTCCGCCACCAACTTCGCAGAACCAGACACCTTCATCCCCGAACGCTGGCTCCCACCATCCGACGGCGGCATCGCATTCGTAAAAGATAACAAATTCGCTCTGCAGCCTTTCTCTTACGGCCCGCGAGTTTGCATCGGGCAGCAGTAAGCCGCTTCCTTTCCCATCCTTTCTATTGTTTAAGACATGTATGGTTGACGGTATGGTTATGTAGTCTCGCATTTGCAGAGATGCGTCTCATTCTAGTTAAGCTGTTGTGGCATTTTGATCTGGAGTTGAACCCCGAAGGATTTGGTTGGGTAGAACAGAAGTCGTATACTTTGTGGGATAGACCACCGTTGGAGGTGAAGGTTTCGCTTGCTCCTAATACTGCTTAGGGGATTTTTTTTGGATATTTCTTTGACGCATTAGAGGTTGGTACTTCTACATTCAATGATTCGCGGCCCTTTTCTTTCTTTCCCTCCTCCCACAACAATTCGATTCTTTTACCTGAAAGTTTAAATCGACTCCAGTGAGATGCCTTTAACTGTAATTGAGCCAACAAAGCAAAAAAGGCATTGTGGTCAGCGCGGAAGAGGCGTGGTTTCCCGTCATTTGTGTGGTACGCCTTGAGGACCTCGAAGCATTCTGTGGTGTAGTGGATGCAGGAGGCACTGGGGAGGAAGGATAACGGCCCGTAGGGTTTTAGTTCTGGGGTTGACCAGCTGGTGGTGTACTTCTAGGTTGCGTGGACCATGTGGTCGGTGCAGATGGTTTCATCGCTTGTGGTGGCTGTACTTTTTTCGGGGACATTGCATGGGTTAGTTGTGTAGATGTAGGTTAATTTGGAGGCGTCGAGAGGTTGCGGGGATTGATTTTCGTTGAATGTAGCGGCCATTTTTGTAGGTCAAACAGCATTTATTGTATGCAAAGGCAAAAGCAGACTATTCAGCGATAAATATAACTATATAGCCGTTGTTAGAATATGCGTAGTACCAGACGCACTATTAGTTGACTTTACTAGGGCGTAGCATACTTAGGGCGTGTTTTTTCCCAGGAAAATATACACCGTTGGATAAGACAAAGCATTACTAATCCTTAGGCTAGTCTGTAAGGTATCAAAGGAGAAATTATTTGAACATGAATATCTGTAAAATCTACTTCTAAGATGGATTGGACGTTGTATGGTCTGTAAGCCCAACAGAGCCATGGTGACATTGCTGCTCTCGAAAAGCAGCCAGCCACTGTGGATGATCCGCAATGGTTTGATTCCATGGATCATCACAATCATAGAATAAATGCCTCGCTTCCTGCTGGAACATTTCATCCGTAGGAACGATACCAAGACGTATCTGCTCCTGCGCATAATGACTTAAATGGAGTGTCAAAATCTGGGTGTAAGAATTAAGAGGCGAATCTTGCACTTGGAGTTGCTCAAGTAAAGCTGGTAAGTCTGACTTGTTTTTTGTTTGCCATTGGCTAGTGTTGGTGCTGGTATCAGCATCATGGTGGAAGGAAGCCCGTGAAAGCATCTGAGAAAAATGGTCTTTCGCCTGGCTATTAGTCGCGGAAAAAGGCACCACCGTTCGTGATTCTAGGTCTATCAAGTATGGTGGCACAGCACATGTGACCTTGGCTGCAATCGAGTCGGGGAATTCATGATCACCTTTCCAGTCAGCCATCGTCAAGCCGCTGCGGAAATGACCTGCAAGGTGTTTGTACCGTTCAGGCCAGTTGGACACTTGACGATCGCAGAATCCGCAGCGGGAAGTGAAATTGGTTGTTTCCGTTTTCCAGCCATCGATTAATGGGAGTGTTTCAAGTCTGTGGAAAAGACGAAGATGTTGAACAAGATGATCTTTTCGTCGGAAGCTGCGCTGTTGGCCGTCACATGCCCCATGATTATGTTGATTGAGGTGCTCAGTAGTTGGATCAAGCTGGTTACAATATGCACAGTGTACGCGGTTTGTCGAGGGCAGGAGAACAGTTCCTCCATATGGAGCGCAGATCCAATTTTCGAGATTCAGATGAAGTGACTTCTCGTGCCGCATCCAGTCATACTTGCTTTTGAATTTGTCGCAGCAAAACGTGCAGCAGAACGGACGAATGTCATCCGCTGACTGTGTTTTGTCTTTCTTCGCTTGACGTGTCTTGCGGACGCGACCTGTTTTTTTCTCAGGTGTCTTGTGGCTGCTGCTAGAGGTCCCTGATTGTCGAGAAGACACACTGGTAGCACTTCCAGCGCTCGTTGTAGAGCCAGCTCGGGATGCTGGCCGACGGTAATTCCGGAAAGCATTGGCGACGTCTCGGTCAGGGATACCAGTGGACTGCTCGGATAACGAACCCTGGACCGCGTCTTTAATGGCAGGCAACGAAGCTGGTTCTTCTTCAGGAGGAGACTCTTGCCAGCGCCGCAGGGGATCCGGAGTGCTGGCACCTGATGGAATGGCTATCGGACTGGCCTGCTTCCCGGACCTGTCGATGAAATATCTGCTTCTACGGCGGGGAAGACTTCGTTTAGACCTGCACCGTTGCCTCTCTGGTGGTGCAGATCTTGGCTCTTCTTCTCCGCTCTTTCTGAGACCGGAGGTTGGGTCCGTACTCGTCGCGAAAAGATCCGGCAATTCGGGGGATACGGGTTCAGATTGTTTATTTATCCATCCCACCGGAAGACCGTTTTGAATCGACCAATCATTGGAACCCCTATGTTGTCCAGAGCCGCTGTACACATAGTTCTCGATATATGTCCCAGCATCGATGTCTGTCAGAGCTGGCGGGACGTGATCATCCTGGACAACCGAGGTAGTGGCGTCTGGATGAATGAGTGTCTCGTGTGGGAAATATGACGATACATCGTCTGGGACGGCAGCAATTAACGGATCGGCCTCGAACGAATCCGTTATGTAAGGAATATCAGGCAAATTGTTCACTGACAGAAAGTGATTAGCTCTGAGCTTGAGACGGTTGTGGTCGGTAGACGGACGCACAGTTTGTGTCTTGAGGAGCAAATTCCCCCTCATCTAGAATATAGAAGTACGGAGGTTGAGTCGCAGAAGGAGTTTCCATTTTATGGCGACTGTAGGACAGAACGCCCGGTGAGTGTCGCATTGGCGGTTGACTCTTCAGATAGTGACTGATCAGAAAATGCATAAACCGCCGGATTCGGATAATGAACGGCTTTATGCATGGATAAACATATTAAGCGAGCTAACGACATGCGCCTATTCTAGAAAAGCACGCCCTACGCCTTACATGATCGACCTTGACCGTAAATGGTACGTTGCCTTCTTCACTTGTTCCTATTCGACTCTCACACTCTCCTCATAAGATAAACAGGTCCGACTAGCGTGATAGTTACGAATTGAATGACAATCTCACTGTCCAAGACACCCCAGCCGACGATGCTACAGTCAGTCTGGCTTTTCCGGAAGGTGGCCGCGAGGCATGGTCATGTCTCTTAGGCTCGTTCCTTCTGGTGTTTGGCTCTTTTGGATTTCAGACTTCCGGTAAGAAAGCAACTTGTGGTATTGTGTGTCGAGTCAACCAATTCCCTCCAGTCGGAACAATACAGTACTACATCAGCACCCATCAACTGTCCGACTACAGCGTTCGCGATGTGAGTTGGGAAACAGCGGTACTCGATTTTCTGACTCTCTTCCTTGGTGTTCAAGTCGGGCCACTGTTTGCTCGTTGTCCGCTACGCCGCCCTCTCAACAGACGTCCAATTCTACTCCCTAACAGTCCTAAATAGCGTGAGCCTCGTCGGCAGAATCCTCTCCGGCCTCGCAGCGGATATCCTCGGATGTTTTAACATTCTCCTCCTGCTAGTTGTGATAATACTCCTTGTCATGTCCGCCGTCTGGCTCCCCTTCGGTTTCCGCGACGAAGCAACTCTCTATGCCGTCGTTGCGATCTTCGGCTCCGGATCGGATGGGCGGTTATATCTCTTGCGCCGGTCTGTGTGTGACAGTTATGTCGGACAGACGAGTATGGGAGGTTTCATAGAACGGTATATTGTGTTTCTGTGTTTGGGGTGTTGCTTACTGTGCCGGTTGGAGGTGAGTTGGAGGTGAGTTACTGCAGGTGACGACGCCGCATGTGCTCATCTGGTTTTATTCTGCGATGCTTTTGACTTGGTTTGTCTGTCTTGCAATGTCGAGGTGGGCATTGCCGGATTGGGGTTGGAAATGGAAGGTCAACTTGCTGTCCCAATTTACTATGAACTTCAGGGTTTACTTGATGAGGCTTCTGGGTGCAAGGAAAGACTCAAAGATCCTGATGAGGATTTATCATTAACTGTGAAGGGTATAAAGAAGTACAAGAAGAACTAAACCTTCATTAATGCTTCTGTTACGCACTATACTGCACTTATCTTGGATTCTCGGGTCAAAGGTAATCTACTTCTGGAGGAGCTGGATGATGAAGATACTGAGAGAAGAATTCTTCAACCTCTCTGTGACAGCCTTCGCCGTGGTTACTCAGTCTCAGTCAATATTGTGGGATCCGCGAGATCCCGAACTTCTTGGCCGCCTCTTCTGCACAAGCTTACCTACAGCTCAATCTCTGCTGGAGCGCAGTACCAAGTGCAATGATGTGGAGTCCCGGCTACTAAACAGGTTACAACCACGAAATCAAGCGCTGCTTTTTGGTATTGATCGCTATTTTGATAGCCCTCGGGTCAATATAAATGATATGAAAGATCAAAATTGGTTATGCAATTGGTGGCAGATAAACAAAGGTGAATATCCCCAGATGGCTGCCGCTACTGGAGACTATCTAGCGATTCCTGCCTCTGAGGTCCAGTAGAAAGGCTATTCGATGCAGGAAAGATATATAAGGACACTAATTCATATACTTAGCTTTGGTGTTGGCGCAATAAATCTTGTGAATCAAACATTGGTTACCTTGCTAGTTTCTGACTCGTCCGCACATAACCAACAACCCATTATACGTACTCGGTTGGCCTTGTTTCTCTATTTTACTTTTTGATTATCTTACGGAGCCTGGAGGGGGCAATATACCCATCGACGCATCACGAACCGGACCCGGAGGGGCATTGAGCATATGATCGCTTGGAAGACACTTAGGTAAGTGTCCAGTCTCGAAATACAAATAACTAGAGCCTTAGGTACAATACGAGAGAGGCCAGGTTGTGACATGTCTCTCCTGCAGTGTTTCTCATGATACACCTCTCCAGTGCCTCATCACGCCATCAAAGAGGTAATTCATTTTATCCTTCAGGTATCACTTGCTCGAATAGCTGTTCTGGACCATCATACCCAAATATTGCATGATCAACGAATACAAGGGCCAAAAGCTCATTGGCAGCACTAAACAATGGTTTTTCATGTTCCCATAGGGCAAGGCTAGAACTGTGAGAAATGTCAGCTTTGATAAATATTAGAGACTATTACACAAGAGTTTGATTATTAATTTCTTACACAGTAACTATATGTCACGGGCTCGGAATAGTAGATACTAACGAACTGAATTCCTATCTAACTATTGTAGCCATCGACGAGAATATCGAATCTGGAGAAGAAGAGAAAAGAAGAAGAAAGTCTATTTACACGAAGAAGTCTTATATGGTTGTATGTGGCCTCGCTACGCAGCTTGCTTGTCTTGACTGCTTCCATGGTATTGTTTGCCGTGTTGATGGTGCTTGCTGATAAAGGCGCTGAGCTGAGCCGTTACACACGCCCTGAGCAGCCTGGGCTGATCATTGAATAACTAGAGGCTGAGCAGAGGGATGAGGAGCCTGAATAAAGCAGCCTCAATAAAACACACTATGCTAGTGTTTCGCCTGTGTCCATTTTTCTTCGTAGTACTTTTGACCATCATCCCCTTGACCCCCCCGCGACAAAGCGATGCCACTATCAATGAACTGGGGAATTGAGGTCATCATTCCTTCTGCTCCTAGATAGCTTCACCAGATGCTGGGGTACCCCGCAATTCAGGAGGGAAAGCGGAGTTCTGGTTATACGAGAGATCGGCATAATGGGTCTTCATATTTGCGCATGGCTGAAACATAGCTAGAACGGGTCGATCTGAGCCCGCGGCAGCAACATGTGGACAATGCTGGATATGTTGGCTCTCTGACTGAAAAAACTTTGATATCTAGATGATCGGTATATAATTGACTAATCCATTGAGCACCAATTGTAGAATCGTCGCAAAGAGACTCGACAATAGGGTTAGACAATGAGAACTGCAATAATCCAGAACAATGAATGGATGCGGCGTAGCCAATTTGAATTCTCGGTATTTGGGTTGGCCTTTGTCATGAACGGGTAGAACCACAGGAACTAGAGTTAAACCAGCCGGTGGCTTGATCTAATACCACGAATACGAGTTCTTATGCATGAACATGGCTCGCGCGCAAAATGGCAGGTTCCGGGCAAAGCAAGTGATGTGGAGATTCTGTAGTAGCAATGAGGTTAAAGAACCAAAAAAAAAAAAAAAGAGAGAGAGAAAGAGAGAGAGATTCTTCCATTCTTAACCCGTTCATAATGCCAATAGGCCTACCTAGCATGTTTTACACTATATCAGCCATGAGACTTGCTCTCAAGTCTTTTGCTTCCGCTATCTTATGCACGCTCAATGCAAGAGGTAGCAATGGGTGCCACACACTGTTTTGTATGCGGGAATTATGCCAATCGTACTCCCAATCGGATAAGCCACAGGCGCAGATCAGGGGTAGGCACTTATCGGAAACAGTGTGTACATCGACAGCGTTGTTATGTGGGAGCCGGGGCCAATCACTGTCAAAGGCAAGAAGGCGGGGGGCGAAGCACCACAGCCTTGCAGCTTTGCTTCATGACAATATAAATGGCGTTATATTTGACTGCCTTGGCTCAAAGCTGATCGCAAAGCACAGTCATGGGTGACACTACATGTTTGGATCCTACATACACATTCCAAGACTTCGAGACGTTCTCAAGGTGTTTCAGTTCATGGAGAAACACCACTAATTTCTCAAAAGCAGTTGTTTATGTCGACACCCCCTTTGGGAAAGTTATCGATGGCTGTATTCAAGATTACTGCAACTTTACTAGCCCAGACCTTGGGGGTTGCACATTACCTCAAAAGCACTGGAGCGACATCTACCAGCTCAGATCGCATCCGAATGTAAGCTTTGAGTCTTCAGCATGCGCTGGACTGAATAGTCGTGTTAATACGGACATAGCAGGCCCCGGGGTATGTTTCCTTGATATATCAGATTCTCGTGAAGTTGTAATTGATTGTTGCACAGGTCATTATATCTTATAACATGCAAATCGTAATGATCGGATTTCTTTGGCTGGCCATACGGGCCTTGGACCTAATCGATTTCAAGAATGCCAAGAATAGCTGCAGCGGAGTGCGTTTGTATCTTGCAAACCATCGCTCCGTCGTCCGAATGTTTCTGATTGAATTCCAAGAGGCTCAGTGCTTTTTTGTCATTGCCATCCAAATTGCATTTATTTTTTCTATGTCTGCAAAGCCCGAATTATATGGTGCCGCTAGTTTGCGCCAGCTCTATCTAAATATTGCAATGACTAGAGCAGTCTGTCACATGGCCCTTGCCTCCGTCACCTTTGGTCTCTGGCTAATCCAAACGACCAATGCCAAATCTTTATACACCTTCATCTGCTCTTCTATTACCATTTGTCTATCTATTGCTGCATTCCACATGGTCGGCCACTGGTTACCATCGCCGGACAATGTCACGTTGCCCAAAAACGACCGCACCTGGACAAGGTGTGGTTTCCATTCTCCTCCACTGGTGTGGTGCGCAGATCGATATGGCTATCAGGAGGTAGCCTGGTTCCTTCCAATAGCCGTCTCTCTATTTTGCTTTTCAATGTGTTGTACGCTGTTTGATTTACTGTCAGTTGGTCCACTAGCCAAACAATATCTTCGCGACAGCGATTTCAAATGGTTGCAGAATGCCTACCACTGTGTGAACGGACTGCTCTTCTCATCAAAAAAGGCTAATTCCAGGTGGAGTAAGTTGCTCAGGGCATTGGGCTTTTGTATTGATATCATTATTCTGGCAACGACTCTTGTGTCTATGGTGATCTCAGGTTCCGAAGTTGAGCTTGTTCCAAATGAATGGAACCTCGGTCAGGTTATGGCTGTGACAATTTGGGCACCACCTATTGTGAAGTACTTCTATTGGTCACTGTGTGAGTCTCACTGTCGCGATATCTTGTGTTCTCAGCTAAACCGTTCTAGTCGGGGTCGAGTCTTATTCGGCCACCCGGATTCCATTACCGTACAAAATCACAAAAACGGATTCCAATTCTTCTGAATAAACTACAGCCTAGTTCCCTCTTGGCTTATTTGACACTGCGTGTACGGCTGAGTTTGCCGTCGATTTTGAAGCAACAGTCTCCAAGTAATGTTTGAATTTCGGCATGGCGGGAGTTCTTGACAATGGTAGAGAAATAAAAACAAGTATTGATGGCTGTTAGAAGATGATTTTAGTAAAGAGGAAAAGGAGGAAGGTGCACAAGGGCTGCCTGCTAGCTACCATCACTAAGCCATTTTCTGCTTCCTACGTGCCTCAAACATGGTTCAGATTAAAGGACGCCCTATGCATTATACATGTTCAATCAATATATACAAGAAAATGCGACCAGCCTAACACCTATAATGCAATCATAAAGAGAGCAGCTCAGAAGAAATCCCTCTCTTCCAACCACTGCGAATCAATCGCATACGCCACCAAATCTGCTGCACAACACATATCCTCATGACGGTGCTCGAGATCTAACAGGTCAAGGACAGCTTCTAGTCTATCGTCAAGAATCTTCCTCCACTGAGTAGCCTGTAGCTGTGCTTCTGCGATGTTTATTCGCTGCACAAGAGGCCTATTCCCGGAACCCTTCCCTTGTTTCTGCCCAGACTGTTTGCTGATGACAATGTTCTGCTTATTTGGTGAACAGGGCGCTAAAGCTTTTCGTTGTGTTGTTTGTGGTTGTGTTGGTCGGATTTCGTCCTTCTTGTTTTTCAATAGGTTTTTGAGTAGGAAACGGAGCCAGACTATGTTAGTTCCAGGAGCGTATTCAGACCAGATTCCGGGAACATCTGCTGGCTTTTCAGGATTTGCTGGGTTTCCGGTGTATAGCTCAGAGCGCATGCTGGGGGTTAAATTAACATCATTCTTGTTTGAATGCTGAATCATGGCTACTCACTGTCTATATGTGTCTCGCAGCAAGGCGTCGTCCTCATCGTGGCCGATAGCGTCAAATAATTGTTTCTTGTCTAGATCAGAAGAGGCCACTTCGGGCGGTGCATTTGGGTCTTCGTTGAGCCGCAACTCAGCACGAGAAAGTGAGTAATCAATGAGAGTTGTCTCGAGGGTGCTAAATCCGTATCCGCTAGAATGTGTTCGAGATACAATCTCAAGGTCGGTAGGCGGATCCATGCGGCCGTCTGAGCGCGCAGAACGAATGCAAACGTTTCCAAGATGGAGATCCCGATGCTAGATAGATTAGAGACCCGTCTTCAGCTTCAGAAACGGACGAGCTTACCTCGAACAAAGCGTATTCCTCCGCCCGTGCAAGAGCCATCGCAACACCCCAGAATATATCATAGATCTGGAACACGGACGACCAAGAAAATTTCTCCAATTCACACCCAGCATCATCCATCTCAATAATAGCCCACATCTGCGAGTCCGGATATGCCCTCTTGTTCGCCGGGTTCGGGTTCATACAATCATCCTTGGTCTTCTTGTAGTAATCCCATGCCTCCTGGAAGGACTCCGGAAAACGACCCTGAACGACATGGATTTCCCTAAACCGAGCAAATCCAGGAATCGGATCAAGATACTTGAGCATCTTGACCTCCGACACGATTTCATCGACGCTGGTGAACTTCTTCGAACCAAGACCCTTCACAGCTCGCAACGGAACCACCTTGAACACACCATCGCCGTAAGCGCGCAGCTTCGCCAGCTTCGACTTGGACATTTCCTGTTTACAGACCTCTTCCCGGAGGCGCATCTTGTAGACTTCACCGTATGATCCTTCCGCGAGTTTCACCACCTGCAGCATATTTCCACCACGAGCGGCCCATGAACCGAACTTCTGCACACCTTGTGCGGCGATTGGCGATAAAGCTTCGTTGAGAATCGAATGGGCGTATTCGTTGGCTTTCTCGTCTTGAACGCAGCCGGAGGATAGTCGCGGGGCGGGTTTCTTCTTCCTTGCGGGGGCCGCCCGTCTTCTGTGTTGTGTGGCGCTCTCATCTAATGGTTTATGTTCGTTCAATTCGGATTCTGGCTTCCTTGGACTTATTTCAATGCTGAACATCCTCTCGCATTGTCTTTCGGTTGTTGTGCTCTCCGGGGGTGGTTGTTCGACCACCTCGATCTGTGGCTCGATCTCCGCGGTGTCCGGCACCGGTTTTGACGCAATAGACTCCTCCTTCACAGGTTCTTCTTCATCGCGGGGAACCGAAAACGCATCAACAACCCCTTTATCCTCCTTCTTTTCTTGCTTTTTCTTTCCGCCCTTCATCGCCCGCGGCTTTATCGTGATGCTGGCCATCTTGGCCTGCAGGCCATCCACTACGACATCGCCCGCACCCTTTGCTGTTTCCTTGGGCGGACTCTTGTGCTCGAATACCGCCCGTGGTGCGTCTGCCTTGCGCTTCCCGTATACTCTTCTACTGACAGTGCGTCTCTTCGCCGTGCGCTCGGGTTGTCGGGTGGGTGTTGCGAGAATCGCGGGGGTGGACATGGTCAGCGTTGTTTGAGGTCGAGTGATGTATCGCTGCGGGGTCGAGGTTAGCTTAGTTGGCACATGTAGCTCAGATTAGCGTTTAGCTGTTGCTGACGAGTCGTAGAAGTGCGATGGTGGGAAGCGATCCCTGAATGTCGTGTTGACTGGTTTCCGCAAAGAGTTAGGCGGTTGCTGTGGTAATGGGAAAGTGGATCCACTCGAGTAAAGGATGTATATAAAGTGCAATAATACTTCATCTCGCAACCTCGCGCAACAAATCTTAGACACCGTAATAGGCTCTCATAACTAGGCTCTCGCAAGCTTCCTTTATATATATTTTTAAGGTGATATATATAAAAGAAAGGGCGCGTGGCTCAGTCGTGTAGAGCGTTCGTCTAGGTTGACTCCAGGTTCGGGGTTCAAATCTTCGCACGTCCACTTTTTTTCTTTTATTCTTTTACTCTATTCAACACTCTTCATACAAACAAGGGGCCAATTTCGAGCACAAACATTAAAGTGACCTACTCAAGCAAAGTATTATATCGTCTGGCATCTCTCATAGTAGTAACCCCTTCGAAATGGTAGGTTATCTTGATAAGCTACCGAGGTAAGCTGTCCTTGTTAAGTAGTTCGTGCAGACGCGTTTATCCTTCAATCCAGGCATGGCTAGCAGAAAGAATCCTTGTTGGTGGTTCTCAGTATGCATATTATCCAGTTTTTCAGTGGCCCGTCGAACACTTCAATTTGGATTTGGACTTGCTGGTATTCGCTTCAAGCGGTCCTTCAGGTCTCTGTTCTATTATCACATTCCCTGCTTCATCTATGCTCTCACTTACCTAGGGAGTGGTTTGATGTTTGATCGAGTCATAGACTCTTTGTATGTCAGGCTCTCACCTAGTCTTTCGGCAATGGCTAGTCCTCAATGTGCTCGAAAAGTAGACGCTACACCCACCAGTGACTTTATCGACCATTGTCCTGTTGTTTGAGGTTGGCAAACTGCTAATTAACAACAAAGTCACAGGTGCAGAACAAGGCTTTTGTGATCTTCACCAGAGCGTTTTGCTGATGGATATGCCACCGTTTTGCCCTGTTCTGCCATGTGTCCATTGTCAAATGCCACCGAAGAATAATCACGGCAAACACCCACAGGACCGAAAAATTCCTTTGCTTGGTACCCCGAGAAGCTATGGCCTTATTGAAACTCGTTCATGGGAAGATTAATATACCTTAATGTTGACGATGCTTCGCACGTTAGGATTAAAATGTGAACATTCCTAGTAGTCAATTCGAAAAACAACCCTCCTTTGTTTACTGAGCAGCACGAGCTTTGTTATCACTAGCTAAAAAAGCTGCTCTCTCTCGTCTTGTAAAATTGTCAGTTATCCAGATTGTCGAGAGTGATCAATGAAGAAGGAAAGTAGATAATTAGCTTATAGGTGAATGGGATAGGGAGTTATTTAGCAGAAATTTGACCCTAGTGAATGAGATGTAGAATTCTGCAAAAGAATATAGCATTTTTGCAGAAAATGTCAAATATAAGGCTTTTTATATATAAATCACGCCCCCTCCTTAACCTCACCCTCCTTCCCAATCTCACTCTCCTTCGCAATAGCCTCGTCCCTTGCAACAGTCTTCTCATAATTATCATACTTATACCCATTTCCCACATGATCATCCCTCAACCCACTCTGCCCCTTCCCATAAACCTTCTCTCTAGCCGTCAACCGCTCCCCCTCCGGTAACGGCCCGGGGTACACGCCCCGTTTCCTCAGTTCCGGCACCAGCAGATCAACAACCTCCTCGAAAGTCCCCGGCGTAGTCACATATCCCAGATTAAACCCGTCCAGGTCACCCTCCTCAAACCAGCGCTCTAACTCGTCTGCGACAGTTGCAGCGCTACCGATGGTTACGGGACCGAGTCCACCGATAGAAGCACGTTGTGCAACTACCCGAGGTGTCCATTTGGGGATTTCCTTCGAGGTCGTTGTAAAGGCGTCGAGTATGGAAGTTACTTTGTGTGCTTCGAGGGAGTCTGCAGCGGTGATGTCCTGGTCTAATGGGATGCGGGAGATGTCAATTCCTGTCCAGCCGCTGAATAGCACCAGGCCACCCTCGATGGAGGCGTATTTCTTGAGTTCTTCGTACTTGGCCCATGCCGCTTCATCGGTTTCGGCGATGATAGGCGTGAAAGTTGCGAAGAATTTGATCGATTGCGGATCGCGGTTCTTCTCCGCGGCTAGGTTGCGGATGTTGGCGATTTTCTTGCGGAGGAGGGCTGGGGAGTGGCTTGATACGAAGACTGCTTCGGCGTGGGTTGCGGCAAAGTTTGAGCCTGCAGGTGAGGTACCTGCTTGGAAAAGGAAGGGTGTGCGCTGGGGTGAGGGGTCGACGATGTGGCGGGTGTTAAGGTTGAAGTATTTGCCCTGATGGTCGATTGTGCGTATTTTGTCGGGATCGGCGTAGGAGTCTGCTTCGGGGTTGGGAGAGAGAGCGTCGAGGGCCCAGGAGCCTTCCCATAGTCTTTCGGGCTCTTGTTAGCATCATTCTTTGACTGTGTAGGCATTGGTGCTTACTTGTAGACTACCCTTAAATACTCATCTGCTTGAGCGTATCTTTCGTCATGCTCGATGGGACTGTCAAGTCCTATGGCCTTGAAAGCAGCCTTCTTCCACGACGTAACAATGTTCCATCCAACACGGCCACCCGTCAAATGGTCCAATGTCGAGAACCGCTTTGCTAGCAGAAACGGTGGCTCGAAGGATGTCGACGACGTGATTCCGAATGCCAGGTTCTTGGTCACGGCAGCCATGGCAGAGATGGGCTACATAGTCAGTACCCTTATGGCCACTTGCTTGGGAAAAGAAAGGATCATACAATTGTCGGATCTGTGACAGGCCACTGTGCTGCTCGTCGAATACACTCATCCAATTTTCCCTGGTAGGTATCATAGCCACCGTATGTATCAGCCAGAAACAAGGCATTGATTCCACCGCGCTCAAGAAGTTGGGCCAATTCAATCCAGTAGTCCAGCTTGCGCTTTGTCGCAGATTTGTCTCTGGGATTCTTTACAACGTCAGTTATTGTTGGATATACATCGCGGGATATCACAGCCTACCTTCCATTGACCAGGCGACAAATGCCCAACAGTCGACATATCAAAAGCATTCAGCAAAATCTGCTTCTTCCCACCTGGCACTTCATGGCCATTAGCCTCAGCAGTAGTATTCGTAGTAGCTCCAATATCACCCATGGTTGTTTTTCCGAATCTGAATATTGTTTCTGGCTCCTCAAAAATAAAGCACGGGTAGGTAAAGCTTTACTTAAATGCCAATTCAATCTTATCAAACCCCTCACTATTAATGTTCCATTGCATGCGTATAACATATGTATGCGCCATTGTTAATTAAGGTCGCGTGATGAGGGACTGTCGAGAGTCGACATAGGTCGATACAAGGATGTCGATTCGCCATCATCCCCGCAGAAAGCGCAACGACGGGGGTGGTTTTGGCGACGGATTCTTGCCAATGGGTATGTCTGGTGGTGGTATAGACAGTAGATAAAAATGGTGCTATCATTATGGGGTGCATTGCGTGATGGCAGTTGATTGATGCAGTGAAATTTTTGTGGTTTGAGATATGGTGTTTTGACATTGGTTTTCTATACAATGAGAAACGAGCAAAAGACTCAATATGCTACACTCCGTAAATGCATCGGCAACTATTCTATGTACCCAACACAAAGAATTTTCAGAAGAAAGAAACTATCCTAGACTGCTGATTTTGGATGAACAGTGTAGTTCACAGCTTCCGGGTCCTGAGCACCCTCTCCACTTCCCACGGAGCCTTGTCCCTCACTATCACGTCTTTTCCTGTGAGATTATTAGCAACGATCAGAACCATCTGGGACGAAATCACTTACCCCTCTCGCGCAGTGAAATACCGAATGAGATGCGCCGTCAAAATCAAACAAATAGCATTCGCAAGTACAAACGAATACCCCTTCGTAAACCGTGGCCCCTCAACCGTCTTAAACACCAACAGCGGCGTCCAGATAGTCGTAGATTGAGCAATGACGGTAGTACTAACCAAGACCACAGCCCGTACTATTGGTGAGTACCGAAGCTCACTATTCATCCAGCCATACAGGACACTTGACATGCCGACAGAGGAGTAGGTAGTCGCGAATGCAAACCAGAGTGCAGATTCGGGGACTTTCCAGACGATCAGAATGATTAGGCCGACGATATTCCAGGTGTGTGCGACTGTAATGGCCCAGGCTGGGCCCAGGACGAGGTCGGATGCGAAGCAGATGAAAAGGGTGTAGAAAATACCCAGTGCTGGGGATATGGCGTTTAGCTCGTTTATTTTGCTGGTGGAATATCTGTCCAGGCTCTTCAGCCAGAGAAGATAGCCTCCGGCGTTGGTGTTGTAGCATGCGTTCCAGAAGAAGATGTCTAGCCAGAGGAACGCCCAGAACTTCCAGTTTTGAAGGATATCGAAGAACGTCTTCCATCTAAAAGCGCCGGAGATGCCGTGTCCAGCGCGTTTTAGTCGGTTCTGTGCAACTCCGATATCGCGATCGTTCAAGATAAACTTGTTTGGCTTATCTGGGGTTCCGGGAAGAATAAAGTAGCCGAGTATACCAATGGGAATTGTGATGATGGCACAAATAATGTACATCCACCGCCATCCTGCGAGACCGTTGACTCCGTCGAGCCTTGATGAAGCACCGGCTTGGATCAGACTTGCAGTTAGTGTGCCTAGGGTGAGTCCGACATAGAAGCAGCCGCCTCGACGGGCGATTTCGTCGCCACGATACCAGGCCCCTGTGGAGTGTAAGCTGTCTTTCGGTTCAAGACTTAGGATGGAGCCTACCAAAGATGTAATGCATTCCTGGAAAGAAAGCAGCCTCAAACCATCCAACTAGGAATCGATAAGCTGCCAGCTCCGAGTACGAAGTCACCCGATACTGCAACAGGGTGAAAATTCCCCAAGCGATATCCAGAAACGGAATAAGCCACGACATCGGAAATTTGGTGAACAGATAGGCGAAAGGAATCTGGCCTAGGACAGCACCAAGTGTGTACATGGTCTGCAGTTGTACGAGTTCATTTCCATGGAGGTTCAAGTCGGTTTGAACACCGGAAACGTAGGCATTATCTGGATTGTGAGCAGAGGCTCATTGCATCGGGAAGTATAACATACTAATATTAGCCTGGTCAATGTACTTTGTCCAGTAAGCCAGAAAAGCATAGGGAACGATCAAAAGATCGAGTTTGAGAATGAGACGCCGCTCCTCCTTCGTATCCTCGTCGGAAAACCATTGAAGGTGATACCATTTTCGCCGCTGCTGCACACCGGCCATTTTCTGAGAGTCTGCAGAAGTCTATTCTTGTCATTTTGACAGACAGGTACATACGAGCTTTAAAGACGAGCTAGAGTAGACAAGCTTGTGTAGCTTTGACAGCGACCTTCAGGTCACGCAATAACCAAGTCGCAATGCATCTTACAGCACCATTCAGTTCTAGTCGTTCTTCTAGGTGGTCGTCAATGTTTCTGTATCTAGTCCGGGCACGTTATTTTAGCAGCACATGGTTGGTGATGACCCCGCGAGAGTGTACAGGGGAGACAGCAGGATTCATACACTCCACATGAACCCGTCTGGTTTGGTGCAATGCGTTAACATAGACAACCTTATCGTCACTACGGAAGTTATCCAGATAGATAAGAGCGCCTTGCCCAGATGGCCAGATTCCCCGAAACGAGCGCGGCCAAGCATCGTGTCATGAGATGGACGGAAGACGTGCTCCTGGAAAAGCACCCGCGCATGCCAACACATATATCAGGGAGTTCCCTAACTTCCTGTCCAAGAGTGATAACCCCAGAATATCAAAATTGTCCAGCATTGTCCCCTGGTAATCCACGAGAAGAGTCATAGATGCGGTGTAACTAGTGATATCAGAATCGAGTCAAAGATACCCCTCCAACTCAATGCGATGTATCTGCCAGCCATTCAAGGCGCAGCAAATGAATCAGTGACATTCATCTCGACGATCCTCATCAATCCACCAGGCTGGGCGATTCAAGACCCAAGATCCTCCTGTCATTCTATCTTTCCTTTCTGTGGACCACACCAGAAAAATGATGACACACCGGAAGTCATAGAAGACCGAAAGAAGCATGCGAGAGAATAAGAGATAGACTTATACCTGCCATAGTGAGCAGGTGTAAAGAATTCTCCGTATATCGGACATTTCAGGGGCGCGGTGGATGTTTGATCGACAGGAAGAGTAAGAGTACTCCGGAGTACTTTTGATGGATAGAGGGTGGAAACGATCAATTGCAATTGAGCTATAGAGATAGGACGAATCAAGAGTAAGAGTATAACCGGTATACAAGCGTGAGGCGTAGCATAGTAGAGGCGACATTCCGGTTGTGACGTAACCCCACTTCCCGCATAATTTTTTTTTCCTGAAATTTTACTTGGGCTTCCCACAATGGAATCCGAGTTAGAGGCAGTACAGAGTACTTTACTCCGGAGTACAACACAGAGCCCCTGAACAATGCAACAAATGAGAGTGCATAACTGGGAATAACACTACTAATTCATCTAGCTATAATTAAGACTAGGCTGTACATAATACAAGTCCAGCTATCAGCTGATCTGCGTCACGCGAGTCACCTTTGGACCCCCTCGGGAATCTTCGCCTTCGCTTTTCGTCCCTCTAAGATTTTCCTTCGCCCCGGCGCTTCTTCATATTTCCTCTCCTCTTGTTTTTGCTCCTTGCTTTTACCCTCTCTTATAATCCCATCGTTGCTTCTTCTATTTCTTCTATTCTATCCTTTTTCTTCAAAGCCCTCTTCGTTCTATACGCACTCTCAATGCTCGGCAATGGCGTTCAACTTCAACTGGTCGCCGCTCATGGCGGACGCAAGTTTCTACACTCGTGCCCAAGAGCTTCTGACTGCCGCGCTCAATAAATCGCCTAAGCCGCCTATTATCGTTGATGATATTATCGTGACCGAGTTGAATTTGGGCTCGATCCCTCCCGAATTGGAAATTCTCGAGATCGGCGATTTGGCGGAGGATCGCTTCCGAGGAATCTTCAAGATGTCATACACCGGAGATGCTTTTTTGACGCTCAAGACGAGAGTCCAGGCCAATCCTCTCAACACCTATCTCATGACACGCCCGTCGTTTGCCTCACCACTACCATTGGCTGCAGCGTAAGTTGTCTGCCCGTTTCACCAGTCTGACACTGGTCGTACATTTATCAATGGGGGGGCGCCTCGCTTACTCGTTTCGTTTGGAATGCCACAGAACTCCCCTTACTATTCCCTTACAGATCACCCTGTCCGATTTCAAACTCTCCGGCTTTGTCATATTGGTCTTTTCGAAACAGAAAGGAATCACCGTCGTCTTCCGAAATGACCCGCTCGAATCGCTCAAGGTCTCCTCGACGTTCGATTCGATCCCATTCGTTCGTGACTTCTTACAACGGGAAATTGAGGCACAACTCCGCATACTGTTCATGGACGAGCTGCCGGCTATTATCCATCGCCTATCGCTACGACTATGGGTTCCGGAATATCGGGCGGAGGAGGAGATGCAGAACCAGATGAACACAACCCCCACCCCCACCGAAGGTCCCGGGCACGATCCTCTTGCCAGTCCGCCGCAAGATCCCGTGGATTCATCAGGCAACGCGTTGGACGAGTCGGAGATTGCGTCATTATCGCTGGACTCGGCCGTCGAAACCCACTCGCTGTTCTCCCAGAAGAACCTCCTTCGTCTGGCGACCCTGACCGATTCCCAGCGGACATTGTCACTCTTTACCCCGTCGATTCATCAAGTCGTATACCGTGCATGGACATCATCCGAACAGAACGATTTGTCTGCCAGTGTCATGTCGCCATTGAGCCCCGCTCTCTCCAGAACTCAGTCGCAGACAGGCAGCATGTCTACTTTCATGGATAACGCTAGCACAATATCAGCCCAAAGCAGGACACCCACAGGACCCACCCAGTCGTTTAGCAGCTATGGCTTGAGCTTGGGAGCCGGTCGCCATTCCAAAGCACATGCCAGAAGGCGGAAGAAGCGTGTGGTGGATCTCCGTAGTCGCCCAACGACACCCGACGACTCCGCCAGCGTGAGCGTGAGCGATGAAAGCACATATACAGAGAGTGTCGGTGCACCTTCGGTTAGTTCCGCTCCGCTACCGGCCGTCCATGAACAACCCGACGACCCCGTTACCCCGCCATTGTCGCCTGAGAGTGATCAGCGACTCCCCGCGATCCCCGAGAGACGTCGCCTGAGCCTGTCGCGCTCTTTGCCTCGCCGCGACATCTCGAGTGAGATCCTCCGTGATCGAGCTGAGCCTTCTGAACCGATTCGGAACACATTCAAGACTGACGACGTGAAGACTGCCGGGGGAACTGTTCGCCCTCATCCTGCACCCCTCCATGAAGCTGGTCCCTCTTTGGGCCCCACACGACAACTGTCTGCGGCAAGCCTTTCCTTCCCACATGATAACCCGACCGGTAGCAGCATTGTTGACCAAGTGTTGGTCGAGAAGCTGGCTGGTGAGATTGCACGCCGTATGCGCGACGAAAAGCTAATGGCACCAAACTCTTGTGGTTCTTTCTGGGACCACCAACCGGAAGAAACACCACCACCGGCATATGGCCAATGAGTGCTTAACACACGACACATCATACCTTTTTCCTTTGTTCGATTCTCCTTCTCTGGCTTGAAACACAGTCCAAAAGTTCGATTTTACCTCCAGCGAGTGATACCTGGAGCTTGTTATGACCGTTACGACTTTGTGTTGTCATTGATCTTGTTTCTCCTCTCTCTTTTTCCTTCGTTCATCAATTTCAATTGTTGAACTCTTGATTGTTTCTAGCGGGTTTTAAAAATGGATGTTTCGATTTGGGTTTATAGCACAGTGGTTCTGTTTTTTGATATTTTTACAAGCGACTGCTCTCTTTCAGCACAGGATACCACTCATTTGTCACACCTCCTGTTTCCGTTTTCTTATATATCACCATATCTTTTTTACTTTATGAGCGATCATCTGATATGGGATCGATGGGATTGGATATGGGATAGGACTGGGTAGGACTGGGAGCTGGGAAGGACTAAGTGTCCATTCGGTATATATATAGAAAAAAGAAAATGTTCCACACTTCCCAGCATCAAGTGCAGCTGTTCAAGTATATTTTAGTTTCTTACTTGCAGACATAATTCGGAGATTTTCTCATCGTTTCTGGTGTGAGACTAGATGCAGTTCAGGATATGGCTGCGGATGCATCTGATTGGTATTGCCAACTCACCTTGTTTTATACATGTTTCATTTTCATGTGTCTTTCAAAGTAAAAAAAAAAAAAAAAAAGAGCAATGCCTTAATCCTAACAATAATGCTATCGTAGTAGGTATACTCCGTAGAATTACCCCGAACGGGTGTAAATATTGCCCCATGGTTCGGCCGCTAAGCTTGGATCCACCGCCTGCCATTCTGCCAACGTCCACGTTCCGTCTTCAACTCCGCGAGCTTGGCTTCCTCTCCTTCTTGCACCAGCCACGTTGCCAGTTTTCGGAGGTTGTCTCTAGTACTAATCGTACCTCCTCCGCCCTCACAATGTCTGGCATGCTCAAGAATGTGTTTGGCGGCGCCGAGTCGTCCGGTGAGGTCAAGCCCGATGATGGTAAGCTATCTGTCCGGAGTTCAATTCCGATTCTGCAATTGCTAGAGATTTGTCTAATACCGCTGTTGTATAGAATTTGCGGACTTTGTCGAGGCGCCTCAACCCTCTCCCGCCTCTATCCTCGGTTCGTCGTCGACACCAGCTGCTGTGCCGAGCAATGGAGCCGCTGTTCCCTACACGGCATGGTACCGGGTGTGGGAGCGGGCATCGCCCAAGGACTTCATGCAGGAAGCAATGGTCCTGCCCTTCATCATCCTAATCGTCGCTTTCCATCTCTGGGGCACGCGGAAGAACAGGCGCAAGGCCAAGCAGTGGGCCCAGGCTCACGCGACTGCTCTCCGGAACGAGTTTGCGGTGGTCGGATTCGGTGGCCTTCACAGAGGCGATACTGCAACTCCCGAATTGGACTCTGTGGACAGCGTGCTCAAGGAAAAGTCTCCTCAGGAGTTCATTTCTTACGCGACGGGTCGGCAGAATGTTGCCTTTGTTGACATTTCGGTTAAGCTGCCTAAACGGTACAACCCCGTGACCTATTGGATGGACTATGCGTTCAGCTTCTTCTGGGAGACCTGGCCTGCTCCTGCTGAGAAGATCGAGGCTACTTCATACGCGTTCGATGGCAAGGAGAAGGAGCTGGTTCCAGTTCCCGCTAAAGATTCGTCGTCTTTGAAGGTCAACAACTCGGCTTATGATGGATTTATATGGGCTATTGTGCACAAGAGCTGCATGCGCAAGTTCCGTCAGGACCGCTACGATGCTTCAATCACTTTCACCAAGGATAACGCCAAGCTACCTCCCTGGGTGACTGTGATGACGGAGAGTGCTGAGATTACTGAGGCGCTTCTTACTCCGGAGTTGATCAAGGCTGTTGAGCAGGCTGGCCATGATTTTGAGTACTTGATTGTCACTGACCAACCCACTGAGAAGCCAATGAAGTGAGTGTCACTTTCCAGCCATCCATGCGCACAAAACCTAACAGTTCTAGGATTGAGGAAACCACCCCCAGAAAGCGCATTGGTCTGTCAATGAACGTTCCTTCCGCCTCTGATGCCTACGCCAGCACCCTGCCGCTTTTCCAGCAATTCCTCGGTTTCGCTGACAAGCTCGTTGCGTCTGCGCACTTCCGTGCTGAGGTGACGCGCAAGGTCCGGAACGTCCGTGAAGCTGAAATCAAGAAGCTTCGCCGTGCCGATGAAGAAGAAAAGGCCGAGGAACGCAAGATTGCCGCAGAGAAGCAGAAGAAGGAAGAGCGGGAGCGCATTCTTCGGGGTATGAATGCGGAGGAGCAGCGCAAGTATCTCGAGCGTGAGAAGGGGAAGGAGAACAAACGTTCTACGAAGAAGGTCACTCGGAGGGCATAGACTCCGCGTTTTCTGCTTTAATCTTTACAATTCTTTCTTGATGCTAATTTTTATTGAGAAAACGTGAAGCGGGCTTGAGAAGCGATTCGATCTTGGCTCATGTACCTTCAATGTATATTAATCTTTTTTGGGCAGAGGATACGGCAGGAGATGTGTCTATTATGGTCTTTCCCAGAAATGAAAATGTTTTATGAGGCTAATACGCGCTCTTTTCTCCGATGTGACATCGAATGTGATCGGCGGTGACCTGAATACGAGGACAACTGTTTGTGCTCCATACTTAACACGGATACGATGTCAGGTCCGTCCATGTCGGCTATGTGTTTCTCTCCGGTTGGGTAGAGTCTTCCCATTCTTCTTGGCCTGCAGAACAGGCTAGAGATAAGCATAGTGACAAACAAGCAAGAATATGACCAGCCTCCTGGACAGGTTCAATTGTTCTGTCCCGGCCCAGGCCGAATGCATACTAACTACAACTATACCTAAGGTTTCGGTCTCTGTTTCCTAATCGGTGTGTCGAGTATGTCTAACACGCCTGCCGAATTAGGAAAGCAGCTTGGCTAGTCCTGCATACAAATTGACTTGACCGTCTCTCCCTCCTTGTTTTTTTTTTTTTTTTTTTTTTTCCTCGTCAGCTTCCTACGATCTCTTCAGTACACTATTCTTTATCTCTTTTCTCGTTCGCGGACCTTGTAATTACTATACCTACACTCTATTACTATAATCGTTATTCTTACTACAACCATCAAAATGGTGTCCCTTCGCTATCTCCCAACCTATGCCTACGCTCTCTTCACTGCCTCTATTAGCACCGCAGCACCTGCGCCCATTGTCTCGCAAAGAGCGACGGCCAATACTGCTGTTGCAGTTGGTGCCGTCATTGATCGATGCACGACCCCTGGTACGATAGCCCTCACCTTCGATGACGGACCGTACCAGTACACTGCCGATCTCCTCGATGTGCTTTACCAAAACGGAGCCCCAGCAACGTTCTTCCTTAATGGACAGAATATCGGGAGCATCTATGACTATGCGGACGTTATTCAGCGGATGCATAGTGAGGGACATCAGATTGCGTCTCATACGTGCGTTTTTCCCTACCTCTTGTGTTAGGTTTGTGTGATGAATGCTAACCATGGATGCAGGTGGAGCCACCCCTACCTCACCTCGCTCGACTACAACGGTGTCGTGTCGCAGATGACCCAGCTCGAAGATGCGTTGCAGAATATTGTCGGCGTCAAGCCTGCCTACATGAGGCCGCCGTATCTTGCCACCAATGATGTTGCGCTGGGTGCTTTGGGGGATCTCGGGTACCATGTTATCAGCTGTAGCATCGACACGAAGGATTACGAGAACGATGACCCCAGTTTGATTGCAAACAGCGTGAACAAGTTCAATGGCGAGTTGAATGCTGGGGGTAGTATCGTTCTGTCGCATGACGTGCATGAGCAGACGGTGTATACTCTAGCGCAGGCTATGTTGGATGAAATTAATGCAAGGGGATTGACGCGTATGTTCCATCCTCTCTCTTTTTGGTTGTTCGGTGCTGACTGGCTTGTTTAGCTGTTACGGTGGCGGAATGCTTGGGCGATTCGAACGGGTGGTACCAGTAGGCAAGGGTTAGATATATATATTTACTTTGAACCGGATAATCCAAGTAAATCGAATTTTATTTCTCTCGCTTTCCATTTGGCATACGTATATCTGCGCCAAGCCAGGTCTTCGATAGTAGACATTCGCATGAGTGATAGGACTACGGGCTAACGGACGAGGATCTATCGAAGATACCTATAATTATGAAGTCCCAAACCTGTATAGCTCTATAGTCTAATGGCAGTATTAATATAAACCACTCATATATCGGTCAGCGAAGGTGCTCACAGCGACCACCTCTTGAAGAACTTCATGATAATCGGCGCGGCATCAAAGTAGGTCTTCTTGGAACTATCATAGTTCCCATCCTTACTGGGCCAGACATGCTTCCATCCATCAATCCGATAATGCGTGATCATTCCTAAATCCTCTCCACTCCCAAACTCATATTTCTGCACATTCCCACCCCACAGCTCCTCCGTCTTATTACTCGTCCCAAGTCCATCCCGATCGGCCCACTGCCTCAATGCATGCGACACCATCGGCAAACACTTCCCATGTCTCGCCCCACCCGCATACGGAATCGTCGTGTCAGCCGTGCCGTGGAACTCCAGAATCGGCACCTTACTGCGTCCCGGGTTACACTGGATCTCCACGGTGCTAGGATCACAGGAGTCTTCTTCAGAGGTGAGGTTCTGATAGTATCCGCCGGAGACGGGGGCGAAGGCGGCAATGCGCGTGGAGGCAATGGGGTCGCAGGCGAGGTCGTTGGTGAAACCGCCGCCGTTGGACTTGCCGGAAGCGTAGATGCGGGTGCCGTCGATGCAGTAGGTTTTTTCGAGGTGGGAGATTAGCTGGATGGTGAAGGAGATGTCGTTAGGACCCGAGGAGACGTGCCAGTAGTCCTGTCTTCATGTTAGCTTTCTTTCCTCTTATCTTGATCTTGATCTCAAAGATCTAACTGGATTGAAGAGGGTAGGGGAGACGTACATCAATAATAGCCTGCGGATAAACCGCAATCGCATCCGGATTAAACTCCTCATTACTAAACTGCGACAACTTCTCCATGTACTCGGGGTCCTTGCCGCGTCCATGGAAAGCAATCACCAAGGGCGCCGGTCTTTCTGTTGTATAGTTCGAAGGCAGATGGATTAGGTACGAGCGGTTGCGGCCATCATCGGTGATCAGGTTTGCGCGGTAGCTGTCGCCGGGGGAGTGGCCTTTGGCCAGGTGGTTGCCGCATCCGGGGGATGTAGGTTTTGGTTGGGGGAGGAGGGAGGATGAGGATGCAGATGCAGATGCGGAGGAGGATTTGGCTGGAAGGGCGATTGTCACGCCGAGGAGGGCGAGGATGCCCAATTGGAGGTTCAGTTTCATGGTGCTGTGTTTGCTGGGAGAGAGGTGAGTTAGTTGCCGAAAGGGCAGTTGCTCAGGATAATATACACCGCACGTAGTAACCGTACAATGTAGATCTGATAGAACTTAGAAACCTACCTCCTATCTTCGTTTGCAGAACTATTATCTTGGCGTGGACTAGTTAGCTGTCAGGTACGAATAACGAAAAATCATCGAGGGCAAGGATCGAACTATATACTGGACAATGCACACATACGAATAAGGTTAATCTGCACACACCTCACACCCAACCAATAACAACATCCCATGTAATATCAATCACATCCAGCAGTACTCGGCTTCTCAGTTCCCCTATCCGGAGGGACCGTGGGAGCTGTGCTAGCCGAGGTGTTAGTGTTTCAGAAGAGTACATAGTGTACATCCTCTGGGTCGTTGACGTGTACTCGGGGACTGCACTTTGGGTTGGGGTTTGGGGGTACGTACCCGGGCTTATCAGACTTGTTATCCAAGGAACAATATTGCAGTTGATAGCTTGAAGGAGATGGTTCAGTCAACACTGCCCTACTGCTATTGTAATCAATCATAAGCATCGGTTTAAGCGTCTCTCCAACCCTATCCGATATTCTATACTATACAAATCCTAAAGCACATGTGTAGAACAGAGAAACACCCTAATCCCTCCCTCTTATTCCACTCCCCTATCCCCCAAACATGCTCCATAAAAACAAGACCTCATGATGCACAGAACCGAGGATCAACACCGCCAATCCGATGATCATCCCAACCGAGCGAACGGCAGAAACTGAAGATCCGAAGATATACCGGTCCGTTCCCTGTCTACTACGTGTTTCCGTAATGAATCCTGTTTATCTCACAGTCAATAATATACTTGATTATTACACTTCTCAAATGACGTGTACTGTTCAAGTCCAAAAGTACAGGTAATCTCGTCTAGAACGACCGCTTTCAAGGAGGATCGCCGGATCTGCGGCGGAATAAGCTTTCTTTTCAGGTCTGAATATTGGATGATGATTATGTGGATGTCATTTCCGCGGTAATTTGGGATAGGGAGAGGACTGTGGATGGATAGTGAATAACTGAATAGCTCCAGACTTGTAGGGTAACGATGTCACTCCGGTTGGTAGGAGATGCCATTCTGCCTTATCTGCTCATACGAGAACATACCGCCTTCTAAAAATAAACTAGCACGCAACTCTGGGCTGTCGTCATCGGGAGTCACTTTCACAATTCACCATGAAACAACCTACATATCATACCCCTGCATCACTGAATCAAGCATAGAAACGCAGCGAATGCAGCGAATGATATCTCTGAAAAAGAAGTTCAAGAAACTCTTCAATTGCCGCAAACTCCGCGAGTTATACGCCGAATGGGCCGTCCTCCTACCTGCGAAGAGCCATCTGGATTCCGATTATAACTTTCCCAAGGGACGTCCGCCGGGGCGAGAAGGAGGACGTGGACCGGGGGCGATGGGGTGGGCTGCTGCTGGGGTGGGATAGTCGTTTGTTATTGAGCTGCATCAAACGGGCACGCATACGGATACGAACACCGAAATGACATGAGACACGACGAGACGACGAACAATGTCAATCATTCACCATACTTTATCTGATACCCTCTAAGTACCTCAATTCCAACCTAGCCTTTCAGAGAACACGGTTACTGCTTCCCAAAAATCTTCACTCGCTCCTCAACCGGCTTCTGCGCCTTCTCTCCCGCTTCTCCCTCGGGGCTCCCAAACACCAACTGCGAGATAAGTCGCCAGTCACTCGGGATACCCCACTGCTTCGCGACGGGAGCGTCGATGACCGGGTTGTAGTGTTGGAGGTTGGCGCCGAAGCCGAGGGCGGAGAGACCGGTCCAGACTGTTGTTTACATTAGGTTGTTGGTCACAATGCGGTGAAGTGGAAGGGGGAGAAGAGAAGCATACTGTAGTACTGGTGCATGGCATTCGAGTGCTCGGCCCAGGGCTGGAAGTGGTCCTTGTAAAGGGCGAATTTCTCAGAGAACGGTCCGATGTGTGCGGGGTCTTCGTAGAAGAGGACCTATTCGTTGTCAGCACTGACCTCCCAGTTCAACAACTCAACCCCAGTGAAAGGGACGTACAGTTCCAACCCCATTCTTAAACCCCTGCAACTTCGGCAACGACTGGTTCTTCCACGTCTCCTCGGGCACAGCGCCCGTGTTTACAAGCTGCGAGAACGTATCAATCGCCAAATCCCACAGCTTCTCATGCTGCTCATGCAACAGCACAACAAGTCTAGTGGACTGGGTGTTGAAGGACGAGGGAACAGTGTTGATGGCTGCGTTGACGAGCTCTTCGATCTTGGAGTCCGGAACGGGGGAGTTCTTGCCGAGCTTGTAGATTGTGCGGCGAGTTTGGGAGGCGTCGATTAGGGGTTGGGCGGACATCTTGGGGGCTGTTGTGCTGTATGGTCTTTGGTTTTTGTTTCTAAGTATGTTTGGGAGGGGTTTGGTGATGGTGGTGGTAAGCGGGACACGTAAGAATGGCGCGATGGCGGGGGATAGCGCGGGGCGGATGGTGGAGCTGACGTTTGTGCTAGCGCTGGTGTAGCGGAAGAGAGGTCGGAGGGCTGCCATTTTATATCAATATTATTGTATGATTGTAGAGTAAGATGATGGTATGGAACAATTCCGTTGAATTGGTGATCTCTTACAAAATGAAAGGGCGGAATTAAAGTAAGCTTAATAATGGCATTCCTCAGTATGACTACGATTTCCGTAAGCATTTGTATATCTCTATCATTATCAAAATGAGAATTAATAATTAGACAACTGTAGTGTATACGATAACAAGCTCCGAAATCCGAAACTCCTAGTCCCAGTCCAGTTCTATATTCTATCAGGCCCGGGTCGACGGGAGCCAGGTGCTGTGATCCCTATTATTGTAGTAGTAGAGGTGAGGTGAGAGAGGACGTGATGTTAATGCTTCAACGGTAGGCTCTGCAAGACGCACTCGCTCGAGGCCTGTCCACAGTTGGTCCCCGAATACCAACCTTGTGAGATAAGTCGATTCTCCAAATCAAGCCAATATTGCGCCTTGCCCCCAGCTCCTGTCTTCAGATCGAGGTCTCCTAGACGGACTTCGACGGGTCCTTCTCCGTCCAATGGCATCTATATACGTCAGTCATAGTGCAGTAAAGCGAACAGAGGTGGAAAAGGCTACCTTGATAAACATAGTGCAGTCTCTCAAAGTCATAGCAAGCGACCTCTCTTTTGACTGCGCTGACTGTCCATGCAGACCAACATCCCGCATAGCTTCCTGGTGTGCTTGAAGCTTCAACAACGTGCTATTCCGGTGTAAAAACCGCGCGAGACGATCCTGGTCTTGGCATCCCTTGACGAACCGAGTTGCGCGCAATACATGCTCGGACCTATCCGAGACAAGGCCAAGAGGGCAGAATGATTTATCTTCCGACCCGCATGCTTTCCGCGACTCGTAGTTCTTCATGTCCCGTAGTGCGCAGGTACGACATCGTCGCGCATCAAGTGGTGCAGACGGGGATTGGAGGAGCCATTTGGGTTTTAGTTCTGCCATAATCATTCCTGGGTCGTTAAATGTTGTCATGTCCGTCACTAGCAAGCCAAACGGCTCATTCAGCGAGAGATACACCCCGCATCGTCTGTGAGGACGCGTGCCGTTGAGTTCAGCTGCACGTAGCCGCTCGTTGCACTGTTGCACCAGTCCCCTAGGGAGTTGGACGAGCGTTTGATCCACTACCTCCTCGGACTGGAACAACGGTCGAATTATTCTATCAAAGTTGCGCGAGATCTCCTGGTACGAGATGCTAGATTTTGTGTCCTTGCGTAGTCGGAGTAATTTCCCCCGCAGCATGGGAGGTATACTCATCTGTTCATTACTAGGCATAGCATCCTTCTGCTTAGGCCCTGCTGTCGCTGTCGCTGGCGCCCATATGATTCGGTAGATTACATTCGCGCCCCCCTCAGCGAGATAATCGAGTTGAGCTCCCGATGGGAACTCCAGGTGATCGGGATTGGTCATCCGTCAAGATGTGATAGTGCTGTGCGATACTGTTTCCTATGTGTTCGAATCATGACCGCATTAGACAGACGCCTGCAATTCGACTATGGCGGGGTTTCGGCGCGTTCAGTTCAAATGGCGATAATCCCGGTCAAGGGATAAGGCAGAGAAGAGTGTCCCGCGCGCGACGCACTGTGCTGGAAAAGGATATCGAAATCTTAGGTGATGTGTACAGAAAACACCCATCCCAGAAGAGGAAAGGTCGCAAACGATGGTTCGATCGATTTCCGATAACACAAGCAATCTACTCCCAATGATGTTATTGATTTAGACGGCGCGGCGTGCAAGCCAAGCCGACCCGGGTGGAATGACCGCGTCCAGAACCCCTGTCGACGCGACCTTAAAAGAGGTTCTAATATAATAGCCGAGAAAAAAAACGTAATCGGAGGATTCGAAGATCAGAGGGACCGATGAACGGGCAATTAACAGATCGGGATCTGAGAAATCGAACCGAATATGCAAGATAATGTCGTTATCAGAACCCGAGGCACTGGGATTGCGAATCTCTCGGGATTTTATAACCAGTTCTCATGCCAAATCGGGTTGCTAGCGTGGTTGACACAATTTACTTTATAGCCGCACTCTTCGGGGGTTAAAATACGATGGCGCTGCAACGCTATCAGACGATGTAATATTGACAGGTCGCACGCAAGAACGAATCTGGTGATTGATCGTATGTCACCAGGGCACAAGGGACAACGGTCGAATGCAATTGGAGTAACGTAGGGGACTCGATCGCGGGGCGTCGGGCACACAGACGTCGGTCAATTATGACCTGTAAAGTAACTAAGTCAGTAAATCATCACGCGCGATTCGTATGGTGCATGAAAGATAGGAGTAAGAGCCATACAGGATGCCGCGACAGCGGGCTGGGAACAGGATCCCCAGGGGAAACGAACGCGGCTTACCAAGCACCGCGCACTCTGGAGGATTTTGGAAAGAAATAGAGCGCTCAGCTGAGAAAAACCCTCCGGGAATGAGGACAGATTGCCAGGCACGAGGAAAAGAAGGAGATATGGTTGAGCTGAGAACGCAAAGCGAAAAAGAAATATGCGGTTCCAGCGACGATGACGTGAAGGCAATGCTGATACAGCAGTTCGTACTCTCACTTCACAATATGGAATAGAAAAGAGGAATCTCTTATAGGTGTTCAAAATTCTCTGTTGGGGTTGGAAAATAAAAAGCAAAATTTCATATTAGCTTGTATTCCCTGAATCCGGGGAACCCTTGCTCTATATATATAGAGCAGGGGGGGATGACTTTATAACCAGTAGCACATTAGGGGTTCCATTTTGACTATAGATAGAGTGGATAATCTAGTCATATAGCCATAGAAAACTACGTCTAGAATTCTGGGCTACTGTACAATTATTGGCATCGCCCAGACATGACCATGAAGCTATCCAATGCCCCTCCGCATAGAAATTCACCCCGCCGAACTTTGCTCCGCCCCGGTCATATCAACACCACAGGACAGCAGGACATACGATACAAACAACTAAAAGGAAACAAGAAGTCAGGTAAATACAGGCACTTGTGTCACTCTCCAAACAATCAACATGTCTACTCCCGAGATCCCAACCCCAGCCAAATGCACGGCGGATTTCTGCTTGATCCCGGTAAGCATACACCGTCATGCTCTACAACTACAGTGTGTTAACAGGATGCAACAGATGGGAACTTCCAGCCCCTCCGTATCCGCTCAAATCGCCGACGTCCAGCGTCTCATTGAAAAGTCCGGTCTGAAATATACCATGCATTCTGCTGGGACTACGCTTGGTAATCTCTCTCCGGTAAAATGCCTAGCTGGTAGTATCATGCTAACAAGATTGTAGAAGGGCCGTGGGATAGAGTCTACCAGGTCATCGGACAGGCACACACTATGCTTCATCAGCAGGGGATAGTGCGCATCCAGACGGATATCCGGACTGGATCGAGGACGGACAAGGCGCAGACGGCGGAAGATAAGGTGAACAAGGTGCGGCAGTTGTTGGGCAATGAATAAAGGGCTATAAACATCCCCTTTTCTCAGGATGAATGAAATCAAAATAGACATTTCTATCGCTATTGGATCGTCATCTACATACAAAATGCCAATGAACCAGAACACCGCGCCGTCGACATACTACTAGTAGAGATATGTCCAAGATGCGAAAGCATCAGATACCAATTTTCAAATCCAGACCCATGTTCTATCCCAGAATGAATGACTGTACAATCCCAACGTCAATATGAACGGAGAATAAAAGAGAGAATGCAATATGCAACGAGTGATGAAAAGAAAGTCGTAACGGTCATTTAGTTCAATGCAATGCCACCCCCAAGCAAGCTCCCCCAGTCTCCACCAACCCAAACCCAGTCAGCCATGCTGGGGTTTGATCCAGACTTGGCCTTGTTGACCATCTCCACCAGTCCTTTAAAGACATTGCCATAGGTTGACCCGTCGCTCGTCGAGCCCGCGCTGATCTCCTTGCGACCAACAGCATTCGTGACATTGTTCAGGCTGTCCACGGTGTCGATGGCGGGTCCCTCGTTGAAGAAGTCCACCAGGATGAAGGTAGGCTGCCGACCGCCATACTGTTCCTTGCACTTATTCGCAGTGTCACCCAGGTTTCCAGTTCCCCCGGATGGTGCGTTGGTCGTAGACACGTAGCTAGAGTTCGGGTACTCGATGTCCAGGATGGTGGTTTGGTATAGGAAATGGTTCATGAGCGGGAGTTTGCTCGACTGTAGCGCGGCTGAGAGATCACCGCTGACGCTTGAGGGGCGGTCCGGGGTGCAGGAGAAGTTCGATGCTGAGGTCACTTCGTACGGGTTCTCCCACACATAGTTCCATTCGTCCAGGAGATAGGATGTGTCTGAACTGGTGGAGCCATCCAGCGCTGTCACGAAGGTCACTAGCCTCTTTCCATCATCAATCATACTTTGGAGCGTCGGCCACGAGCCGGAGGAGGCGGGGGTATAGGTGTATTTGTTGAGACCGGACGACTGGTATGCTGAGTCAATGTCCGAGGCCGAAGCGCCGTCCGAATTCACCAATAGAATGGTCACCACTGCATCAAACGTCAGCTATCGTTTCTTCCACGACACATCCAGACAAACAAACATACCCTCATTCGCATTTGAATCCATCCATTTCTTAATATCCGTCAACCACGACGTCAATGTTCCCGCATCCATCAACTCACAACTCGAATGACATAGATGCCATGCCGAGTCCTTCTTGTGAATCTGCGCGGTAAGTAACCGAACACCAGCACTCAGCTGATCAGTTGTCCCGTAGTACTGATCCCCCGCAGTTGAATAATCCGTCGACGCATCTCGTACAAACGGACTGTCGTGGGCGCCTAGATGGGTGATTTCGCCGTAGTTTTTGGAGCATAGATCGGGAGAATTGTTGCATGCTGTGCTGCGCGGACGGAGGCCTCTTGCGGCCACGAGGGGGAGAAGAGCGAGGAATCCTAGTCCTTTCATTTTGAAGGTCTCACAAAGGATGTTGACAGCTGCTGGTTGAATGCAGCAAGAGGAGAAATGCTTGTCGCTGTTTGATAAAATGGCAGTTCGGAAATGAATCAAGGAGGACGGAAGGGGGAAAGGGAGTACTCGAAACTGATACAAGTGACAACGCCTGAGAATCACGGCCCAGCGAGATTCACCTAAAAATAAAAGTGACACACCTGGTGGACTTTGTAGACAAACCACCACCGATCAACCGCCGATTCTACTATTCTTAGAAATGCCAATTCTGGGGACGCGCCATCAGGCCGTGGCTGAGGTGGCTGTTGATTGGTCGATTCCGTCGCGCGTTGCCTGGGGCATTAGACATGTGTTTTCCAAATACGGTATAGCGTACATCGACTTTAAACCACTTATTTGTACAAGTAATATATGGGAGTGGTCACTCAATCCTCATCGATTTGTTGATTGATATTGGTGCTCCAAAGGCATAGTTTCACATGGCCGGGCTTTAGGGTACAAACTTGCAGTTGAGGACCAAAGGTCGGTGTGTATGTGCGTTTCTAACGAGGGCTCTGTGCAGCTGCATATGGTTCAGACGGCTGAGCAGCATTCTTGTAGGGGCCATTGTCCTTTTCAGTTGCCTGATTTCGTGATATTATAGCGTCTACCAACATAATGCGTCTCTAGATCCGGCATATGAACTTTCTTCGCCCCGTACGAGGGCAGGCGCTAAAGCCTGCTGGGGCCTCTCCTCCAGTGCAAGTGGTGTGGAATCTATAGACGTGACTGCTGCGCGCGTGTATTTGGGATTAGAGTACGGAATACAGAGCAGTACAGATAATGATGTGATAGATGCGAGGTGGAAGATATTCTACCCCGCGTAGCCCTTTGTAGGAAATTTAAATTAATGTCGGATTCATACAGGCTGCCGACATGCCCCACAGACTTAGATCCACTCGAGGTAGCGGTAGATCAACCCAGAAGATGGAATTGGAAGGGAATAGGGCCCCGAAAAGGGCAGATCACCAGAAACAGTATATAGTACTCGCATCGTAGAACTGGGCATTATGGCTTACGGCACGGGTATTGAGTAACGACCACTTCAATAGTGTACAACTATTTGACCTAGTATCTACAATCCCAGAGCCTTCAAAATCTCCTTCGCCACACCCGCAGTACCAGCCAGGTTCTGCTCCGTAATGAACGTCCCACTCAGTCCAGCAAACATTGAGACAACCACCTTTTTACCCCATGGTTCGCAAGCCTTGACATATTTCCCCTCACTGTAGCCCGATTCAACTCATCTTCTACCAAAAAAAAAAAAAAAAAGGCATAACCGTTATCGCTCTTATCTGATCCTCATCATTCGAGAAACCAGTCACCGTAGTAGAGAAAAGGAGGCTTCGCCGGTGGGTGCCGTGGCCTTGAGGAAAACAGTCGGACCATGACAGACGGCTGTAAGTGTTTTATTTGTGTTTGTAAAATACTGGGCCAGAGCGAGGATGTTGGCATCTGCGTAAAGGTCGAATATTGCTGGTTGGCTAGCCTTCATTCACTTTAACCAAAACCAAGCACAAGCTGTGATACATACATCTATGACCACGACATAGAATATCGCATCAAATCTCTGGGCCTCTGCTAATATATTTGATAACTTCTTAGTTGTCTTCTAGAGTGATTGGTTCTCGTTTAGGAATTCCGTGTATATGGGATCATTTTGAAACATTTCTACAAATGCATTAAACCGCATAATCCCATAAACATATAGTAAGCGGAATGGTTAGGTACGCATGTCAATCATGCAGATTAACGGTGCGGACAACAATGTAACCATGGATGGATTGAGATTAAAGATATGAATGAATATCGACATTCAACTGTAGTGCAAGCAAGAAATCGATATCCGCCGTGCGTAGAGAGCACCCAAGCTGAAATGGTTAATTCTGTTGACCCTCCTGACCCTAATTCCAGGTATTAAAATCTTCCAACGATTCTTCAGCGCCTTCTAGGTATATCTTATTAAATTTTAACCTGTATCCTAGTATCAAATAAAGGGAATTTCAATACCTCAGCTATATCACCTGTACAATATACAAAACCAAACAGACGACCCGGTCTCCGTGCAACGAATGGCCTACAACAATTTGAAATACCCCCTACACAACCCACTCGAAGTAAACACACCGTCAGGGTCAACACTCCTCTGGATCCTCCTCAGCCTCTCCAGGTTTTCCTTCCCATAACCACTGTACGGTTCTTGCTCTTTGCTTGCATAGTTGATATACATCCATGGGTGATGCTTTCCAACATCCCGTGTGGCAGCAGTAGATTTCTCGACCCAGTTGCTAACAAAGGTATTCATAGCGCCATCGTCAGAAGCGTTGTTCCAAAGTGTGGTCAGAAGGACGACTGGAGTTGTTAGCTGCATTGCTTCTGCATTGGCTCAAATGGGACAAGCATACCAGTCAGTGGACCATCGGCATCTAGACCAGCGGCACTTCCTCCTCTCTCCCTCGACGCACGGATGGAAGCCTCATATAAAGGCTGGATAACGAGATTCGGGAGAAATCCCGGCGTTTCCTTGACAGATTGGAGCTCCTCGACCATGATGTCTTGGATTTGACGGTCTAGATCAGCGGATGGGTAGTATGACACAGTAGCGAATAGGTTTCTGTACAGTTAGCTACTAGGCTTTAGCTACGTGGAAAAGAGACTGGGAGCGTACCGACCACCAGGAGGCGTTGCTGAATCTACCTCCCTACTAAAGCTCGTCGACCAGTCAATCCGAAGAGTACTCGACTCAGACGGGACCCGATTCAATCTGTAAAACGGCCGGGGATTCAATTTTGGATGTGAGTACTCCTGAGTAAATGCAAGAGTGTAGTTATCTGTTTCTTGATCGTAGCCAAAGTCGTAGTAGAATGACATGGCGGTGTCGCTTTTCCCGCTTCCTGTTGTGAGTTCGTAGGCGATGTCTGCGATGATGTCCCTTTTATCTGCTGAGTAGGATTTCTGCCCTGAATAAAACTGGGTTTGTGAGACGGCTCTCATGGTGAAATGAGTGACAATTCCGAAATTGTTCATACCCCCACGAAGGGCGAAGTAGAGGTCGGGGTTGGTGTGCTCGCTCACAATTGTGACTGTGGCATTGGGGAGGACAATCTTGTTTCAAGTCAGTTAGTACGTCACTTCCATATTTAGGACTAAGGAGGATACCTCATATTCAAAAACATTGTCCTTCGCCAGTCCATACACAGGTGAGAGATGCGAGAGTCCACCCCCTAGAGTATATCCTCCAAGACCGACACTGGCAGCTCTTCCACCTAACGTGGTCAAGTTATACTTCTCCAGATCTGCGTATGCACTGTATAAGGTATGGCCCGCGCCCAACCTTACTTTCGTCTGATCTGGAAGTACCTCCGTGGTCCTCATCCTCTGCAGGTCGATTGTGACTCCTCCAACTGAGACAGAGTCATCGGGATATCGAGCATGCCCACCACTCTTGACGGCAAACTGGCAGGATGTATCGAGGATGATACTCAGGATGGTTGAAACGTCTTCACGAGAACGAGGCTCGACACGGCAGGCTGATCGGACGTTTTGTTGTTTGGTGTCCCAGGCGCTGAAGTTGCCGTTTCCTGGGAAATGAGTTGTAATGTCGGAGTCCCTGACTAGACGGGAGCACTGATAATAGGTCAGAGGATAGATAGGACTGAGTTTGACCTGGAAGAACAACATACTGCTTGAGTACATGCCGACGCTGAGTTCGTTTCTCGCCTAGATCCAAGAGTACTAGCGGGAAGAAGGAGGGAAAGAATGGTAAGAAATGCCGGCTTCATTGTCGTTATCACTGCTATGTTGGATACCTCAGCTACCTCAGCTACCCCAGAGATTGGTACTATTTATCTAAGTTTCCTCAACATATCGCAGATGTTGGTTAAACCTCGGTAGTCAGCATCTTGCAGAAACTATGGAAGTACGGAGTACCTGCAAGCTGCTTACTGTCAACAACTGGGCCCTGTACTTTCGACGTCAGTGTGTAAATCTTGCCCTTACAGGAAACTTAACTGCACGATGCAGCGGGGCTAAAATATCTAGAGAACATACTATGATGTAGTATGGAGATGGAATACGGAGATATAGGGAGATCCACTGTCATCACTGTCAGCAGGATGCATAAGCCAAGAACATCCCCGGAGTTTATAAATGTGGAGATGAATAAAAAAGACTAAGACTATATATTGCTCGAAATGTCGGCAGAAGACAATCGATACAATTAAGTTCACACCTCAAAAATGGCTCATTTACTGTTATTCCTTGTCACTCTTTTGCTTGCCTTTATCGCCAATGCATTCCACCTTCATGAAGTTTACCAATTCCCCAATGGCACCTGGGCAGAAAACATCGCCGTTCGGTCTAACGGTAACCTTTTGGTGACTTTTGCTAGCACCCCCGAGTTATGGGAAGTCATCCCATCGGCTCAACCCAGAGCTACACAGGCATGGCGTCTCCACCACTTCCCCAACGCCGAGATGGCAACCGGGATTGCAGAGCTCGAACCGGACGTGTACGCCATTATAACACCCAACACTGTCTGGAAGGTGGATTTGAACAATGGCACGAAGAACACTCCAACGCGAATCGCCACACTCCAGTCCGCCAGAACGCTCAATGGTATGGCGGTATTGGATCCTGATACTCGAACGGTGGCTATCTCAGACTCTGAGGCTGGATTGGTCTGGCGTCTCGATACCAGTACTGGAAACTATACCGTAATACTGAAGGACGAGACCATGGCTGCAAATACAAAGGAAGGTGTCTTGCTCGGGATCAACGGATTGAGGGTACACGATGGTCATGTCTACTATGTCAACACACCAGAACGACTTTTCTGCCGTATCCCAGTGAACACAACGACTGGTCGAGCAACTGGCTCTCGCGAAATCATCAGCCAAGGCGCGCTGGCAGATGACTTTGCCATTAGTCGCCAGGGAGTTGGATATCTTGCTGGTCTAACAGATAGTGTCGTGACGCGGGTCTTTGCGAATGGGACACAGGAAGTGATTGCAAACTCAAGTGCGTTGATGTCCGCTACGTCAGGGGCATTTGGACAGCTTGGTGGCTCGGATGTTTTGTATATCACGACTGGAGGGGAGACATTGCATGTGGTCAATGGTACGAGTTCGAAGGGAGGGAAAATACTGGCGTTGTCTCTCGGCCCCTAGAAACTTGGATATACCACGACGCCAAAATGTCGCATTCTATATTTGCTAAAGCGACTGTAGCTAGCTTAGTTTTGAAAAATTCATCGTGAGAGCATTAGTACTCACCTCTATACACGTACGCATGAATCCACCTACAGCTTGGAAGTCCGCATAGAGACACCAATCAATAGACTATTCCGTAGAGCATGCTGAGAGCCCGAAGCTATCACTGGATTGTACATGGATATAATACAGATACATACTAATTTTATATACAGAGAGACTAGATGTCATCTTGTTCGTGAAAACGCACCCTTCCGCAGGTGAGTCGCCCGCCATGCGGTACGCCGGGTCCGAATCAGAGACAACTTGGTGCTGGGCGGATTTACTAACCGGTGCAAATCTTTCATTTCCCAACCACGAAACAGGGAATCACTGCCCCATGCCCGGTTCATGTCCTGAGTGACCTTGTGCACATCATACGGGTTCTCGCGGCGCAGCATCCGGTTCCTGGGACGGCTTGACAATCGATCTCGTCCAAAGAGCACCGCCAGGCGGTGTCGACATGTGCGGCGGATCCAATACCTTGCGAGTCGGACACCGTACTGCTCCAGTTCTCGTAGGAGCACCAGTCCGCGCACCCAAGGGACCAGCTGTTCACCCTTCACCTTGAAGGGGTTATAAGCTTTTGCCTCGGAAAGGGAAACCCGGCATCGGAATCCCCATGAGACAATGGCGCACTGCATCTGGGAGCCGAAGATCGCCTTCAGCATGTCGCTTCCATAGTGCGCGGGTGGAGCGGCTATTCTGGCATTTTGCTGGTCTGGTGGAGTGGGCCATGGTTCATTGCCAGGTGATTTCGCTAGGGAGGAGTAAAAACGCGCTAGCCAAAGACAGCAATCTCGAAGTTCATACCAGCGGTGGGTCATTCCAAATCGTTTCAATATCTCAACCCAGAGAGCGGCATCCACGTGGCAACCTTTTGGAACGGTACGCTTTAACATTTGAAAAACCACGAGCACTTCCTTGCTAGGGTGGAGGCCAAACCGTACCGGCGGCCCAACTCCTGGCCTTCGTGGACCGAGAGCCTTGCGGACCAGGAGGTTAAGACTGTCTTTGGTTAGGGTTCGGCCGCGCAAAGTCATCGTATCTACGACCTTGGCCGCAGATTTCAGATGACCGGCAACAATTTGTTTCCGGAAATGCACGTTGAAAAGCTCAGGACCTTCTTCCGAAAGCTCAGTAAGAATCGCGAGTGTCATCTGGTAATGGCGCCAATCGCGTGTCATGTAGTACGACATCAAAAGGGACTCCTGCATTGTGGCATCCTCGAGTACATCTGGATGTTGGTCGCTATGAAGTAGGTCAGAAAGAAGGATATCACGTTTTTCCTCTGCTAGTCTTCGAATCAAGCGTGCAAATACACTGTCCCCAACAGAAATGCCCGATCTTTGAAGCAGTCGGAGTTTCTCCAGGAGATCCTGACTTCCGTGAGCCCGGACTGCCATCTCGCGCAATGACTGTGGACCGATAGCCGTGACCCCTAGCATGCGTAGCCCTGAGAGAATCATGTCTAAGTTGAATGACCGGGTCGCAAAAAGCCGTGCACCTATCTCATCGCTGAACGGCTTTTCTTCTACCACAAAATTTTCGACTCGTTCTTCCGCAGGAATTGCATTTCGGTCATCGGAATCCACGTTTTGGGACTCGAACATATTCATTGCATACGTTTCCAACTTTTGATAAACGTGTGTCGGCGTATGTTCCATTGCATACTGCAGCAGTTTCTGGATGTCTTCAAATCTTCGCGGATGTTCATCGTGCGAGACGAAAAACACATGCATCCATAATGCCTCCCTCCCAAGCCCTGATTGCAGCAACCTCGAGATAACTGGACCATATATATGACGAGCTTGAGTTCTGTGACAGATTTGTCTGAATGCGCGTATGCCGGGAGCTATCGCACCTTCGTTGACCATAGGATGCGGACCAAGCGATATTGCTGGCTCAAGGAGTTGTAATATGTCATTTGAGTTTGATAAATGCAAATGTTCCAGGTTTTCATGCCATGTGACTGCCTGCTGCACCCTACCATATTCCAAAAGCCCACCGACAACCTTAAGGTAAAACCCATCCCACCGTTTACCTGTCTTTTTCCACAACTCAGAAGCATAAGTCACAATTTCCTGCAAGAATAACCCCCGCTTCAGACCCAGTTCGATGAAGCTCTCCCAAAGGAAATCTGCGTGCTTCCCATCAACAGGCAGCTCTATACCGTCGTGTCGAATCGTCAATCCCTCCCAAATGTCTAAAGTGCCTTTGTCTCCATAGTGACGCTGTCGATGGCGAAGAAGTTCCTCCCAGAGGGCAAAATCATGCCGTCGTGCTGGGTCGTCCACTAACTTTGCGCCGAGGTCTCTGATGTGTCCAATGTCCGACTCAAACTCCAGCCTTTCAGGTTGTAATGCCAATGATCGCGGGTAATCCTGCGCAGGTACTGTTGCATTCACGTGCGTCTTTGGATGCGGTATATCATCATAGGTCCTCTTGCACGACGATCCTATCTCGTGCACACGAAAACTGAAAGGTTGTCGAGTTGATTTCTGGCGTTGAGCGGTGGGAGATTCGGTTGACGGTTCGGATTCAAGTTCAGGTCCATTGAGGCTCGTATTCTGCGATATCGTTCGAATTTGGCATCGTAGACGTTTGTAATTGAGCTCCAATTGTTCGATCCCAAGCGGCGTTGCTGCCAATGAGTCGAGGACCGAGACAGCGGATGGCCTCTTCAATAAGCGAACAAGCGCCGGGCGCATGGATCCTGAGAAGAGAACACGAAGGGAATGAGAGGCAGCTTAACCATCCTTCTCGTCCATCGTACATAAAAGAGAAAATTCGACTTGTTCGAAAACTGTACAGCTTTTAATCCCGATACCTTTTTGAAAAGCGGCGGGATTTAATGCCACGTGACTGTTAATAAGCACGCTGTGTGAAAGGCGGAAACAACGTCACATGATCTCCTACGATCCACACTCCACAAACGTCGACTTGAGCCTTACCCTGTGTTTCGATCCCCATTGTCCATTCGCGCCTCCAGAGCCTCGCTTTTCCGCCCCGCAAACCACAAAAATGTACCGCACCGTCCCTCGTATGGCTGGGTATGTGTTCCCTTTTCAATTCCTCCTGATCCGAGTCCCGCGCACAGTTCCGGAAAGTGGTGGTGCAATGCTCGCCGGTCGACCGATAGTGATATGAGTTGGTTTGATAGCTTCTGCAGACAGTCTGACTGACGATTTCATTCCTTGCGACATCTAGGTTCGTGTTCCGCGAGAACCGTGTCCCTTACTACCAGCGTCTGTTCCAGCAGCACGATGGTAAGCGCCAGTGGTGGAAGGTCAGTGCTCCCGCAAATCGATTCCAGACTTTGGGCGAACAGACAACCTGACATACAATTCTTGATTATTTGAAGTCTTCGCGCTCCGGTTACATAATGTACCCCTACCTCTTCTCCGTCTACGGCATGGGTGCTGGTGAGTCAATCCTCGTTTGGAAACATTAATTGTTATGCACATGGCTAATTGCATCCTAGCTACCTTGTACGCCCTTGGTCGCATGGTTTTCGTACGTTCCTTTGTCTCTAGTCGCCGGGAATCTGTGCACAAGCTAACCCTTATTAACAGGGCCACAAGACCTGGATCTAAGCTCCCTTTTGAAGCGTTTTCTATTGCATGATAATGGCAGTGTACTTCTACTTCAATGCTGGGCTGCGAGGGTAGATGACAGACGTTTCGACGTTGTATATAATATATGCCAGGCGTCAATGAAAAATCTGCCCTAGTTTTGATCTTTCCAGTTGCTTTCGGAGTGTCATAATGACATTATTCATCCGCGAGCGAGGACTATTGTATGTGTGTGTGTTTCGACACTTTAACAGGCTTGCGCTTCCCAGTAGATATCCCAAGCTCAACAGAACATGGCCCATCGTTCTCGATGTCTGTAAAGCAATGTAAACAAGAGATTCGAGTTCTTAAACAGACCCGGTCTTGTTTAGTCAATGCACAGTGCATAACGATTGCTTAGTCATATTATCCTCGTACTGCTGATCTTGAAGATAAAGGAACAGCCTTCAGCTCAAAAACTTTGACAGACGCTGGATGTTCTGAACACGTTATCAAGGCAGGATAGCATACCCTGCTCGGCAGCTCAATGCTATTTGTTGGCGCATCTGAGAATCGCCAACCAGAATTTGCATGATTTCTACAGATAATGCTACTTGCAGCAACCGAATAGCCTCGCTAGAATATCCCTGGAATCTTGACCAGGAAAGAACAAGCTCCCCGAAGCATATTCTATATGATGTTATTCAGACTTACTTTTTGCTGACGCGATGGATCAAGCTCCTGCTGAACGGCCGGCCAAGCGGGTGCGGCAGGCTTGTGAGCCTTGCAGGTAAACACGCGATTTAGACTTATAGAGCAGTGACTGACCTGATCTGCAGACGTAAGAAGGCCAAGTGCCCTGGCGAGCAGCCAACCTGTTCACTCTGTGCGCGTTTACATCAAACCTGTGTGTATGATGGGGAAAGGCGTAGGTACTTATCGCACTCCACTTCAATGCAGGAGTCAACGCCGTTATCCGCACCGGAGGTCCAGCTGCCTCAGATTCTGGTGAGTCTCAGGTTCATGTGTGCAGGGAATTGGGCTTGTGTATTGATAGATATACAGGAGGATCGAATAGGAAGTCTCGAAGCGAAAATGGCAGAGGTCATTGATGCTTTAAGGTAATCGAGCTCGTGGTCCCATATCATCATGAAAACGTTCTTACATATATGACAAGGCAAAATAACTCGGGGCGCAGCCGTCAATCGACGGCGAACTCACCTCTTCCAGACTTGGTCAATGACATGGCGCGCCCCTCCATGGCAAACCCAATTATACCTCTTCCGCCCTGGAACATGGTACTATCCATTGCCGAGCTGTATTTGCTATATTGCGAATCTCAACCTCTTCCACTATTCCATAGAGCAACTTTCATTAGGACTCTCGGGGGCCGTGATCCTGAGATTATCTATGCCGTGCTTGCACTGAGCGTCCGATTCTCAGAGGGTTTATTTGCAAATAATAATGAACTAGTGGGCATGGTCAACAGCTACGCGGAGGTAGCCAGAGGTCTGGTCACGAAGAGGGTGTGGGAAGGACCTGTTGAGCTCTCTACTCTACAATCACTCTGTCTGCTAAGCCTAGTCGACTTTACAAGTAAGAAGTTCCACTCTGATGATTATGCTGTACCTGGGCTGATAAGTAATTCAAGATGGGAACACACACCGTGCAATGATTCATGGTAGTCTAGCTATGAATCTGGCTCAATGTGCCAACCTCAGCTCGGAGTCTCATACAGGACTGTCTCCAGTGGCTCGCGAAGAGCGTAGACGCTGTTTCTGGAGCATCTGTCTGCTGAAGCGTCTCCATGGGGGCGAATTGACTAATCTAGAATTCTTTGGAAAAAATTACCTTCCATTTCCCGAGAGCCCTGCACGGCCTGCACTTCAGTTCTCCCCGGAAAGCACTGCAAATGAAAGTCGGTTGACCGATCTTCAAGATCAGGGTATCGTCGCCTATGTGATCATGCTCAGCGAGGTCTTTGCAAAAACGGGTAAATACGTTTGTCGCCATGGAAAGCCAAATAGCGTGCCTCCTTGGTCGTCCCAGTCAGAGTACTCCGAAATACTTACCTTGCAGATGGATTTGGAAACGCGGATGCCGTATACTCACCGGTTTAAGCCTGCTAGGCTAAGCGAGAGGACCCCCAAAGAACTTTCAGAACACCGCGATTATTGGGGCCCGTGGTTCCTGAACCAATTTCTATACCACACGAACCTGTGTCTCCTCAATCACCCTCTTTTGCTATCGTTGAGTTTACGGAACTTTCGGAGTAGTATCCCAGAGATATTTTTACAGCACACGTCAGACCTCATCTCATCGCATACAACCTGGATTGTTTATTTCATTGACTACTTTGAAAAGAAATCATTCATCGCTTCAGACCCATTGCTGGGGTACAGTGCAGCGGTTGTGGCTACCATTGAACTGCAGCTTAGCTTTACGGAAAGCCCTACAATACGACAGGAAAAGAGAAGCAGGTTTTCGAAATGCGTCAGGTTTGTGCAGAGTGTTGGGAGAAAGTGGCCCCATATGGCACGAATGGTAGGCTGAAACTTCAGGATATCTATCTAATTAATGGAGATCACTAGCTGACATGCTTATCAAATCAATCAGGCCGAACGATTACAGCGCTTGGAAGACGCCGTTACCTCGTCTTACCAACCAGACCCACATGCGCAGAACAAAAGTTTACTGATCGACCTCTCACGCTTCTGGGAGATCCTCGAATACTCATTCAATAGCGATGCTACTTCTGCGCGCCGCATGTTTGGTGATACCCTTTATCTGGGGCCTCCTACATTTGCGGCGGAGGTGTCACAGACATCCCCTTTACCAGCACCCACGCGACTCGACTTACTTGGACAATTACGCTCGCAGGAAGATACTGGTTTTGGTAGTGCCCCATCTTCCCCGTTGCCACAATATACAGTGGATGCTTTGGCCTCACCGCGGCATATGGATCTGATCAATGATGAATTCTCAATACTGGCGACGAATTTCTTCTCCCAGGGACAAGATTTTCTACGAAGCTATGATACCAGAGAAGGGATAGGGGATTTCTAGATCAAGGGTGGAAATATGAAGCCACTGCATTATCGTTATATTACATTATGAAGCCCAATCACGCCTTCAGCGCCTGCTTCAAATTCTCCACGAACGTCCACACCTCCGTGAAAGTATTATACAAAGGAGCAGGGGCAACACGCACAACACCTGGTTCTCGCTTGTCGCATACGACACCAATTTCCTGTAGCTTTTGCGCGACCTGTTGCAGCAACCCGGGTTTTAGCAGCAAACACAACTGGGCTCCTCTGGCTTCGGGGTTGGATGGTGTGATGATTTCAAATTGGCTTGTTTCATAGCCGCTGTCTTTCAGTAGAAGATGCTCGAGGTATGCTGTTATCAAAACAGACTTCTTGCGGATCTCTGCCATGGATGTTTTATCGAAGACAGAAAGTGCCGCGCATAGAGATGTGAGATCGATAGCCGAGGGGTTCGAAATTTGGAAACCTCCTGCGCCAGGGATTGGCTTGAACTCTGTTCAGTGTGTTAGTGCTTTGAGCTCAACGGTACGAATTAATTGTGTAACTTACTGTTGTCCATCTTGAACCGCTCTGCTCTGTCATCTCCATACCACCCGGTCAGACGATGGCGGAATTTTGGAGAGTCCCTCCCTGCGCTATAGTCGACCTGTCCGTGTCTTTCATGAACATATAGACCGGCAATACCCCCTGGCCCAGAGTTGCCATATTTGTATGTGCACCAAACTGCGAAGTCAACGTTCCACTCATGCAGCCTCAACTCAACGTTGCCGTACGCATGGGCCAAATCCCACCCCACAATGATGCCAAGCGACTGAGCATACTTGGTAATCCGTTTGATGTCGAACAGCTGGCCAGTGTAATACTGGATTCCAGGAAGGAGAACAACGGCGATATCAGAGGCGTGGTTGTCAATATAAGAAAGAATCTTTTCTGTGGAGATTTCGTATTCTCCCTCGTCTGGACCGACAAGAAGCATGGACTGGTCTGGATCCAGGCCATGCCATGCAATTTGTGATTCGATTGCATACTTTGGCGTTGTTAGCATGATTTATGCTGGTTGTATTTCATATTCTAAACACTTACATGGTCACTGGGAAACGCTTTCCAGTCCATCAGGATCTTGTGCTTATCAGAAGTCGGCTTGTAGAAACTTGCAAGCAAAAGGTGAAGGTTCATGGACAGTGTTCCCATTGCCGCGACTTCTTCCGGTGCTGCTCCAACGATCTTGGACATGGACTCAGCTGCTTGCTCAGACAGTAGCTGCCATTGTCTTAGCGGCGAGCCCTCAAGGTCTGTAAAATGACCGCCAACACCGACTGATGACCACGTGTCGAGCTGTGCCTCTAGATACTTTGCGGTGGCTTTTGGCTGGATTCCAAGGGAGTTCCCACAGAAGTAGATGCATGGCTCCGATGATAACCCTGGTTTGATGTGAATATTGGAGAGGCTGTTGAAACCGAGAGATACACACCTGGCTTTGCGAGCTTCTTGCAAGCGATATTGGCCTTAGATGGGATAATGAACTCATCACGGAAACTCCGCAAAGGATCTGCCGCGTCGAGAGAGGCAGCGTATTCCTTTGTACCTGCGTCTGCGGGGAATTCTGGCTTGGGTACTGTGGAGGGGGGCTTCATGTTTGCGTGGGCTGAACAGATGAGTCGATCAAAGTGAAGCGGGAAGTGATACCTCAAGGCCCGAATGCTCTTTATTCTTTATATATGGTTTCTTGCCGATGATATGCGGTGCAACCATTCATATCAGCCGGAACCCGGATTACATCCGCTTCCGTCTCGAGATCCGTCCTATGGTGATAAGCTCTATCCAGTCACGAGTACGGATGATTTTACGCTATCTCTACGAATTGGCTTTTATAGCACCAAGACATGGTAAGCATTTAATGTTGCCTTTTGATTTGGAAATGAGACCGGATCCGACCCGGATGTCTTCCGGCTCATGTACCATGGGCCCATATCACTTGACGGATTATCATATCCCTCATCTTTGTTTACTATATAGACCCAAGGTTTGCTTGAAAATAACCTTCTATGTCGTGCTTATGATTTAATTGTTATATAGTTCTCCGTTGTCCCCTGAACCGAAACTCCCGGACAAGTTCTTCACAAGAAGCTACCATGTTGGACACTCCTGAGATTGTGCTTGAACAATTCCGTGTTTCTCCTCAGAATGGATTCCTTCCTGCTATACCTCCGTTGCGAAGGCTTGAGAATCCTTACTACGAGCCGTGGGAGAGTATTGTTTGTGATCTCCCAACTTATATCAAGAACGGGAGCATCAGACAGAAAATAGACTGTCTGCCCGTTCTGTCAACCTCAATGCTCGAAGACGAGTCAGAATGGAGGAGAGCCTATGTCGTACTGGCCTATCTCACGCATGCATACGTATGGGGAGGCGAAAAGCCGTCAGAGGTAAGGTCTATCTACCCCAGCACTCGCGGGCAATTTCTGATCATAAACAGAGACTACCGCCAGCCATCTCGTGTCCCTTTCTCGACGTCTCCTCTCACCTAGAACTCCCAGCATGCGCTACATATGCTGCCGTTTGTCTTTGGAACTTCGCAGCCAACAACGACCAAACAGACCTCACCGATCCTGACGATTTCTGCGTAAACACCTCTTTCACAGGCACAAAGGATGAGGAATGGTTCTTCATAGTCTCTGCTGCCATTGAAGCAACAGGAGCGAAGCTCTTCCCGATAATGCTAAACGCAATCCACGCGGTTAATGTCAACGATGCTCCTACTGTGGTCACTTCCCTCAACCGCGTTTGCGAAGGAATCAGAAAAATCGCTATCATTCTGCAACGGATGTTCGAAAAGTGCGGCCCATCTGTGTTCTTCCACCAGATTCGACCTTTTCTGGCTGGGAGCAAGAACATGGCCACGGCTGGACTGCCCAACGGGGTTTTCTATGATGTGGGAGACGGACAGGGTGAGTGGCGCCAATACAGCGGAGGAAGTAATGCACAGAGCTCGTTGATTCAGACTTTCGATATCTTTCTTGGTGTGCACCATTCTGCGACGGGAGAGGTCAATTCTGATGCTGCCGGTCAGCAGCCAGGTAAAACTAGTTACTTACAGGTATGGGAGTTATCCTACAAGAAAGTAAAAGGCAGTACTAACAAAGTTGGCTTGCAGGAAATGCGCAGCTATATGCCCGGACCTCACCGACGATTCCTCGAAATGCTTACCCGTCTCTCCAACATCCGATCATACGCCATGAAACAAAGGCCCGGCTCCGCAGTCAGAGATGCATACAACACCACCGCGATGACTCTTGGATCCTTCCGCGACATCCATATCCAACTTGTCTCACGGTACATTGTCATGGCATCTAAGACACGGCCAATTGACGATTATGCAGAAAAGACAAATCTCGCAACGGCGACTGCCAAACACACACGAACCACGGAGAAACACAAAGTGTCTCTTACCGGGACTGGAGGAACGGATTTGATTCCATTTCTTAGACGGACTAGGGATACGACAAAGGCCGCGGCAAATTACATGGACTCGGCTATTCTTTGAAAGAGTTGGGTGTCTGGATTCGGGGATTTTTGTCCGGAGGACACAGGGGACTTTCGGGATTGGCCCTTTGGATTTGGTACGGTAGTTTTGAAAGTTGTACATACCAATGCCACGTACATATACTAGATAAAGGCATATTCGGAATATTATTTGGTTTGTTCAGGACATGCATGTCTTTTTCACTCTTCTTCATTTCATAGGAAACCCAAGCTCATATTCTCGTAAATCAGGACCTATATTACGTACTGCTTCGTGACAATGGCACTAAATTGCTTAAAAGACACGCATGTATCCATGAAAGCTGCCGTGAATCATGTTTCTGGATTATGTAGCTAGCTCTTAGACACCCTGTAAGCTCTGCAGCGTCCGTAAATATTAACAACCTTGAGTACACCCAACCAAAAAAGGGGATCATATAACAGTTGCCCGGTTTACATTTGGAGCCGGGACCGGAGACGGAGACGGAGGCGGAAGCGGAAGCGGATCGATGGACCGGAGTGATTAGGGTTCGATGAAATGGTGATATTAGTCTTATGAGTGGAACTGAATAACTTGGTATTTGACATGGAACGAGATGTTTTGCATTAGTTGACCGGGTGCAGTTTCCGGGTACATGCATTAAGCATAGGTCAATCATGAGCGTCTGTCTTCAACACTCATTGATGGTGACTGATGTGAGTACAAAGAGGGGCATCATAATAGTGCTGGCTGCTTTCAAAGAAATATAGTTCGGGAGAGAAGTAAAGTTCTTTGACAGTCGTGAAAAAGTGGTCAGAATTTCAATGCAGCAAGTCAGACCGAGAAACTCAAACACGTTTACCCCGTTTGGCTTGCTTGCTCGTAGTGACCATTGCAGATACAGGCAAAATGAGATTGCAGCTGGGCCCTCGATAGTCAATCATTAGATGGCAAGAGTTCCTTGCCGATTGCTTACTAGAGCATGGCAGTCATTTTCTGAATGACGTGATCCATACGAGAGATGAAGATATGTACACATTTAATGAGCGTGTAGAACTCCGGGGTTGCCAAAGGTGATGCACGCGTAAAGGGAATGTAGAATCATGTTAGATTATTATACGATTCTGATCAACAGTCCCACCACTGCTAGTTCTATATCAGGAGTTTGGAGAAATTGGGTCGGAGTATTATCTGTATTATTACTCATTAGAATTTCCGCTTCGGAATGTAAATAGAATCATTATATTTTCGTAACTGAAGAGGCATGGGTAGCCCAGTTGGTGCGGTGCTTGGTAGATATGGCATATATGCCAGAGTCGTTGTATCCATGGCGACAGTGAGAGGGGTAGCTTCGAAGGCTTTTCGCATCCCAACCACAACAACTATCCACTGAGAGACCGGCTCTCTGTTCCTAAATAGATGCCCACTGCCAATGGCCAATTTCAACGAGACCCTCATGGTTGCTTCTGTCTCCTCCATTATCGGAGAGTATACAATCGGGAGTTTTGGTGGTGGTCTTGATGTCACAGGTGGGGAAGGGTAGTGCCAGTCGATAAAGACGTTAGCTCAAAGTCCGCGTTGAAAAGGAGTCATTCCGGCAAGAAAGATCGTTTATCTCTTCTTCGTGTTGGCCGGAACACCCTCACTTTCTCTTAACTCAGCCAGTTTCTTCTCACGCTCAACGAGTCGCGCCTTTTCGTCCGCGATCATCTGCTCAACTGTCTTGTTTGCTTCCGCCAACCTGCCCATTTCCTTGTTTTCCGTTGCCCTGCTATAAGGATTTCCGGGGGTCTCGTTCAACGGAATCTCAGCAGTCCTCTTCCCCTGCTGCCCCGCCTTCGTATTCTTTCCCCCTTTACCCTTCTGTGGTTGTCCATTTAACGAGCCTCCCGTGAGCAAGTCATAAAACTGCTCCACCGGCTCATTGAAAAGAACCTCCTCGTAGTTCTGGCTAACCACAACCTCCCGTCTCTCCTTCTTCCCCTCTGCATCATGACCATACGGGTGAAGTTTCAAACTATGCCACAACGTCTGGGGCTTCTCTGTCGACTCCGGGATGAAGTAAAGTTTGATCTGGATCTCGAACTCTCCCCATCCGGTCTCTAGTATCTCGAAAGGCGCTTGCTCGACGGATCGGACGTTCTGCGCGTATGTCTCGTGTAGTTTAAACTGGACCTTTTTTAGCCAGTAGGAGATATCCTCGTCGTTGACGCCTTTGACGTAGACGCGCCATTGATGGGTGTGGTCTGCGGGGACGTGGGCGGGTTTGTTCGCTGGGTCGAAGGGTTGCGCTTCACTGCCAAAAACTGTGATATTTAATATTAGTTCTATTATATTGCGATTAACGCAGGAATAAGAGACGTACTGAAAGGTCTAAATACCGAAACGCCCTGTCGACAGAAGTTGTTAGCTTCGGCGCAGTCTGTCAGTTGGCACTCGGGCCCCACTCACCCTAACGCGTTTGTTGTGACCTGTTGCGGATGGCATTGTGAGATGGTGTTTGGCGAAAAGGGAAACTGGCAATGCTAACGAAGAACAAGACGTCGATGCCCGTAGGGCTGTAGGGAACTCTGGATAATGTTCTTGTCGCGGAAAATCAAATCCACGTGACTCACCGCCTGAGGAACATGACGACACTCGGCGCCGCTTGCGATTTAGAGCTCAGCAGACTAGCGTCACTTGTTCTGGGCTATTTCATAAAACTACAAATCTCCTTCGAATTGAAACCCATACGAATCTATCTGAAATTGAACAATGGCTTCTAAAAGAGTGGTGGTTGCTGGTGGTAACGGATTCTTAGGTTCGTCTATAATGCCGCACTAAAAAGATCCGGGCATCGCTAACTAAGTCCTTTTCTTGCTATAGGGTCACGAATCTGCAAAGCCGCCGTGGCTAGAGGTTGGTCAGTGACATCTCTGAGGTACGTCATACCTGGTTAATGACCGACTGCAATTGCTCAAAGTCCCTAGTCGATCCGGGGAACCACGATGGGACACCGTTACGAGCTCTCCAGAGCGGCCTAGCTGGGCCAGCTCTGTGGAATGGACCAGGGCGGATCTACTGAAGCCGGAATCATATACGCCACATCTACAGGGAGCAAATGCTGTTGTTCACAGCATGGGGATTCTTCTAGAGGCAGACTACAAGGGGGTCGTGCAAGGACGAGAGCCTATCATCAGCGGCCTACAGAGAGCGTTCAGTTCCTCCAAGCTGGGGAGTCAGAATCCGCTTCATAGAAAGGAAGGAGAAGCATTAGAGCCAAAGGAGGGTGATAGACAGTTGACTTATGAACTGATGAATAGAGACTCTGGTTCGTACATGGCTATGTCTTCTGATTCCAAGGTCCAACAATTACATTACTGATCCACATATAGCTATTGCACTAGCACAGGAATCATCAGGCCAACATGTTCCGACGTTCGTATTCATCTCCGCAGCTGGAGGAGCACCAATCCTTCCAAGCAGATATATCACAACCAAACGAGACGCCGAAGCAACCATATCATCAAAGCTCCCAGACCTGAGGAGTATCTTTATGCGCCCTGCATTCATGTATGATTCGAGCAGAAAGTTCACATTGCCGATAGCGTTGGGTGGATTCCTTGGTACCGAGGTCAATGCTTTCTTGGGTAACAGACTCCAATTCCTTGGATCGATGGTTGACAAGCCACTGCAAGTGGACGTTGTTGGTGAGGCCGTAGTCGAGGCGATGGAAGATGAATCAACACACGGTGCAGTTGGGACGAAGCAAATCGAAACACTGGCGACCAAGGCCTGGAGGAAAAGCATGGTCTGATTCCCGACCGGCAGCTGCTTGAATAAAACAAGAGCGGCCAAATCAACGCACCGAACCATCTTGTAGCATAATTAACGACCCGCCCCAGATGAGCGGGCTATAAAAAGATATTGGACTGTACAATATAACGCGTTTATGTAACATTCGAATCAAATCATCGTACCGCGTTCGAAACTGTCCCGAATTTCGGTTGTGTACTGGGAAAAGTTAACATAGGATTTTACATATTGCGCGAGGAAACATACCTTGTTGTAGAAACGCGATAGCTTCATGTTGAATTGTTTGTTCTTCTCGTTGATGTAGGTGACGTCGGATTCGTCGTCGCCACGACGGTCCCTGCGCTTCTTGAGACGAACTTCCTCGGCCTTCTTCAAGTCTCCCACAAGCTTGTCAACCCCAGCTCGATCCGGTTTATTTTCTGCAAACCCAACAGAGTCCGCTGTGGAATAAAATGAGCCGTTCTTGTCGATTGCGATCATCTCACCGTCACTGGTTTCCACGATTTCAAGGTCGCCATTAGATGCAGCTTTCTCGATCGCGGCCATTTTCTCCCTCTCATAAGCTTCGAGATTCGGATTTAGCTCGCGCATCTGCCTCTTGTACACCTTGCGCGCATCTTGGGTGTAGTCCTGGAATGCGACATCGTCTCGGTGGCGCTGCTTTTTGTTCATCCGCTTATCCCACTTTTCGGATTCATCGACAGTCCAATCCCACGCACGTTTACGCTCGAAATCCTCTCCCGAAACTTCTGTGTCGGCTTTCAGCAGGTTATGGGATGCAAATGCATGCTTGCGTGATAGGTTAGACATTAGCGCAGGGTCAGTAGCGAGACGTTGGGTTTCTGCGGCGGTTTCTTTTAGATTGCGTTCAGCTCCGGATTTCTATACCATAATTAGTTAGCGAGAACAAGTACAACTAGAGACTGTCGGTAGAAGTGCTCACTGCGCGAGCTTGAAGAGCTTTGAATCTCTCGTGTCTTTGACGCGCCTTAGCGGCAGCGTCATCCTCTTCCTGCTCTGCTGTCGCATTTGCTGAACCTCCCTCTGAAGGTATTTTCAAGTTTGTGTCTTCCGAGTCATCATCTTCACCTCCAGTTGGTAGGTTCTCGGCGGCTTGTTCAGAATCGGCAGGCGTTGCTGTCGAATCATCGGTTTCTCTCTTAGGTGGCATATTAGACGGAATTGGGCGAATTGCGAGAATAAGTATAAGATGATATGGGAGTTCTTATAGACGGGGAGAAAAAACAGATTTGTATGTATTGTTTGATAGCCGGTGGTAAATAGATAGAAAAACAGCGATGTTGCAGTGGTGACGGAGGTTGTCAAGCCCAAACTTGACCGCTTTCCTAATCAGTGCGATGTCGGACTTACGAGGAGCCAATCTATACAGAAATAAGACTGACACTTGGCTTGCTATCAACTGGTTGCCAAGCCCATTGCACAGCAAGCATTGAATATGTCGTTCTTTCAGACCTGTGGAGGACCGCAAGAGGCGCTTGCAGCTATTGGAAAGCATATATTTACGAAGTGGCCGTACGAGAAATGAGATACCTTGTCAGGAACTGTTGCTTCAATCCGTCGCTTGCTCTCCTAGGGATTCGCAAGGATTCGCATAGTCCTGTGCCTGCATATTGGGGATAAAATACACATCCACAATCTTTCCAACTGGAGAGGCTCAGCTTGGCTACAGCAATCCTCTTCCAATGGCTGACGATTGCGATAGGCTCGACTATAGCCTCGCTTGACAGCAAGGATTTAGTGGGTGCGAGATTTGTAATTGTCATATTTGAAATTAGCAACGGGTCTCGATACGATTGCTAACACCATTCTAGAAAATCCATACGAAGTACTTTGCATATGTTACGCTATTCCAGCGATCCTTATTGACTTCCCAGCTTTCTCGTCTGCAACTAAATTGGAACATGTTCGTGCGGAGTACTCCGTATCGTGGCGCAGCTGAATGCCTGCCTTGGCCTGACTTCGTGTGTGTGTATGGAAAATGTGGAACTGGACTTTTTTTTACACTTGCTAGCGAGAATCCTTTGCATTTGATGCAACTTGACTGTCTAGTCGTGCAACCGATCCAGTTCAAAGTGTATCAATGCCTCGAGTGGTGCCACGATCCGGTTTCTCATTGCCTTCTACTGGAAAGGGTCATACAAGCATTACCGCCGGTACACAGCGGCGATTTTCACAAATTGAGTTTGCATTCGAGGCTGCCATGTTCTTTCTTAGGCCATTATCTAAGCGACGTGATGCCCGACAACAAACTTTCCTCGGGAGCTCCGAACGCCAGGCTTCATCTGGAAATGGATTTGAGACTGGTTTTACTTTGGAGACTTCCGAATCTTTCATCCTTCGGTTGTCTTGTGATAATGACAATCGGTGAGCGCTCAGCTAACGCAAGGAGCGAGGATTGCGATGCCTGAGTATAAACAAGGCAACCATGTGCACCATGGTCAGTTCGGAAGCTGAACTGGTAAGAGTCTTTTTCCTTTTCTTTATTTCTTTCTTTCTCGCTGTGCGTTCACAGGACGCCCGCAAGTGCGGACCTCGGTTCGGCTTGTTGTTCGCCATTCGCATCTGATACTCCTCGCTACTTTGTCTGACACGTCGCCCCGCCTGTTGGTCAACGTTTGACCCTCGTATGACCGGGGGAGGAGGAGTGGCTTGTCTCCTTGGTATTTCCGAAGAACTTAGCCCAGGAATGAACCCAGCGATCAATCTAATTCAATGAGATTTAAGATTAACAGAGGTCAGTAGAACCAAAAAAGGGATATCGTGTCGATTACCTGGACCCGTTATAATCCACTTCTATGTCCCTGGAATGTCTCAGACTGTAAAATTATGATCTGTAGACTGCATAGAGAGCATCCCAAAGCTTATGCTGGTTTGGCCCTCACGCAAACTCCCAGCAGAGTGATTCATTTTCTTGAAAATCACCCTTTCTGATTTAGATGCAAGTGGAGATCCCTGCTCATGACAGATTGAGTTTTTGTTCTCAGCAAGATAGTATTGCAGTCAATATCGTAAGATAGCACTTGCCCTAAAGGAACAGGGATTGGCAACTTTTTCTCTTCTCTGCAACCAACAAAGCCTGTAGAACACGATCTCGCATTTCTCCCAGGAAGGACATTGTGCTGCTAATTCCTCGCGTCACCACTCGCCAGAAAGGATCCTCAAAAGATAATCCACTGATTTGCATATTTTCCAATTTTTTTTTTTTCTTTTCTTTCAGCTAGCAAGTAAATGTTTGCCACAAAATGGCGAACGGGTTACAGAATGCGATTCGACATATCAACTGCCAACCACACCGAATTAGTTTCGGAGGCGAGGAGTGAAGAAAGAAGTTTTGATCTTCATGGCTGGTGAGTGGAAAGTCATGACATAGCTGGGAATAAGCACTGTAACTGTTACTATAATTCAGCTGGTGCTGGTTCTGGTTGCTGGTTTATTGGGGCTTGACTCGTCGACTTATTGATCACGCATACGTATCAGAAAACACCTTGGTGATCAGGAAACCCGGATTATCTAACTATACCGCAAGGTCGTGTTCGATAGCTCTCTTTGAAATGTGTCGATAGTCCTCCAGACCCAAATTATGGGAGCCAATGATCGCAAAAATTAGTAGTTGCGAACACCAGGGACCCCAGTCAAGAAATGCCGGACGTGCATATGTACTACTCTGTACTCCATTATCTACCAGTCAAATGGCTCTCGGGAATTACTTCCCCTGGACCCCGAGCCAATTGATTGAACAATGGCGCCAGGCTAGCGCCATAGGCCCACACGCCCATGAACGGGCCAAAGCCGTTAGGGAACCCAAGCTCGGGGCCGGACTTTGTGACACATCATTGATTGACCAACCCATCCGGACGGCTGTTACGGTGCTAATGCACGAATAGCGCGTTCGATGTGGGCTAGAAGACTTTGCAGGCGGCTAGTGCGTCCTGGTACTATTCAGCCGGACAAGGACGTGCACAGCGGATTTGGCAGTGATCGAGAATTCCCGTCTGTCATTCGTCGTCACAAAATCGGGCGTACCTACGCGATTGAGCACTACCGAAGTACTCCGTACCCGTACTTTGTCCAGATTAAAGCCACAATAGCTGGCAGGATCTCGGAGGCGGATCTCGGGGAATCTAGATCACTCGTCTGATTGGAGCATACTCCGTACAGAATATGGAGTACGTCTGAGTACGAAGTAGAGTAAATATTTAGGGGCATGAGGTGAATTTATCAATAGCCAATGGCGCAGAGAATTACCGAGGGTTGGTTCTCTGTACTCCGTATGTCGGTACTTCCCACTCCGGACTATGTACAGCTAGTATATGCTTCATACATACTGTAATAAAGTAGGAACAGAGGGTACTATTTTTGTGCCAAGTGCTCGCAAGTGTCAATTATTATTAGCCGGTTCGAAGTGCCGCTACTGGATGGTCTAACGGCTTTGCAGGCCGGTTTAATTTTTCATGATTGTCTCCCGGAAATCCTCTTTGCATTACAGTTAAGATTTGCACTTGTAATTTGAGCTTGAGTCAGTGACTTAACGGTTAAGTCCAGACTCTGTAAGGATGCACAGTCAATGCAGTTTGCGGGTGGATAATATGGACAGGGAACAAGTACAAAGACGTGTCTATATACGGTAATACACCACTTTCCACAGCAGGAAGGCTCGTCGTCAGTCCTTGGAAACACGAACGCACCGACGGGAATTAAACGGAGTGTTGATTGCTTTGGTTTGGCGTCACATTTCACAAGTTTGGACACATCACTACCACACAAGAAAGATGTCAAATCGCATCTCTGCAACTGATGCAGCAGATTTTAGTTTTACACTATTGATTGTCCTTTTAGTCCACCGCTAATGGGACAGATATGGGTCAATCTCCGTATGGCATACTGGGTCTACTGGGTCCGAATTTTGAGGTGGCCGTTCAATGATTGACAGCTTACTGTCAATGTGAGGCCAGACGAGGTAAACAGTGGTGGGAGCCTAGAAAAAAGTCTTTCTGACCAACGGAGCACAGCCTTTGCAGATTTTGACCGAAATTAATTAACATTAAACTTTGGTCCAACCTCGACAGGAAAGGGATTTGCTACAAAAAGATAAAGAGCCGAAACAGAAAAAGAAAGGAAAGAGCGTTCCGATTCCAGGGAATAGGAGCGCCTGGGATATGAGATTCTCCAGGGACGGACATGGACGTGATCCTAATAATGCTGCTAAATGCCTGATAATTCGAATGCCGACATAATACGGAGTCCGGAACACATACAATTGGACGCACACAGAGCACGCAAACTCCCTCAAAATAGCCGCTCGGCCCGTTCCCCAAATCCGCAATCCTTTCCATGGTTCGACGGCTGAGTGGGATTGGATGTTAAGGCGCTAATCTCCATGAAGCACGGAGCACAACCATGCATAAGCACCGTCGCTTCCACCCATTAGGGTTGGCTGACAGGAGATGCCCCATTTCAATTTCCTGGGTTCCCAACACGTCAGTTACGGCTGACTTGGCACTCATCATGTAGTGTGTTTCACCCTTCGGTGTAGCTGCTGCTGATGGATCTTGCTTCGGCACTTGAATTTTTATTTTGATTTTCGAATTTTTATGCGGGTGGACGTCCCCTTACAGCGATTACCTGTTCATCCTAGTCTGCCCTTGTATTAATCACCCCCGTTCGGTGGGTTTGGGAAAGCTGTACTTCGTACAATAGAGTTCGTCTACACGACCGATGGTGCGTGTTATGCCATAGATACACCACTATAAACCACAACCCAGATTCTCGGTGGACCTCACTCATTCCTCCCACAATGCTTGTTATCGAACTGGGTTGTCTTTGGGCTGCATCAATTGTCTATATTTGACGTCCATCTTCCTTCCACTCTCCTATATACCGCGTTTCTTTGTCCTATTTGGCGCCTAACTCTTTGGATTTTCGCATCTTGTGTCTTCGATTCCTGGATGTCGTGAATTGATCCATCCTATCATTGCCCACATTGTTCTGACCGCTTTCTGCTTACCGTCACGAATGCTTCTCTTGCAGGAACCGGGATCGCGCCGTCTGCCATCAATTCGACCCGATTTCTTCGAAAAGAATAGCATAGAAGCCTTCTCGAATAATCCGCGCAGATGTCTAGAGCACCATCGCAATGTGGGCCTTCGTCGTCTGACCAGTGGTATACGAACCAAATAAGACAAGCACATCACCCTGGGTATCATGGCGTGCCAGCGAGTTCAAATCAAACCTATCCAACACAAGGGTTACCTCGATTCCTCTACCCGGATAATCAAGCGTACGACCCTACTCTTGCCACCCGACCGCCAGGTTCTCAGCGCTCCTGGCAAGGGAATCAGCAGAGCAGCGATGCAGATCGGAGATATAATGATGTATATGGGAACTATGGAAGCACCGAACCCCGAATCCAGTATGGCTTGCAGCGGACAGGTCTCGTGAGTTTTCAGCAGCATGCGCCCGGAAGCGCGGAATATTACAGCTACCAAAGCTCTTACCAAGATGTGTCTAACCCGTCTGTGGGTTATGGACGAGGCTCAATTGGATCTGGTGGGTGGTCAAACGATGTGGATTCCCAGTAACTTCCCCTTTTTCCTATCGACAGACTGTCTTTGGTTTTTGCCATTTGTTATTTTTGGAATCATGGAGTTTCTCTGCCGAGAGGGAACTTTCAGATTCTTGTACTCGAGAACAGAGATCTAATTCGGGAGACATCTCCAGGCACAGCGGTAGCTCCGCAGCTTTCGCAAGCCCCGTTAATTCTGACCACAGTATGGCATCGTTCCCCAGTAGCAGCGCAATGACGAAGCCCCAATCACAGCAGTCGCAGCGACAACGTCCAGCCGACTGCACCGCAATAATGGGAATCGATAATATCCTCCAACATCCCCTAACGCCTCCCCCAGCACCACGACGACAACAGCAACAACAACAAGCGCCAGCACCAAATTCTGCATCAACACACATCCGATCACGCTACCACCTACACATCCGATCACGCTACCACCTACACATCCGCCAACAACCAATCGCCGCACGGGCTTGCGGCGCAGGCGATAGAGATAGACGCCCGGTAGACCCACCACCAATAATCCAGATGCTCCTAACCGATTTCAACCCTGACGATGTCGACATCCTGCAAGACCCACGCTTCACCGTGGGCTGTCTTTTATTCCCTGTGGCCCTGGCCCCATCGGCTTCTTCCGAGCGAAATACGGGGAATACATGGGAAAGCTGTACTAGCAGTATTAACCGCTCAGATGATGATAGCGGCAATCTACCGGGTCAATCGACGCCATTGCTTTCTGGGAAGGCGTTCGTCTCGCCGTTCTATGTAGATGCAGATCCGGATCCTAGCACGGCGCCTGCACATCCTTCACGACATACCACAAATACAAACCTTAGCACAAAACTGCAACCAGACGCAGATGCAAGAATCCCCTCGACATTTTTCATCTTCTCCGATCTTTCCGTGCGCACAGCAGGCCTATACAGACTCCAATTCCGACTCATGAACTGGGGTAACGTTGAGGATACGGGCCAGTCGATGCCGATTCTGGCGGAGGTGTGGTCGGAGCCGTTTCGTGTGTATCCGGCCAAGGATTTCCCGGGGATGAGGGATTCGTCACCGTTGGCGGAGGGGTTGAAGGAGATGGGGTTTGTGGAATTGAAGACGAGGGGGAAGGGGAAGGGGAAGGGGAGAAGGAGGTGACAGGCTTGTGGCTACGTGGTATGTGGGATCGGCTTAACTGGGATGATGTTATGATTTTGAAACATGGGTATATGGTTGTATATTCGATGGAATTGGGAGTTGGTAACATTGGTGAAGGATAATGCGTTCTAGCGTGTTACGGTTGGATCAGCATGTGGCATTGCATTTATCATCAGGAGCAAGCATTGCAAGCATTGTTACTTTGGCATGAGAATATCATTCATCTCGTATCATGCAGTTCACCATTTCATAAAACATGGGTATCATCGCAGGTAAGTAGTAGTACACTTTCTAGTTTATACATGCATTTATACAACAGCTCGCAAGTAAGCCTAGACATCAAGCCGTTTCAAGTCAACATTCATAGTAAGCTCCGTGTTGTCCCAATTAACCCTGTACCCACGGATCGCAGAGGCAAGGCCCGGCTTCTGCGCGGCCATCTCAAGATATTGTTTTCCAAGATTAAACTTCCCATCTAATCGCAGCAACAAAGACATTGTCAGAGCTGCATCGTGGCTCCCATGGGTGCATGCGAGTTCATACCACTCGCGCGCGAGATTGAGGTAGTCGTCTGGAGAGAGCATGCGGCCGAAAATGGAGGATAACCAGTTTTTCTTCTGCTGCTTTTGCGTGGCATCCTCACCCCGCCGCGGATAACGACCCAAATAAGTCAGGTAGTAGAAATTGGCCAACTTTCTACACGCATCAGCATTTCCAGTAGAAGCAACCTTGCTCATGCACGCCTCGTAATTTTCCAAATCACCATCCTTCATATGTCTCCCAGCAAGCGTAAGCAACGCCTGTGGATCCTGATACTCCCGTGCAGCCGTTTCAATGGCCTTATCTGCCGCATTGTCATTCCCCAGCTTCCTATTGACATCCTCATAAACCTGCCACGGGGCCATGTCCAACGGAAAATGTTTATCCTGACTCGGTCGTGAAGTAGTAACCGGACGAATAACGCCCATCACTTCTTCCATCAATGCTAGCGCCTCGTTGTATTGTTTGCGGAGGATCAATACTCGTGCGTGTAAGGTCATGGAGACGGGATCGCGCATCTGTAAGGCTAGGTATTCGATTCTGTTGAAAGGAACTGATGATGTCGGGGCTGTTGTAGCTTTGTCGAGGATTCGAGTTGCGGATATGATGGTTGCAAAGCGGACTTCTGCGAGGGTGCAGGCCGTTATGACCCATTCGCGGAACCTGGGGTTTCCGAGGGAGACAACTTGACCGATATTGAAGGTGAGATCGGGGTCTATGGTTACCATTTAGCATCCTCTTTGCTGTAATCAACCGGAAAAGAATGGGGCAAACTGACCATCATGAATTTCCCAAATCGCTTCTCGCGACGGTGCCTGTGTATACGCCTTTTCAAGGAGCGCAGACCCAACACGCATGAAGATGTGTTTATCCACTGCGTTCGGAATAACCCCAGCCCTCTGCGCATCTGCCCATAGCTGTATGCCGTGAGTTTCGAGGAATTGATGGCGACCGTCCTTGGGTCCTTTCACTGGTGTGTTATAGACTGGAGGCGCAGATGCAATGCGGGTTTGGGATGCCTCGGCTCGACGCACGGTTGGGGAGCGACGCGCAGCGGAGAGTTGAGGGGTGGAATGGAAAGATCGCGTTGATTTGGATGTTGTGCTGGTGGTGGTGTTGTGGTGGGTATGTGGGAACTTGTGATGATGGCCATGGGGGACGGTGATGTTCCGAGATGGTTGTAATTGTGACGTTGGTCGTGGCAGTCGGCGGAGGGCATCTGAAGCTCGAGGGAGGGACATTGCAAAGAGGAGCGTCGAGGCCAATGGGTATTATACTGCCGAGAGCTCTGTAGGAGGATGAGAATATCTGAGCGGCGGAAGTCGGAGGTTTCTTCCCCGCCGGCGATTTGGTATTGAGTGCATTATATACGACCAGTTAAGAAAGACTACAATATAAGAACAATGTATGACTAGCAAGAGACGAGAGAATTCGTTGAGGAATATTCATATAAGAAGCACTAATAAAATACTCGAGAACTGTCAAACCGTGGTCAATCATCAATCAATCTTTGAGACACAGCATACAGAATACAGAACAGCAATATTTATCTGTATCCAAATTGTCCAGTCAATCGTAAATAATATACATTTGCTCGCCTTTTTTATCTTCCAGGTACCGAAGGAAACATATCGGAGTAAAACAGAGGGAAAAGGAAAAGAGCCATTGAGATAAGAACTCCAGCTCGGCGATGCAGTCTAATCACACATGTCTAGTCCACTCTGTCTCACCGTCCCAATCTTCAACAGGCGAACAGCGGAGCGTAAGAGAGAGAGAGAGAGAGAGAGAGAGAGCGTGACTCATTCCATTGTATCAAAACCACCCAGCCCGAGGCAGAAAAACCAGAACCGCACAAAACCCGAACAACTATTACTCCATGATAACCTTGGCACCGACGCCCTTAAGGGTCTCGATGATCTTCTCTGCATCCTCCTTCGGCACGGATTCCTTGAGAACCTTGGGCACGCTCTCGACGAACTTCTTGCTATCGACCAGAGACAGACCGAGCAGGCCCTTGATCTCCTTAATGGTCTTGGCCTTGGATGCAGCATCAACCTCTTCGAGCTTCAGGTTAAACAGGGTCTTCTCCTGGGGAGCGGGGGCAGGCTCGTCTTCCTCAACGGGGGCGGCGGCGGGGGCGGCACCACCAGCCATGGCGAAGCCGCCAACGGGGAGGTCGGGGATGTTCAGGCGAGTCTAAGAGAAGATATATAGTCAGTAAGCCTGTTCTCCATAGTATCACTGGAATCCTCCATCATTCCAATTCCATTCGACAATTCCGAAACGCACCTTCAAGGTGGACACCAGGTCCGCGGTCTCCAACAGCGTCAATTGGCTAATCTGATCAACGATCGTGGTGATCTTGGGGTTGGCAGGAGCGGCAGCAGCGGCCTCTGCTTCCGTAGACTGCCATCTCCGGCAGGGCGTCCGCTGAGACAGATATGTGGAGGTAGAAAGGCGCAGAGAGGAAGTGGAGGGACGGACGAGCTGTCGGCAGCATCGGGCTGCGGTCTGAGCGGGAATCGACATAATGACGTTAGGAAGAGGTACGCCGGTGGGAGAAAAGAGGGAGGTAAACGACAGGGCAGCTGCTGGACGGACAATCGCAACGGCAATCAACAGCAATCGTCAATCCGCAAAAAAGAAAGTCGAAGTTTCGGCGTCGGAAAATCCAGCGCGGGTCACGTGCCGGACCCGCTCATCCGCAAAGGGCTTTAGGAACAAAATAAGCCGAATTACTAGAGGAAATACTGGTTGATTTGGTAGAATTGAGATAGAGATGATGATTTATTACACTACTCGTGATCGCTTCTATAGGTACCGCGATCCTTCCCAGAATACTCCAATACTATTTTCATGATACCGTATCGCGAACAGAAATCTCAATTTCAACAACTCTTTTGAACCCCGTTCGACAAACGAATTTAATCATAGAATTATTTAGTCTTCATCCCAGTTCGGGTTAGGGCCTGGCGGCTTAGGCCCACCGGCCTGCCGGGCCACGATGATCTGGTCAACACTGAGCACTGTCCGGGCCGCCTCACTGGCAAGCCGGATAGCCCAGCTCTTGGAGGCCATCAAGTCGAGAATGCCTTCGTCGACGGTATCTAGAGTACCCTCAGAAGAACCTTGCTCCAAGTCAACACCTGTAGTCCAGTAAGGCTCCTCTTCCGAGCCCTTGCTCTGGTGTGCAGTGTAGAGACGGGAGAGAACCTCGGTGGCGTCCAGACCGCCGGACTCTGCGAGAGTGCGCGGAATCACTTCAAAGGCCTCAGCGAACTTCCGGATAGCATGCTGGGGCAGACCCGGAGTCTTGTCTGCAAATGCGGAAATTCTCTCAACGAGCTGGATTTCAGTAGCGCCTGCGCCAGGAACGAGACGGGGGTCCTTGGTAATAGCCTTGACAACGTTGACACCGTCGTCAATAGCACGCTCAACATCTTCCAGGTGGTTTTGAGTAGCACCACGGAGGACTATGGTGGCGGTACGGGTAGGAGAGTTCGCATCCTCCTGACGGAAGACGGTGACACGGTCTCCACCAATCTCAGCGGTCTCAACAATGTCGACAGCACCCATCTCGTCGGGCATTGGGGCACCCAGACGGGCAAGAGGTGTCGCACCGACAACACGGCACAACCGACGAAGCTCAAACTTGGAGAGGATCTTGACGACGAGAATGTTAAATCGGTTAAGGTAGTGCATAGCCAAGTCGCCAACGTTCGCACCGGCAACCACAACGCGGAGACCCGAGTCATACAGTTCCTTGATAGCAGACTCAAGACGGTCCTCCTCACCCTTGCTGTAGTTCATCATCTCATCAGCGTTCTTCAACAGCACAGTTCCCTTGGTCTCTGTCTGGGAGATATCGATAGGGCAGCTGAAAACGCCGACCTTGGCCTTGGTGGCTTTCTTGACGATACCCTCGGGTTCCCGACCAAAGACCATACCCTTAATCACACGAGAACTCTCCAAGCTACCACCCATAATCTTAACGACTCGGACATTGTCGACGTTGAAGTTGACAGGGTTCTTGGGCAAAACGGAAAGGACAGCCTCGGCAACCAACGAGGCCAAAATATCTTCAGTTCCGGACTGCTTGCTGGCGACAACAGTACGGAGGGCCTTGGTCAGCTCCTCTTGTGAGCGAAGGTCTTGAAGACGGTCAACCTCAAGTTCTAACGCGTTCAAATGTCAGTAACCAAGTGTCCTAAAAGATCTCCACTTGAAAAAGCCAAGTATTCAAGACTGAATATAAAACCCACCCTCTAGTGTCTTCAACGCAAAGTTCTGTGCCTTCTCGTAGCCTTGCACAATATCGCTAGTCTTCAAGCCCAAGCGCAGAACCTCCTCGGCCTTCTTCAACAACTCTCCCGCCAGGACAATGACCATGTTGGTTCCATCGCCCATCTCCGCATCCTGCTGCTGACTCGCCATAACAAGTAACTTAGCAGCGGGGTGAACGACATCCAGCTCGCGCAGAATGCTGGCAGCATCCGATGTAAGAATCATTTTCTGCAGGTGGTTGATGACGATCTTGTTGCGGCCGTAGGGACCGAGCGATGTTTGGACGGTCTTGGAGATGGCCTGGCAGGCCTCGATATTGCGGATGACGGCTCCATCTTCGGCATCGTGACTAGAAAGTTCAAATATGATTAATGATGCCCTTGACTTCCGTATTCTTTTGATCTTGCTGCTGCTTTCATGTCCGCGGGGAAAGTCATTAGGTGGCCGTGGCTTTTTTCTTACCTCTGATACCCAGGCTTGAAAAGCCCCCCTTGGGAGGGACCAGGCATAGACAATGACATGATGATTAAAAGATTCCTTCCAGATAACCAAAAGGAATGTAATTAAGAGAAGAGTGATTAGGCGGTCCGACTCCTTAAGCTGGCCGCTCCGGGAATTTTTGGTGGAGCTTCGAGACAGTCTGGCGACGGCTGTTTGTTCTGTTTGCACGTGGAGGGGCTAGGGCATTTCTTTTTGGGACAGCATACTCAACCATATTTAGAATTTACCAGAGAAGAGCCATTGTCTATCTAGATATACAGTGCTCGCTAAGTAATATGTACAGTACAATTCTTAAATCTTAAAACGACCAGCCAAAGTTGCCATTAGCTTGCCGGAACCCCGGCACTATTCAACGAGCCACGTTAGCGCTATAGACGGGCATTGATATAGGGTGGGATCTTACTGTATGTTTGTATCGAGTCGCATCCACTTTGTTCATAAGCATCTTGAGCCTTGTGTAGCCTGTCGTATCGTTAGAGAGAGATGACACTCGAGCAGCGACGTATTTCCTTACCGATCACGAATCGCTTCCTCCCGGTTATAGCTCTATAAAGTCATTAAGAATGAGAATACCAAGGACGGTTCCTCATGAGCGATCAGGGACTTACCGATGGGTGTGTCGACATGAACTGGGGCGGCGCCTCTTTCTCCAGTCGCTTCATCCGCGACCAACTAATCATCATCAGTCGAGTGCTCTAGGTTGGAGAAAACAAGGCACACAAAGACATGACCTACAGTCTGGCAGCTGCCTCTGGGTTATAGCAAGCCTTCGACATCATCACTAACAATACGTCAGTAAAAATTACAGAGCTGTAAAAACACTCCAATTCTTACTCAGGCCCATATCATCTGCCTCCGCCTGCGTTTTTGTATTAGCGAAAAGATCTCCAAATTATTCGTTGACGTCGACCTACTTCTTGTGTCCTAGAATTTGGTAGACTGTACATCAGGTTCAAAAGAAGCGATGGAATCTGTCCCGATATATCAAACATCGCAGAGATAAGAAATACCGCCCCAATGGTAAGAAGACTATTGCTCATCCGCTCAGCAGGATGCCGCGCTACCACATGAGCAATCTCGTGGCCAAGTACTGCTGCCAATCCGTCTTCGTCTTCACAGACTGGCAAGATGCCAGTGTAGACAAACACCTTACCACTGCAAATCGGAGTCAGCGAAACGAAGTCTAGATAAAATAACCCGAACATCACATATGCTCATACCCCGGAAGAACAAAAGCATTTACCATTCCATCGTCCTTAATCACATGGACCCTCCAGTTTGCACCTACTATGGGTGCCTGTGGGATGAGCCTGTCGAGAACTCGTTTGACTAATACAGTGGTAGGATGACTTTCGGGCAGTATCTTTCCATGAGAAGAGCCTAGAACTTCTTTATAGCTCTGATTTCCCATTTGGAGCTCTTGTTCAGAACTAATACAGTTGAAGCGACGACGACCGGTCATCTGGTATCAAATCAGCAAGTTGTAGGACAAAGATGTGCATTGTCAAGTTTTACCTCCACCGTCTCCGTATTGTAGATATACAATCCACTAATCCCCAGTCCAATGATCACGAAATGATGGGGTTTCGCATTTCCCAATAGGCGCCAAATGAACGGCTGCCCCCGTGGGTTGTTGAACCGTCTGTATGGTTGGTTCCCGAATCCATAGTGGCTTCTGGCAGAACTGGTAAACTTCCGACTGCGAAATCGAGGGAGCTGCTGTTGAATGAGCGTAAAGGATATCTTCGAGGTGATTGGTTTTCTATGGCATGGATACAAGGCGGAAATCGACCGGGAGGTTTGCGAGCATCGTGCTGCTGCGCGAGGGAAGAAAGCGAATGAAGCCAAAGACGATAAGGAAGATTTTCGTACTGTGCTCGTTATCGGTTGACGGAACATGATGAGCTGCTTGGCATGTTCGTAGAGCGCGAATAGAATAGGATAGAAGGAAAGAACTTAAAGTTATATCGCGCCGCGGCACGTGTGGAGCGATAAGATAAGAATTTGTATCATGCAATTCATACTCCTATTCGGCTTCCACATACTCAATCTTAATCCTTCGACTGATCAATGAAATCTTATCTAGGCGAGAAGCAGATGCTAAGTTGCATGGATATGTGTTTCATAGACTATTGGTTCCAAGCAAGACGTCTGTCAATAGCAAGACCAGCAAGCAGTTTAGCCCCGCCATCGGCCATCCTCTATTCCCACGAGCATGGAACGTCGAAAAAAGGTCATATTGTAGCCTTCATATTCGCAATCCAATGGCACCAGAGGCCAACATATACAGAATTCAGAACTGGAATGCTATCCGTTGTTCGACAGAATTGTGGGCAGCTAAACTGGACGCATCCGATTCTATTAAAGACAATGTTACTTGCTGCATCATCTGTGTGGCTGTAAGACGAAAAATTTACTGGGAACTTCTAACCCGTCCATGGGGTCAGCTGCCATTTAATTATCAGGTTATTAACTATACAACTATTTGTGAATGGTTCCGTATATCCTCTGGCATTACCACATCCCTATCATGTGATATTGACCTTTTTCTTTTTCCCTTTTGCATGGGGGATTCCGTTTCGTGTGATATTTTAGAATTAATAACAGTCCCTATATCGAATGACATCTCCAGGGGTTTGCACTGTATAACTCTTCGCTTTTCTTATACAATAAACGTACCCTTACCCAATGCAGCAAATATGCTGTGTTCTGCAGAGCTACTTTATCTACAGGAATCTCAGTAGGTTCTTCCATCGCCTCGTGCGAAACGTGGAGATAAACTCACATGTTGTCGGTCTACTGCTAGCGTTCCTCCTTGTTAAGGAATTGATAATCTATACGTCTATATCTTACTCCAGCAATGGCATTATCAGAACTATCAGCGATACACTCCATCTAGATGCCGCATTCCATACGGGTCTATTTGGAAGCATGGTACATACAGCGTTTGATAAATATTTAACGTCCATTGACTAACCAAAAATTCAAAGCCCTCGACGAGTACGAACCTCACATCGTCGCTAAAACCCGGCTATTAGCCTCCAAAATGAACGAGCGCCATTCCCAGCCGCTCAATATCACGAACTAGATATCCTGCTATACCTTAGATGTGATGGGTGACATTGCAATGAGTATAGAGTTTGACATGCTGAGACATGGACAAAAGCCGCCTGCAGTCAAACAAATCCAGTCAACTATCAACGTGGTAGCGGCCGACGGGACTATCCATGGCTGGCTCCTCTAGTCATGAATACTCCCGGTCTGATGCCGCTCATCAGCCCGTTCACGCGGTAATGTCATTTATTAGTTGAAGAAAGACGGCAGGTATGTCGTTTCTATGCGATTTCTGGAACGAAATTGACCATGCTTTTTTGCAGACTGTGCCCAAAGACGAATACCCAAAAGATATTATATACTGGTTGATTCAAGCAAAAGGAAACGGTGACCCGGGAGCAGCCCCCTCCGAAATCGCTCTGCAAGATGATGCATGGACTCTAGTTGTTGCGGGCAGATGCGTACGTACACCATATTTATAAAATTTTGAGACATATACTAACGTACCGTAGTGACACAGTATCAACTGCTCTCACCAACGCTTTGTTCTATCTTTCAACCCACCCCACCATTCTCTCCAAACTCCAATCAGAACTCGACCATACCTCTCCACATGGCATGCAAGACTGGTCATACGACAAAGTGAGAGAAATCAAATACCTAGACTACATCATTAACGAGACACTTCGTCTTAAACCCTCAGTCTCCGGTGGTCTTACACGCGTCACGCCGCCGGAAGACCTGCAAATTGACGACATCTATATTCCGGGTAAAATGATAGTGTCTGTTCCCACATTCACTATTCAGAGGGATGAGCGATATTTTACCAGGGCAAGAGAGTTCATTCCAGAACGGTGGGAGGGGATAAGCATAGAGAGCGTGCCGGTTATTCCTTTTTCACAAGGTATGTATCTATGTTGTTCTCTCTCTCTCTCTCTCTTTTTTTTTTTTTTTTTCCTTCTGTTTTTTATTGATATGTAAAAATAGGCTAACGTTTCAATTTGATCATAGGTAAATTTGATTGCGCTGGTAAAAAATATAGCGTGGATGGAGGGCCGGATGAGTTTGTCGATGATTGCGCTTGAATATCACGTTTACATGGCGGATGAGGGCCAGGTCGCTTTTGATGGACAGGAGAGAGATACCTTTACCCTTGCGTTGCCTGATTTGTTTGTGGAATTTAAGCCGCGCAGGTAGTATCGAACAACTTCTTATGGATTTATAAATTCAGGAGCGTAGAACATCCAAGGCAATGTCCCATACTCTACAACAGGAGTAGTAGCTCACATAAATATCCAACATGCACCATGTTTGAATTGAAACCGTGGGGTCACTCGTATCAAATCCAAAGAAAGGCAAAGAAAATGAAAGAAATGAAAGCAAGGACTGTCTGCTAACTCGTTTGAACTACTTTGGTCATCTTCGTCTTCGTCTTCCATTTCAGAGTCACTCTCAGTATATGCGAAGAATCGATAAATTCTCTTCGTTTTAGTCGACTTTTCACTTTCAGTGTAGCTTAAACCGCTTGGCTGCGTGCTATTCCCAGTAGTCGGATGCACGAGCGACTGCCAAGTTGCTTAAGCTTGTTGGAAAAAGTTATACAACAAAGAAGACCTACAATTGGAGCCCCGCCTCATTGATACTACCATGCTGTTGCTTCACTTCGAAATCTGTAGAAAACGGAACTCAGGACATACGGTGGGCAGCATGTCGCATGACTGCCCTATTTGTGCAATTTTTCTTGCTCTAGAGCAAATTATGATAGAGATAGAAACAACGGAGACAGGACAGGCTTGTTGAGTCGACAGTTACAGCCTTGGACAGGGAAACAACAATTAGAACTCACCGGAGAAGATAATGAGTAATGAGGGGCAAAGAGAATATAGGAATACAGAATATAGGATGAAATTTACTCCTTGTGAAGTTAGCAAAATTACAATTGCCATGATGAGTCTCATCCATACACGCATCATTGCGTTACTTCTTGTTCCTGTTTTCTGAAAATGTCCTCATTTTTTTTTTTTTTTTTTTTTTTTTTTTTTTTTTGTGACTTTTTGAAGTCTGCTTTCTCCCATTATTCTCCTAGCTTCAACTGATTGAACGGTGTCATATGGCAAGACAATGGTCATATTACACATAATCTTAACCCGTGCTGGTTTAGTACCGATAGACTTATTCCACATATGTAGAGTACTCGCATGCAAGGCCCAGATGCCTTGATCACCGCGTGATGCGGTCTGGATATGCGCCTTTGCCACATTCATGCCACATCTTCATTCATTCATGATCCTCTTAAATCGATAACTGGCACTGAAGCTTCTTCGATGATTGTGTCTTTTGTCTATTGGCATTAGCAGCTTCCCTGCTGCCTCTTTGGTATTTTCCAACTTCAGCTGGATCTTGGCGGGCAGGGGTAGGTTGCTGAGCTTAACCATAAACTCATTATAGGTCAGGCTCCCATCACCTGGAGCCATGATTGTTTAACCACTTGACCTTTTCTGGTGCCAGATGGCAGGAATTACTGCTGCTTGTGGGGATTCTCGGCATCTCTATATTCCCTGTGCTAGGCCGTGTTGCTGGCAGAAAGGACAAATTGGCCGAAAGAACTATACCTAAAGCCTGATAAGGCTTCCAAAAACACAGTCGCTCATAGACGTGAGCGATATAGTTTGGGTCCGACATTATGGGCACCGGAAATATCTTGCGTTTTGTGCTTGTCATAAGATTTCCAATGCTGCACGAAATCCTAGGCTGGCCCACACGTCCGCATATGTGAAGGGCGCAGTAAATGGTGCCCCATGTGGGCCGTCCGCTCCATTGTGATCGCAGAGTTGTTTCGCAGAATACTAGGTTCCTATCAATGCTCTCCAAGAGCATGGGATAGAGGCTATCTCTTAGTTTCGTCGCTCTTGGACAGTTGGTAATAAGTACGTTTAATGGACTTTCCACTTATAGCTCCCTCGTTTTCAATGCCTTCGAGCGAGAACAGCCCTACTTCCCTGGGGAATGGTTCAACGCTCAGGCGAGACAATTACTCTTATACATGCGGGTCTGGTATAGGTCGGAGCTCTCGTTATTATGCTCCTAGCTCAATCTCAGATAAAGGAAGTATCTCATTTGATGAACCCGTCTTTCTCTATGATATTAGACGCGGTGTCAGACCCAAAAGGGCATTGACACAGTAAACTTACCGGAATGCGTCGTTAATGGCATCTAGCAGCCCTCCCATGCCGTTGTCAAGCAGTGAGAAAGTTTTCTCCGCTATTTCACTGTCTTGTAGTTTAACCTCGTTGGGTAATGAATCCCCATTGATACGGACCATGGGTCCTGGCCTGGTCCCTATTGTTTGTTGCACCTTGGCCTTTCATTTATGAGAACCGCAAAATCACGTCCTGATTCGTATCCACAACTTCCTATTTCATTTGAAGTCGCTAAAGGTGCATTCAGTGGGGTAGACTCAACGAAAGGTTTTGATAAACCTCCCAGAGAAACAGCGGCTTGTATTCATGTGAAACTATTCTTGCCTTGGTTCCAGAACGAGTGGATAAAGCGATATTATGAGACGAGTTGACGTCTTAGACGGGAAAACGAAAATGTATAGTGGGACAAATAGATTGTGAGTGGAGACTAAATAATAATAGAGAAAAGAAAGAATGGGTCCAATTAAGGTGAATGGCAGGCAGCCCTAACGGCGCATAAGCTAGTTATACATAACTAATATCGTGCATAATATATAACATAACGACATTTAGATATCGGGAGGCGAAACGCCGACTCCCGACACGGGAAGAATAGACAAGGGATTCCGAAGGAGGCTTAGTGTTCGGGAAGACCAAGAGCCGGGCCCCGGGAGATCGCCAAGACGATTCCGAGTGGTGATCGGCGTTAGGGTTCCTCCGAGAGCGTGGTTAAGATTGCGCCGATGGCCGACTATCAGTGGCTAGCCGCGCGTTGTTTGTCCCCGGTCTGTGGATGACACTTACTTGGGTCCGCATATTCGAGTTTTAATATGCACGGAAATGTCATTCTTATCCAGTGGAGACAAGCATAACTGGAGTATTAATGTAATTATACTGATACTAGGCTCCCGGGGCCAATAAATGCCGGAGCCAAGAAGATCTCACGGTGTTTCCGTATCCGTTGACTACTACTATACCTAGTCAGATTCAGATCACCGCCTCTTTCTTTCTTTTAAGTCGCGCTGTCACGGCCCCCTGCACTTTCTGTCCTACTTTTGTTTGCTCTCCATGCATCACACTTGACAAATACATAGTATTTCCTATATCACCTCTCCTCTCTTACTGTATCTAGGCTACCACCATGGGTGCCGATACTGAAGACGATCTTCACTCTGAGTCTGCCATGTCTAGCGAGACAGCAGGTCGATTGTCGTCCACCATGGCGGCTCGTTCCCACATGGATATGGATCCCCAGGAAGTCGACAACATCGTCCGTATCGCCTCGCGTCTATCTCGGCGTCATGAGAACGCCTACCCCGGCTCAACAGCAGACGGGGAGACCCTGAACGAAGATGATCCGGTTCTGAACCCTTCTGCGAAGGAGTTCGATCTGCGGATGTACCTGACCAAAGTACTCCGAGACTTCAGTCGGGAGGGTATTGAGTCCTCCCATGCTGGAATTGTCTTCAAAAACCTCACTGTTTCAGGCTCTGGAGCAGCGCTGCAGTTCCAGAGCACCGTGGCATCTATGATGTCTTTGCCGTCGCAAGTGAAGGATCTCTGGCGGGAGCGTAATTCTCCGTCCAAGAGTATTCTGCACGACTTCAACGGCACACTCAAGAGTGGCGAGCTGTTGCTTGTTCTGGGCCGTCCCGGGGCTGGTTGCAGTACCTTTCTCAAATCTCTCTGCGGAGAGCTTCACGGATTGACTTTGAATGACGATAGCGTCGTTCATTATAATGGTAAGCTTTCTCAACTTTAATCTTCTCGTCTATAGCTAACACCATTGAAAGGCGTCCCGCAAAAACAAATGATGAAGGAATTCAAGGGAGAAGTCGTGTACAACCAAGAGGTATGACAACCCAAGCAAAATTTTTCGAGGCGCCAACCCGATACTGACTGATATGTTGCACAATGCAGGTCGACAAGCACTTCCCTCACTTGACTGTCGGACAAACCCTCGAGTTCGCTGCAGCCACACGTACCCCGGCCCGCCGTCTTGGAGGCATGTCCCGCGACGAATTCGCCCAGCACGTTACCCAAGTTGTGATGTCAATTTTCGGGCTCACACATACATACAATACCAAAGTCGGAAACGATTTCGTTCGTGGAGTGTCAGGAGGAGAGCGCAAGCGTGTCAGTATTGCCGAAATGGCACTTGCTGCTGCTCCCTTGGCGGCCTGGGATAACTCCACTCGTGGACTGGACTCAGCCACCGCGCTCAAGTTTGTCGAATCTCTCCGGTTATTTGCGGATCTTGCTGGATCGGCTCACGCGGTGGCAATCTACCAAGCGAGTCAGAGTATCTACGATCTGTTCGACAAGGTCATGGTTCTTTACGAAGGACGCCAGATCTATATGGGACCTGCCAATGAAGCCAAGGCTTTCTTTGAGCGACAGGGTTGGGAGTGTCCGTCTCGACAAACGACTGGTGACTTCTTGACGTCTGTCACCAACCCATCAGAGCGTCGCGTGCGCCCTGGCATGGAGAACCAAGTCCCGCGGACGCCGGAGGATTTCGAAGCCCACTGGAAAGCGTCCTCCGAATACCAGAACATGCAAGTGGATGTCGCCTCTTACGAGAAGAAATATCCATTGGCCAAGGAAGGTGCGACAGACTCGGATTTCAACCAGCGCAAGCAGTTGATACAAGCAAAACACACCCGACCTGCGTCGCCCTATCTCATCAGCGTGCCCATGCAAGTCAAGCTCAACACCAAACGGGCGTATCAGCGAATTTGGAACGACATATCCTCAACTGCATCAACTGTTATAAGTCAGATGATCATGGCCTTGATTGTCGGTTCGGTTTTCTACGGTACTCCAGATGCATCAGTCGGTTTCCAGGCCAAAGGTGCTACTCTTTTCTTTGCGGTTTTACTAAATGCTCTTATTGCCATGTCGGAAATCAACAGTCTTTATGCGCAGCGGGCAATTGTCGAAAAACACGCCTCATACGCCTTCTACCATCCTTTTACGGAAGCAGTCGCTGGTGTTGTTAGTGATATACCGATTAAGTTTGTGATTGCTGTGGCCTTCAACATCATCATGTACTTCTTGTCGAATCTTCGGAGGGAAGCAGCACAGTTTTTCCTGTACTTTCTGATTACCTTCATCGTCATGTTCGTGATGAGTGCGGTCTTCCGAACACTGGCAGCGATCACGAAGACAGTCTCCCAAGCCATGAGTTTGGCTGGTGTTCTTATCCTCGCACTCGTTGTTTACACTGGTTTTGTCTTGCCTGAACCTTCCATGCATCCTTGGCTTGGGTGGATTCACTACATCAATCCCATCTACTACGCCTTCGAAATCCTCATTGCGAACGAATTTCACGGTCGGGACTTTACTTGTTCGGAATTTGTCCCCAATTATCCGACATTGACCGGAAACTCGTTCGTTTGCTCGATCTCAGGTGCTAAAGCAGGGCAGCGCACGGTTAACGGTGATGAATACATCGCGGTCAACTGGGAGTACAGCTACAGTCATGTGTGGCGCAACTTCGGTATCTTGATCGCCTTCCTCGTCGGGTTCATGCTAATCTACTTCGTCGCTACCGAATTGAACTCGTCGACAACTAGCACTGCTGAAGCACTTGTCTTCCGTCGGGGTCACGAACCTGACTACCTTCGCTCGAACCAGGAGGGATCTTCGGATACTGAGAAAGGGGCAGCACCTGTTGCCACGCGACAGCCGACTAGAACCGATGAAGGCGAACTCGGAAGGATCCAGGCCCATACCGATATTTTTACGTGGCGCGATGTGAGCTACGATATTTCGATCAAGGGAGAACCTAGACGACTTCTGGATCATGTCAATGGTTGGGTCAAGCCAGGTACGCTTACAGCCCTCATGGGTGTCAGTGGTGCTGGTAAGACAACCCTGCTCGACGTCTTGGCGCATCGTACTTCTATGGGTGTCATCACTGGTGACATGTTTGTCAACGGTCGGGAACTTGATCAGAGTTTCCAACGAAAGACTGGTTACGTTCAGCAACAGGATTTGCATCTTGAGACTGCCACCGTGCGAGAGTCGCTTCGGTTCAGTGCGTGTTTGCGGCAGCCTCCGACCGTGTCCATTCAAGAAAAGTATGAATACGTGGAGGAGGTTATCCGGATGTTGAACATGAGTGATTTTGCGGAAGCTGTCGTCGGTGTTCCTGGCGAGGGTTTGAATGTTGAGCAGCGGAAGCTGTTGACCATTGGTGTCGAACTTGCCGCTAAGCCTAAGCTTCTCCTCTTCTTGGACGAACCCACTAGGTAAGCATGCTCCTTTCTTTCTATGTTTATCCAAGATCACATACTAACAACGCTCAGTGGTCTCGATTCTCAATCATCCTGGGCTATTTGCGCGTTCCTGCGGAAGCTGGCAGACAACGGTCAAGCAGTTCTCTGCACAATCCACCAGCCCAGCGCCATTCTCTTCCAGCAATTCGATCGACTCCTCTTCCTCGCTCGTGGTGGTAAAACGGTTTACTTTGGCGAGATTGGCGAAGACTGCCGCACGCTCCTGGACTACTTTGAGAACAATGGCGCCCGAACGTGTGAATCCGATGAGAACCCAGCAGAATTTATGCTCGATGTCGTGAACGCCGGCCAAAACTCACAAGGAGAAAATTGGTTCGACGTCTGGAAACGGAGTCAGGAAGCCCGAGGAGTTGAAGCGGAAATCGAGCGTATCCATGAGGAGCAGAAGGCCAAGGTACCTGTCGGTGAGGATGACCATGTGGCTAGAAGTCACGAAGAGTTTGCTATGCCGTTCTGGTACCAGTTGTATCTGGTTACCTACCGTGTTTTCCAGCAGTACTGGCGCATGCCGTCGTACATCATGTCGAAGTGGGCGCTTGCGATCATGTCTGGACTGTTTATTGGTTTCTCGTTCTTCCAGGCGAAGTCTTCGTTGCAGGGTTTGCAGACGGTTATCTACTCCGTCTTCATGCTTTGTACGATCTTTTCGTCCCTGGTTCAACAGGTTTGTTCCCCTTTATCTTCACATCCACAATCACAAAGGCTAACAAACCCAGGTCATGCCCCTCTTCGTAACCCAACGCTCCCTGTATGAAGTCCGTGAACGCCCTAGCAAAACCTACTCCTGGAAAGCCTTCCTAATCGCCAACATCGTCGTCGAAGTCCCCTACCAAATTATTATGGGCATCCTTGTCTGGGCCTGCTATTATTACGCCATCGTCGGAATTCAGACCTCTGCCCAACAAGGACTTGTCCTCATCCTCTGCATCCAGTTCTTCATCTACGCCTCCACTTTCGCGCACATGGTCATCGCTGCCCTCCCTGATACCGAAACCGCTGGTGCAATCGTCACCCTGCTCTTCGCCATGTCGTTGACATTCTGTGGTGTCATGCAAACGCCCACTGCCCTTCCCGGTTTCTGGATTTTCATGTACCGCGTCTCCCCATTCACATACTGGATCAGCGCTATTGCCTCAACACAAGTCGCTGGGAAAGCAGTCGAATGCTCCGCGGCTGAAGTCTCCCTCTTCGACCCTCCGTCCGGCCAAACCTGCCTCCAATATCTCTCTGAGTACCTGGAAAACGCTCCCGGAACCTTGCAAAACCCCAACGCAACAGCGGACTGCAGGTACTGCTCAATCAGCTTCGCAGATGAATTTCTTGCCGGATCGAACATTCACTACAGCGAGCGCTGGAGGAACTTCGGCCTTGTGTGGGTGTATGTTGCGTTTAATATCTTCGCGGCTACCATGTTGTACTACCTGTTCCGGGTGAAGCGGTGGAACATGAGTGATTTGAAGGAGAAGTTCTCAAAGAAGAAATAAGGTGGTTGCTTGGGTGGTTGAGTGTTTTGCACAGCGTTGAAGTTTGAGACATTTATACCAATACCCGTACATAGATATGCTTGGGATCTTTTCTTCCTATCGCTCGTTTTTGCTTGTTATTTTGCTTCTTTACACATATTTAGACTAATTTTTCAAGATATTATAATTGATACATGCCAAGTATACAACATTTTCGCAGAACCTTCGGACTTTCCTTGTCGTTTTTAGTCTGACATAGCACATACACTGAGCCACTCCTTGGCCACCAAATATTCCGCACTGTACCACTCGAGCCGGCCTGCTACACTCAAGCTGAACCATAAGAGGCAAAGCCGTCTCCCTCGAGGTGCACAGACCCTAAGTACAAGTAGCGGGGTGATCTAAAATTATGTAAAACTACCCGTCGTTTGCTTCACAGCTGTCGTCTACTATGCTATGGTTAGGTATGCCAATTCATTCACCTATAGATTGACGCTACAAAATACGCACACGGAATAGATGACACCCGATCTTCAGCTGGGTAGTCTACTTGAATTACGATGTGCTGGATACGGCGAGTCGTGATGAGTACGTAGCTGGGCATAATATATCCGTAGTGACAGTGACTGCGGCAAATAATCATTCAATTGTCTCTGAGCTCTCCTCAATCTCTATAATAGCGACTACTAGTGAAATGCAGGGATTAGAAGTCCTGTTTCCTCGCGCGAGACCGTTCCAGCGCACCCTCGCGCCATTTCCACAATCCAAGCAACGTTGCTGCGGGACCAAAACAGATGCTTCCCAAGAGCACAGAAGGAACCGCAAATGAAAGAGGGCTCTGAAGGACGTTCGTGCGGCGCAAGTCCCATATCGTAAAAACAAACCAGATCAGATTCACAGCGGTGAGAGATGCTAATTGTACTCCTTCGGATGAGAGGACCATTTCTTTGACGGCGGTGGTGCCAGGAATACGTGGGAATACTCTACTAGCAATGACAACATGCAACGTGCTCGTAGAAAGGATACCCAAGTTATAGAACCAGGATAAATACGGCATATCACTCGTCCCATACAAAGCCTCCGCAAAATTAGCACTAGGCGGCTCCCTCGTCGACATCCTCTGCCTGAGCGAGATCAAAACCGGTAGACCGAGTTGAACAAGAGAGAATATCCACTTGGGTACTGCAATCGGTGCCATATTCTTGAGTAGCAAGAGGGCAGGCACGAAGTATGTTACCAAAAGCCCCGTGGGTAGGTGTTCGGCAGCTCGTAGGTCAATCGCTCGCGGATTGGGATAGTAAAAGGTTCGGGATTTGCTGAGGTAAATGTAGATAGCGAAGTATATTGGTGTGATTAGGTGCCAGTCAAAGGCTGTAGAGGCGAGGATGTAGGGGATGGCACTAGGGTTGTTAGTGTTTGCTGGTGATGGTACACATGGCGGGATACTTGCCTGCGGAGATATCCTCCTGAGAAACACGGACGGTAAGATTCAATTGTCCATAGTGCATTGACTCCCATCGTGGTGACGAGCGTGTAGTCCAAAAGAGAATCATGCAGGACTGTTGCAGTCCCCATGCTAACAGACTGTCCAAGGGCGAACGACACACCGGCAACAAGAAGAACAAGAATAATCCAAAACGCCGTCGCGATGGATGACCGCTCCCTCGGCCTCGCAACCACCTCAACATCCCGAGCCACAACCCCCTCCCGCGACGGCTTCGGTAGATATTTCAAGATATGTCCCGGACAATGCGTTGCGGCCATTACAGCAGCCAATTGATCAATTTCTCCCTTAGCTATTACATTTTTCTGTAGGAATTCCAGAAATGGGTTCTCGAGGGCCTCAAGACGTTGCAGTGCATGCGCCCCGTCGACCAGGATTCTCGCGCGAGGCTTGCGCTCTTCTTGGAAGTGATTAAATTGTGCGTGGATATTCTCATTAGTTGGACGGGGATCATTGTCCAAGGCTTCTTTTAGTAGGTCGCCAAGTAGTGCAGCATCTTCGATGGCTGAGTTTCCTCCTTGGCCGGTGAGAGGGTTCATCTAGGCCCATTAGCTGCTGCTTGTATAACTTACAACAGTAAACGTACCTTATGAAAAGAATCACCAATCAAAATGACACGCTTATAAAAGCATTTCTCTAAGACATACTCTTGCAACGGGACAAGGACCGCAGTCCGTCGCTTCCGATGAAGATCACCAAAAGTAAGGCCCGGAAAGAGAACATCGTCCCTCTGTGTATCCAGCAAATCCTTCTCATCCTCAGAAGTATACCGACGGATGTCTTCGTCAGTCGTAACTTTAGGGTTCTTGGAGAACGTGAAGAAGTACAACTTTCCTCCACGACCGGCCTGGCATAGATAAGACCGATTTTTGTGGTAGGTTTTGTATCCGCGGCCATCGGGGGCATTTTCGGGGCGGTCTGAGATGCCGAACATGCATTTGTACGAGCAAGTTATTGCTGGATTGAGTCAATAGGCATTGTGGGATAAGCGCTGATTGTGCAACCCACATTTGGCCATCTGCTGCGTTCCGTAGTCTAGGACTTCTGAGTCTGCAATCCTCCACACCTCTTTTCTTGTTTGGCTGTGGACCCCGTCCGCGCCGACGAGAATGTCTCCTCTAAAGATGGTGCCGTCTTTAGTGGTGACTGTTATACCGGTTTCCAGTTGGTTAATGCTCAGAAGTTCTTTGGAGATGTGGACCTTTGACTTGTCTTTGAGATTGTCGTACAGAGCTTGAACAAGCTCTCGACGATCCAAAAAATTGAATTGATATCCAGTCCTATTGCCAAGATCAGTTCTGCTGCGCATAGTTGTAGGTAGAGAAGGCGCAATCCCTTACAGCTCCAAAAGCATCTCGCCAAACGTATCATGACCACCAAGCTTCACCCCATCCGAATCATAATAATGCATCGATTCCATTCTCTCACACATAGACTGAACCACTTCATTAACACCCAATTGGTCAAGAACCTGACTGCCATACGGCAAAATACCAAGGCTCGCGCCCAACTGAGGCGCAATGCATCGATATTTCTCAAGCAAAACATACTCAATACCATATCGCTCGAGTATATTCGCCAGCGTCAAACCTGCAATACTCCCCCCGATAATTATAATCTTGAAAGACATGGTTAACGGGTCCTCAGTACAACTCTGCGTATGCACAGTCAACATCCACGGACGTGGCTGAGTTTATATATATATATTCAGGCTTCAGCAGTCGGTGTTCCACAATGCAATTATTATCCCGAATGTCCCACACGTGCTGGACGACAAGCTCATGGATCATGATGGCTCTGCCCCGTGCATGAGCCGGTTATTCTGTTTTCGAGCTCCCTGGAGTGCTTTCTTTGTCTTCTTTGTTTAGCTGTGCCCTAACTTAAACATACCCGATTAGTCATCGGGAAAGTTTTGGTGGAAGGTAGAATATCCGATCCGGGGACGGGGTGTCGGAGTGAAAACTGCCCGATTCGCCGACATTGGATGAAGATGAAGATGAGGGAAATAAGCGTGTTGATGACGAAGGGCAATAAGTCACCGACAATAATTGTTGGACAGACAATACGTGAAACCAGTCACGGGACAACATCTACGACAACATGTGAGGCTCTATGGTACTATCTTGGTAGCTTATTTGTTCGCATTGAGCGTCCGTGGCCGAAGACGGGAGCGAAACAGAGCAACAGGTTCTAAAATCTAATATTACAGGGAAATGCCACTGGGACGTGTCAGCAAGTACGGAGGGATGCCCTGGAGCTTCTCGTCATAATTAAAGACATGGGGACGAACTGTTACGCCATCCCTCGCAAGTCCAAGAGAGGAGGCGGCGATATCCTACCTTTTTACGGCAGACGTTTGTCGATACCTTTGCGATCACAACCACGCCAATGGCATATGGTCAAGTGGCGATTGTCCTTGTAAACATCGAGGCGGATGAAGATGAAAACTCCATCGCTGTCGCCATGTTCTCTAGTGCCAGTCAATATAGCCACCCGGACCGTCTACAACCTTGGAGTGTGCTCGCAAACAAGCATGGATATGACTCAGGGAGAGCGGGGAAGCAACATGGGCAATGGCATGGGGGAGAGCCTATGCTGCGGCAATCTATGCTACCCTGGCAGGCACGTTTGCTAGAACCCAATTTCTTTAGATATCCAAGGTTGACTTGAAGTCAAACCAAGCCACCCAACATCAGTCAGATATCGGAAAGATATGTTTGCTAGACTAGCCCTCTGTGCCGTAGTCACGAGTCCATTGGATACTAAGCTCTAGCCTCTCTATATGTCTTGGATGGCTCTTATCAATCCCCCTCAAGTCAAACAGGAATACTGACAAGTTTCCTCGGAGAATGAAGACGCCCCCAAGTTGGACCTTTCTCCTTGTGGGTCGTGATGTCGCTTACGGGATTTTTCTCTGGCATCCTGCTCTTGTTTTAGCTGGCTCATCTTTCTATCACATGTTCTGGGTCGATCAGAGGCCGATCCTGATACAACATAGGGGCTGGGCAGTCGAAAAAACCAGGACGAGGCTGTCCCATATTACTAGCTCTTCATGGATCAGAGTGGATGTACGTGGAGACCAGGCATCAAGAAATCAGAAAATCAGTAATTATCTCACTGAAAAGCTCGAGGTGAAAGTCCCGACGTCGGTTCTAGATATTACTCATGCACTTCCTGCTCAGGTATTTGACCAGCGAGAATGCCAGGAAAGAATGCTTCTCAATTCCATGAACAATTCAACCCTGTGGATTTCCATCCTACTTCATCAATATATTCCCTCTACGATGCATCTGGCAACTCTTGTCTGTTTCTGTATTTCCACTGCCTCCGCAGTGAAGCATTATGGCTTGACACCCGCCATGGACGTGCAGGATGTGTCACTATCATCCCCCGGAGCTCGGTCCGACAATTCGACGTCAGTGTATGTAGAAGACATGCTTGGTTCGGCTTGTTGGTAGAAGATGCACAGAAGATTATCGTTCAAAGTGCAAGAGAAACCCCTTAGAGCGCAGAGAACAGAGCGCAAAGCGGAAGCGTGAAGTACAAAGAGTGCTAAACCCCAATCCACATAGATAAAGATAGCAACCAACGCCTCGAAGGTTCTTCCCCGCGTCTTCGATAACCATCCATTGCATTAGCCCAGTCGGTAGATCCCGGGCAACAAGTCATAACATTGGCGTGGCTTGAGCTTGATACGCTGTTGTTTGTCGATGCCAATTGCCATGTGTTGCCCGTTAGCGCCGGGAGTTGATCTGAGAGCTGGAGTCCTCGAGGCTGAAAATTGAGGATCCAGCGGTTGCGTTCTATTTGGGGTATTAGCGGCTGTTTGGATACCTTGTTAGACGGGTATGGTGTTGGGGGAGGACCACGGCCAATGGATTGCTCGCCAAACCCCGCAGGTAAAGTTGCTAATTATGGACAATTGCGAGAGTCTAAGCCTATTAATGGAACAAAATTAGCGACGGAATGGACGGCACTTAGTGCAGTTAGTCTGGTCAGTCGACATGCGTATCGCATCGCATCTCATCCCGGTTAATATTCGAGTATCTACTCTAGCACATGTAGAAACTGCAAGGAACGATATTTGTCATTGTTACTTAACCCCTTTTATAGACATTGCAAATGACTCGCACGATGTACTCCGTACCTGACTATTCTACTCGTATTCTCCCCAGTGTAAAATTTTCAGTGTACGGAATCATGTACGACCATTTTCGAGTCAGTCAGCAAGGTACGGTGCAACATTATGCGGTGAGACTGGGAAGTAAATTCTGCAACTGACTAAGAAAGTCGTATTCTGACAGATAACCGGGAAAAAAAATCGAGAGGTTGAGAGACGCTAAAATGGAGTGTGCTGGAGGTGCAGATGTGGTGATGGGGGGTTTAGGGCTGTGATTGGTGGGTGGGAATGTGATAGCTGCGGGATTGTGATGTGATGGCCGGGTCAGAGATTCAGAGATTTGGGGGCTTAATTGTTCCGCTATGTTGATATTTGTCCAGACGTTGGTATTTTGTTGAGCATTGTTGGGTTTTGCACACTGACAAAGTAGTGTTGATATAGTATGAGCATTGAAGACAGACAATACCCTGGTCAGTGTACTTTCACAATGTGAAGTGACAGAAAGTGATGTGACTCGAGTGCATAAGATGCAAGCTAATGCAATGCACTGCAGGGTCTAATCGCATTAATTAGCCGCCGATAAGAATAGTAATTCCCATTTCAGGGCCACAATGTGCCATAATTATCCTGTTTGGGCGGTTAGGTCACTAATAACCTAGCCAGATAAGGTTAGTGCACGGCCCGTCTGCATGACAGGCCGAGAGTCTTGACCAATGAGAGCGCAGGGATGGAAGCTTGGCGTGTCTCTTATCACAATCACATTCAGTGCTATGTGGTGTGTGCTTTGTTGAGTCGGTCAACAGAATGGGTGTAGACGCTCAGAGCCACAGTAGAGTATACAGAGTAGAGTGTACAGAATAGGGTGACGAGTGTCTGAATGTATGGATGTAAATACGGGGAGAACTGTCTACAGTAAGAGTACATGTTTGCCAATCCATATGACTGCAAGCCTGGTAAATGCCGCAATTGACGACAATTAATGCAGCTAAAGATAGCAAATTAACCCACGGGCTGTGATTGGCAGCATCCATGTCGATCGGCCAGGATCATCCTCACCCCGCGCGCTTGTATACAGACCAGCCTGAGAAATGAACACCACCGCAATTCTCCGATCCTCCAAAATAGAAACACTCACCATGTTGCTTTTAAAGCTTGTGTCCCCGGCTGGTCCATTCTCTTCTCTCTATTCCCAGCTCACTATACACACAGCTTCATCCATTGCCCAGTGTTTATTGCTTTGCTGCTGGCCAGCTAATTCATTATTCTGTGTACTCTCAGCGACTCTCCCCCACACACAATGCCTGCCACAAAAAGGAAGTCGACTCCCAAGCCGAGGGTTACCAAGAAGATTGAGTCGGAATCCCCTCCCCCGAAGATTCCCTCTACTTCCATGGAGAGAACCGAAAGACAAAACAGGTTGCACAAGAGATCGCGTTCTGGTAAGTCAAAAAGACAATAGTGTCTGCTCCCAAACGCGGTGCTGACCTACAGGCTGCTTCACATGTCGTCTGCGCCGGAAGAAATGCGACGAGAAACATCCGTCCTGCAGCGCCTGCAATAACCTCCGCGTCCAATGCGAATACAAGCGCCCGATTTGGTGGGGGAATCCCGAGCACCGGAGACGCCAAAAGGAGGAGATCAAGAACAAGATCAAGCAGACAAAGATGAGCGAGCGGAATGCCAGCGTAACAGGTAGATCTTTTTTTTTTTTTTTTTTTTTTCTTTCGTTTGCTTGGTCGCTTTGCGAGAGCTCACGCTAATAATAAGCATCTATAGATCCGCTTATTCGTCGCAACCTCGTCGCTTCGCCTGTCACTCCCCCGGAATACGAGTTTAGCTATCCTGTTATGTCGGAGCAGTACGACCTCTTTGGCCCCTCGCAGATGCCTGTCGCTACTATGGACCCTGTCGCATATGGTCCCTACGGCCCCTACGAGATCGATGTCAAGACAGAGCGACAAACATACATCAACGACGTCCCATTGCGCCACGACTCGTCGATATCCACATTCAGCTCATTTGCTCCTCCCCAGGTCGATGCGCCGCTCCCGACATTTCCAGGGGATGAATGGCTCCAGGATGATTGCTTTACTCAAATCCCAACCCTTGAGGGCATCGACCCGGCTTTGTGCGACACGGACACGGCTGGGAGCTACACAACCATGCAGAGTAACATTCCCGTGAGCGACCAGGATAGACCGCTTCTGGACCACTTTATCCACAATGTCCTACGTTTGATCTTCCCTGTCCTCGAGGCGCATCAGCAGGGACACCCCCGCGCGCAGACCATCCTCCGTGCCCTAGAGACGAACAAGTGCTACCTTCACTGCTGTCTCAGTGTAGCCGCCATCCATCTGAAGACCACAGTAGGAATCACTGGAGAGCAAATCGATCACGAGATCATGCGCCACCGCTACGAAGCCGTCTCCCAACTCTGCCAGGCCCTAGGCCAAGACGTCGACCACGAGGAAATCCTCGACGCAACCCTCGCCATGATCTTCTTCCACTGCTCTGTCGGACCTGCAGACGACTACCTCCCTGACATCCCCTGGTCCGACCACTTCCAAGCAGCCTCGAACCTGGTCAACCGCCTCGGTCTGCCCACGGAGATGCTCAGCGCTGGAAGCCCCTACATGCCCTCTCCCCCATTCAATATGACTCTCGCTGCGTGGATCGACATTCTTGGCTCGACCATGCAAGGAACGACCCCCCAATTTGCCCACACCTACCGTTCCAAGCATCTCAGCGGTTCTTCCTCCGGCCTCCGCGAGCTCATGGGCTGCGACGACCGCGTCATGTACCTGATCTCCGAAATCGCCTGCCTCGACGCTCTCAAAACCTCCGGCCGCATCGACTCCATGGCTGTCTGCTCGCACGTCTCCGCGCTCGGCCAACAGCTCGAATTCACCGAACCCGCCGACCAAAACCTCGAGCCCCTTTACTCCCCTACCACAGGAGCCATCCGCCCCGAAGTCCTGACAAAGAACATGACCCGCCTCTTCCGCATTGCCGCCCGCATCTACCTCTGCAGTCTTGTGCCTGGTTTCGACCGCAACCAACCCAGCACCGTCAACTTGGTCTCCGCCTTTATCGAAGCACTGAACTACATCCCTATGGGACCAACCGGCTACGACCGTTCACTCGTCTGGCCTTTGCTCATTGCCGGCTCGTTCTCGTCGCAGGGAAGTGAATTCCGCACCATCCTCGCGCAGCGCGCAGCTTCGCTAGGCGAGCACGCAGAGCTCGGTAGCTTCGGTCGCATGTACCGCCTACTGCTGGAGGTCTGGCGCCAGGCAGACGAGCTCGAAGACCCGGTATACATGCCCGAGGAGATGTACTCGAACCTGTCTGAGGGATCGGGCTCGGGCTCTGCGAGTCCCGTGGCGAAGCTGGAACGCTCTGTCTCGCCAGAGAACGCGCCTCTGATGGCTGTACCAAAGCAGACGGTTAGCTTCCGAGATGTTATGCAGCGAAATGGGTGGCAGTACTTGCTCATTTAAACCACCAATTCTGATATGTGGCATATGGCATGGGTTTTGTTAATTTGGGAGTTTACAGCTGCTGGCGTTGGAAAAGCGATTCTACATTTTCTTTTTCTTTTGGTCTCTGCTTATGCACGAGCATAGCATTTTATCTATTGTTACTTTTACTTTTCTGCAGGACAGAAAAGACAATTCGCGCATACCCATTTTGTTATACTTGCGGAGGAGTCACGGTGTTTGATGTGTTTTGATTACGGCGATGACTTTATTTTGTTCGATGGCTTTTGATAACCCATATGCATGTTCTGGTTTATGATTGTTAAGTAGAGGCAGTGGAAGTGGAATGGATATTGATTCCGTCTAATTCTTTCTCCTGGCTGATTTGCAACAGCACTACGATAAGTATCAACATCGACAAGCAATCTCCCATTGAAACTAGCAAAGCAAACTAAGCATTCTATTGGTCCGTACACGTACATCTAAGTAGATTATCATTTCAAGGTCTGGTTTAGTAGAGCTATTCAGGCTCTCCTATGTTTTTCCCGTGATAATCGTTGATTATCCACAATATCAAATGTGCTCAACATAGCTTGATATCACATCACATCACATCCCCTATAGCTCTGCCAGCCCATTTCAATTCCTGTAGAACCTATCAACCGTCTGGTTCGTACCTAGTTTTCGGTATGAAAAATTCCTGCGATAACCAACGAGTCTAAACTACTCGGATTTGAGGAAGTTATCGCCTTGGCTTCTATTGATACTAGATTTGAAAGAACAAAAACAGACAACACAAACAGATGCATTTACCCTATCCAGGTCAGGTTGGGCGGACAAAAAAAGTGACAGTTTGATTATTTTCTGGAATAACCATTTAAATTCTAAGTGGTCCAGAATTTACTGAACACCGGTTCACGGAGATGAAGTCTTGCTTTGCTGCATAGTATACAAGGCGTAGCAGGAAACAGAGCAACCATGATGGCAAAGATGTAACCAAATGAATTGATCGTTTGGCTCACCAAAGAGCTTTCCGAGTAGTGCTGACTATTCAGGTCCATTTGCGATGACACAGGGTACCGGATCGATAATGGTAAAGTGCGTATCGTTTCCAATTGTCGATAGAATAGAACATGGATGCTGAGGAGTGCCCGGCAATACTGGTGAAAGTCATATACCTGGAGACCGGCCTGTGAGATGCGCCTCGCATGGTATTAATATCACTGTGCATCAAGGTGCAATATTGAATGGTTTATAACGACAGTCCAATTAAGTGCAGTACCAGTCAATGTACTATGTATGCATTGAAAACAAACTCCTGTACGTCAGCCGGGAGCGGATTTTTTTTTTTCGGATTGGGGCTTGCAAAGTAGATAGGTAGCTGACACTAACGGAAGTTATTGAAGAGCTCCCGCAATGTTCTATTTGGGTTTAGCAACCGCAATATCTGGGTTCTTGGAGACGTATAATTAACCAGGGCGTTGTGTACCTTGCTTAGCATTTTTGCTCTTCCCTACCCTTTTACGTGACTAGTCTTGAATGCCCACGGGTACGTCAGAAAAGTTTCATCTGTATAGAATCACGAGTGCAATTACCTTTCTCGGCTTGATGATTCGCAATATCATCAAATGCGGTCATTGAAGTCAACTTCTTTTATCTCGGCGATGGTGTCGTCGAACATGTTCTGAGTAGCTAGGCTTGTATTCTCCGTTGCTGTTGTGGTAGTTGTAGTCAGAGCTAGGTGTGTTTGCCTTTGAGCATATTTGTTTGGGATATCTGACTGTCGACCGACCCTATATTGGTCTTCCAAGTTTTCGGCGTGATATAATCCAAGAAGGTATCGAGAGTCTGTAAATGTTAAATCTAGTGACTTGTGCAACTATTTCCCTTTTTTTATCACAATCCGAATGGCTGCTGAAGTCCTGCCTATTTAGAGTTAGACACTCGCCGGTGAAGCAAGTGTCCCTTCCGGATGTATGTGTGAATGCGGATTCATCTCGAAACTAATCGAGCCTGAATTAATGGCTTTCAGACTCTCAAGGTATATTATGTTTGTTAAAGTTATGTTAGCTTCGTTGAGTATAGATGCATATGGTGATTTTCGGTTGGAAGGACATCTATCAAACGATGAGGACAATATGGAAGGCATCTCTCTATGCTTGCATCCAGACCTCGCTACCGACTGTCGGGGAAAGCTCTTGGTAGGCAAGAGTCATTACCATCGTTTGTCGATCTGTAGCTTGTCATTTCGTGAAATATAACCGACTTTAGCCGGTACAATTTGGTCCCATGGTTACGCCTCAAAACGATTTTCAGCACTTGGATGCGCTGACAAGATGATGAAGCGCGGCGTCAGTTTGTCCATGAACCAATTGTAGTATAGGATCGAGAATATCCACTGAATGATGGCATGTTACATCATTTGAAATCAATGCTTGGGTTGCTTGTATCTCATCCATGGATCGCGGTCAAGTGCCACTTCCTATACACCTAAAAGGCTACAGCATCCATTTCCCTTTTCCTGAATACGCTTCTTATCAATGTTTCAAGAGGAAAAATGGACAACGGCAATAACGACATTCTCCAACCTTCCGATAGCCTCCGACACTCTCGGACTCTATCAGAAAGTTTCACCGATCCCCTTCCTATCAGCCACCGTTACCGTTCCTTCTCTGTCTCTTTAGACGACGAGAAGCCACCAGAGTATCATATCCCTATCGCTGGGAGAGAATCACTAGGCCAGCCGGAATCCCGTGGTCGGGTAGTTCTTACCGAATACGATTGTTATAATGAGTTGGGCTTTTGTTTTCCTACTTGGAAGAAATGGATGATCATCAGCGTCATTTTTCTAGTTCAAGTTTCAATGAATTTCAACACCAGTCTGTATTCCAATGCCATCTATGGTATTTCGCGGGAATTTGGTGTCAGTGTGCAGGCTGCGCGGTGTGGTGCTATGATCTACCTAGTCACTTACGCCTTTGGTTGTGAACTATGGGCACCCTGGAGCGAAGAACTGGGCCGCAAACCTATCCTGCAACTCAGCATGCTTCTTACCAACCTCTGGCAATTGCCAGTTGCTCTTGCGCCAAATTTTGCCACTGTCATGGTTGGCCGGGCCTTTGGTGGTCTCAGTTTGGCTGGTGGCTCTGTCACATTAGGAATGATAGCAGACTTGTGGGAGTCGGATGACCAACAATATGCAGTTGCCTGTGTGGTGTTTTCATCAGTTGGTGGCTCAGTTCTTGGGCCTTTGATAGGGGGTTTCGTGGATGCCTTTCTGCCATGGCCTTGGGCCATGTGGATTCAACTTATCTTTGGCGGATTTACGCAGATTCTCCATTTGCTACTTGTTCCGGAGACCAGGACCTCTATCATGATTGATAACATTGCAAAGAGAAGACGCAAAAGGGACGGTATTCCGAACGTTTGTGGCCCTAATGAAGTCCTACCTTGGAAAGAGCGCTTTTCCATGAGAAAGATTCTCACCACCTGGATTCGTCCATTCAAGATGCTGTTGACAGAGCCGATCGTGTTGAGTCTGTCCTTACTAAGTGGCTTCAGTGATGCGCTGATATTCATGTTCATTCAATCCTTTGGGTTGGTCTACGCACAGTGGGGGTTTGACACTGTTGATGTGGGCCTTTCCTTCATACCCATTTTAGTGGGCTATATCATTGGCTGGCTTAGCATGTATCCTGTCATCCACAGGACAAACATGAAGCGGAAATTAAATCCCAATGATGAGCATGCACAATATGAGTTGCGACTCTGGTGGCTGCTTTATACCGCACCATGCCTTCCTATTGGCTTGATGGGATTTGCATGGACGAGCTTGGGTCCCCCAGTTCACTGGATAGGAACTATGGTGTTCGCAGCCATTGTCGGCATCGCCAACTATACCATCTACATGACCACCATCGATTACATGGTCTGCGCTTATGGTCCTTATTCTGCTTCAGCAACAGGTGGGAATGGATTCTCCAGAGACATACTTGCAGGTGCCCTTACTGTGCCCGCCACGCCATTCTTCAGTAGTATGGTGACCACCCTTTCTTTCCTCTTATCCTGCATTGCCATGTTTAGGGACAGGGCTGACAGGAGATATCAGATATTGGTGCCCCTAATCGTAATCTCGAGTATGCATCTACCATTCTTTGTATGTCCCTCCACTACTGTCAAAAATTTAGTATCCGTCATCAACTTCTAACTTGTTGAAGCTTGTATTGCCGTTCTTCTCGTGATTTCCGCCTATGTGATCTATTGGAAGGGACCAATGCTTCGCAAAAACTCACCATTTGCCCAACAATTGTCCAGTGCCCGGAAGGAAGATGCCAGCCGTCGCACTTCTATGACCTATAGTGGACGGGGGAGACAGTCCCGCAAGAACAGCGGTCAAGGACAGGAGTAGCAACATGAGGTCGTGGTCACAGTTCCTTTGCCCTAGTCGGTCGTGTCAACTTACAGCCATGGCCTGCCAGAAATTACGATTCCCGAAAGCATTGATCACTAAGCGGCCGCGAGATGTCCTGAAATCAGTATAATATTTAGAAATCTTAGCGAATTTAACTGGCCGGCACATAAATACTGGTCTATCATTAGGCTTGATCGCCTAAGTACAAATGCGCATAGCTAAATAAATCGATCATGTTCTTCAAGGTGCCATTATCATGAAAATACTCCATACCCCCCTGTGATAGTAAACATAACCTTAGCTTAGCATTGTGGTGGTCAGCGGCTAATGGCCAGCTGCTAACGGAGCAATATGAACAAATGATGAGCCCTAGCCCTTCTACACGTGATTTTACAACTGGTAGAGATATTTTCTTTGTTTTTCCAGAACCCAGAAAGCTCCTTTTTTCTTCTTCTTCTCCAGATTCGACATTCTTGTCGATAGGCTACCCAGTCTGGATATGAATACCATTTGTTTTATTCACTAGCTATCGAGCCCGTGACAATTATAGATGCAATAACTCAAACTTGTGCATTTCACTCCACAGCTTCTTTTTCTAGAGCAACTGCTTGCCCTGGATTACTGGAATACCTAGGGACTGGGCATTTCAGCCGCCAGGGGGATACTGTAGTATGGGTTCTGCCACACGGTGGTATGATCGAGATTCTCGAACGCCAGAGGGTCCTCGAAAAAGTTCGAGTTGGCATCTCCTTCAATGATCCAAGAGAGGTTGTTCCACTGCCAATTGGATCCCGTCTGTATGGTGTCGTGCATGTACGGGCTCGTGTTTATAGAGCTCTGGCCTTGCACCGGAAGGCCCGTCTGCTCTTGCGGCTTCCAGAACTGGGAATCCACAGGAACCCCGCTATGTAACTGGGTTGCAGGCCCAGGGGCTTGGGCGGTCACGACGTTACTGCGAATGTGCATTTTACCGAGGAGTGGAACGATCAATGTCAGCTCTTGGACACGGGCTACATCATTTTCTTGCTTTAAAAGTTTTTTGAGAGCAGACAGGGTGCGCATCCCATGCTCTGCAAAGTCGGATCCAACCCGGTCTTGCGACCTTTCTCGCATGAGCTCGATAACTTGAGATACTATGCCTTCGAGCCGAGGCTTATCAATTAGAATGCTACTCTGATCCATCGACGGCCAGCTGTGGGACGTGAGAAGGAGTACAACACTTGCCGTGAAGGCCTGTAAATCTAGCATCCGGGAAGCGAACATTCCAGGGGCCAACTTTCGGCGCACGAATTGGTATCGTTGTGCGACAGATGTACACGCCTCCATGCAGGCCAGCCTCCCATGCAAATATTCTTCCTCGCGATTGTGCCGTAAGGCGAGCGGGAGGTATGCCCTCATAATAACGCAGTAATGCAACATCTGTACAACGTGATCGGCTCTGAGGTCATCCATCGCATCGTGCGCCCACCAAGATGCCGGCGTGCGAAATCCAAGATTTCTTACTCCCCGAGCAATATCCAAGGCCAATGCATACAGCTTTGTGCAGGGCTCGTGTGTTGCGCTCATATATTCCAAGTCGTGAACCCTTACAGCTATTTCGGTTAATTGACTGAGATAGACCCGCGGCTGAACAACACCGTCAACGACGAGATCAAGGGAGGTGGTGTGAGGATATCGGCGAGTATCTGGAGGTAGATTGATCATTATTCCTAACAGCCGATCGACACTGCAAATTGATTCCCAGAGTTGAGCTTTTAGAGCCAGGGTCTCGTCATTGATTGAAGCACCAAAATTCTTCAGACGAAACAGTTTCGATGTTTTAGGAAGCCCCATAAGCTCAGCAATCGCAATAATATGCCGCAACCGAATCCAAGCTTTCTGAACATTACCGTGGCCGATTTGGCTAGAAAAATCATCAGCGTTTCTGGGTTTTGAAGTGAACGATGGAGATTTGGAGAAATATGAGGAAGGTGGTATGCTTCTTACAGCCGAATAAAATGGAGGGCTATTCCAAGCCCCTCAAGGGTGCCAAGCAGTCTATCGTGAGCTAAAATTGTTTTCTCGACTGTCTCTGACACGGCGCGTGAGAACCCCAGTCTCCTTTGTACTACTTGATAATTGTATTCAGGAATGTTGGACCCTTGAGGGACTTGCAGAGCTGTGATAGCCAGCTCCAGAAGCCATGTGGTCATGCGAATTATATCCACATTTGGTTGGCTTATCTCTTCATAGTTCTCCATCATCTCCCGCTGCGATTTTGCTGCAAACGGCTGTGGTAGCATCAATTGCAGCATCGAAAGCCAATCGTGGGTACTCATGATGGTGTCTCTCGTTTCCTCCTTGGTCGGGATCAATTTTTGTAATTCAGGTCTTGCGGCATCGAGCAAATGCGCAGAGGCTTTTGCCCTACGTCCTCGCTGCTGTTCATCATGTCGACCTGTATCGACACTTAGCCAATCGTTCTGAAAGAGTGAACGCAAATGCGATGGCTCTTCTGCGGTCACAATATCGGAGTCACTATGTTCGCTTTCAGAGTCCTCCACTTCGAGGTCGTGGGCTAGGGCTGAATCGATGCAAGCAGACGGCTTTCCGTCTAGTCTTACTTCAATAGCATTGACAATCTTAGTCAAATGGGAGACCTGGGCCTCTAGTTGGGCAATCCGCAACCGGGATGGGAGCCGCTGAGTCTGGCGCGAACGGGGACTAGCCATCTGGGCCAGACACGCAGTTCCCCGTTCCTGGCACTGCCGACAGGTCTGCGCATCATTGGGGATCCGGACACAACGAACTTTCCGTCGTCTACCTGTACCGAAGGATGAGGATCAGATGCAGTTTAAATCATAAACACAGTACATACACTCGGTGCAACTCTTAGCCCCTTTGCGTATGGAAGCTTGGCTTTGGGGAGACAACATGACTAGCCTGTGTACTGTGTACGCGTGATGCAGCTGGGCAATCCCCGAGAAAAAAGGCCCGAAAATCCGGGTTACAGGCAACGATTCGACAGAATGACAAGTCAAGGATGCAGAATTGATGATGATGGTTGGGAGAAGACAGGGTGGTGCGGAACAACGGACGATAATCGGATCCGCGGAAAGCGACTTCTTCCGAATTTAACAATTCAGGGTTGATGAGCCCTCACGGCCTCACCTAACTCCGTTTACCTTTTCTTACAGTCGGTGACTCGCTTCTTAAATCGCCGACGGCAAAGATTCTAATTTCTATAAGACATGCGCTGCACCTTTTCGGTCGAGGAGGCTAGTTTCCTCCCAGACTTCATGCCTTCTTCAGTCTTCAACTCATCAACTTCACGACTCCCGGCTCTTATCACTCTGGCACGATGTTCGACACTCTCGAAAAGCGTGGAGGCCCCTACTCGTCCACCACAGCCGGAATGGGCGGCGCTCCCAGCATTACGCCCGATATTCCTGTGTGTGCTGTTTTCATGGCTCTCTATATCGGATTCGCAGCCACCAACATGACGATCTTCCAGAAAAACCGTCGCAGAGACCACAAATTCGTTCTTTCTGGGATGTTGTTCGGTTTCTGTATGGCGCGTATCACCACGCTAGTCCTCCGCATTGTCTGGGCGACCCGACAAACAAACGTCCGGCTCGCAATCGCAGCCCAGATCTTGGTCAATGCCGGTATCTTGCTCGTCTACATTATCAATTTGATTCTGGCCCAGCGCTTACTCCGTGCCAAACAACCACAATTGGGCTGGCATCCGGTTATTCGGCATGGTGCGAAAGTCTTCTATGTCTTGGTCGGTGGTGCTCTGATCATGGTTATTACGTCCACGGTAATATCAGTGTACACCTTGAATCCCGGCACGCTCGAATCCTGCCGTGACGTCCAGCTTACGGCCATAACCTACCTTCTTGTCTTCACTTGCCTTCCTCTCCTTCACATCGTCCCTGCATTCTTCCTACCTCGACCTAAACAAGAAGAGAATTTTGGAGAGGGGAAAATGGTCGCCAAAATGATTATTATCACATTATCCACCTGCCTGTGCATGCTAATTGCAGGCTTTAAGGCTGGAGTCACCTGGAGTCCACCCCGACTAATAACTCACCCCGCGTGGTATCATTCCAAAGCCTGTTTTTACGTCTTCAACTTCACCGTTGAGATTATCATCCTTTGTCTGTTGACCTTTACTCGCATTGATAAGCGTTTCTTTGTTCCGAATGGTTCCACTCGTCCTGGAGACTATACAAATCTGCCGAAGCAGAATTCAGGAGAAGACCTTTATGCTGAGTCAAAACTAGCGGCATGATCTTGGCTTTTCCTTCCTTTCTTTCTTTCTTTTATCTGAGAGGCACTTCCTGCCACATGCTTGGTAGTTGGTGATGCCCGTAGGGTCATATAATACCTGTTATAGTGTTGATATTTGGGTTTGGAATAGACAATAGTTAAAGATGATCTACAAAGAGATCTATACGTCCGGGCTCAATTCCGGGATACACTATCCTTATTACGACCAAGCTGCGACGCTCACTTGAAGGAACTAAGCTATATGTACCTTATTCAAATGTCACGCTTTTTCCCCTTGCGCCTACAGCATCAACACACCATTCAGGAAGAGTATCAGCACAAACACACTCAGAGTAGTGAAAAGATACATTGTTCATAACATCATCTGACCTATGGTATATGTCTATATAAAGAACTTATTCATTTTACCTCACTGTTAAAAATATAGATATTTTATATAGTGTTGCCATGTGAATGCCTGCTTATCTCTGCCTGAACATACAGGCACCGAACTACCACACCAACCTCACGTCTTATCTCTCTCACTTTTCCCCCTCAAGCCACCTCGTCACAACCACCAACACCTCACCAACCCCGTGCAACAACGCCCACCATGGCAATAATGAGCATCGGGTCCTTTGCGACCTTCCTAATCGTCTGTCGTACGTCCTCACCCCCCATTTCCCCCATTCATCTCAATCTTTATATTAACTGAGCTACAGCAACATGCTTCTTCCTCGGCATAATCTTCTCCCTCTTCCCCTACGACTACCCAATCCTCTGGTCCACCTCCCCAACTCCAGCCTCGCATTACGACTACCTCGAATCCCACCTGCGCTTCCTTCACGCCTCCCCGCCGTTAATCCCGCGCATCCTCCACATCGTCATCTTCCTGGGTCTAGCCGGTCTCCTGACGAAACTGTACAGACCCTCTGAATCGAACATGCTTTTCGACGGCGCGTCGCTGGTGCTGTATATGTGCGGCGTTACGGTGTATATCGCGAACATTGTCAAGGGTCTGCGGCTTGTTTCGGACGGGCGGTATGGGGATTTTATCGATGAGAAGGTTGGCGAGGGGGTGCTGGACGAGGCGCAGCAGATGGGCGCTGCTGGGGGAGCGGGCGCGGCTGGTGCGGGGGGACAGATACTGGGGAGGGAGGATTCGCTGAAGGTGCTTTCCGCGAGTAACACGATTTTGGCGCTGGTGCTTGTTGGTGTTCTTGTGCTGCAGGCGGGGCAGTGGTATGCAGAGAGGAAGGATGCGTTGGAGTTTGAGTCGTTGGATGAGACGTCTGGTAAGGAGGGTGAGGAGGGGACTGGGACTGATGGAGATGGGGAGGGGACCTCGTCGGGTGTTAAGGTTGGGGGTGGGAAGAAGGGGTTGAAGAAGAAAAATTGAGTTGCTTGATGTGAAGGATATCGTTATGTGGCTTTGTACGAATGCACTCCATTCTATATACAGGATTCAACTCCATTCATGGTACGGCCATGCTGGTATCATATGCAACGAGGGGGAATCATAACACGTTATATACAGCCAAAATCAGACAAAATGAGGTGCAAAATCACATATGTAGAGTCTCTGGCGCGAAAGAGAATGGACTCCGGGGTAGGTCCGGTGATCTCGGACTCAGCGCCTTTGCGAATAACTCCTCGCCGGAGTCTGTGTTAGCCGGCCCAGCCAACGAGTTCATGGACGCGAATCCACTGCTGCTGTTGTTCTCGTGTTGTTGCGCTTGAATCGACTCGGGCGGCGCCACTGCTTTCACCGCAGGTGGGTTGGGGTTGTGGTTGTTGTGGAAGGAATTAAACGACGAAACGGCGACATCGGGCGATTGAGGCGAGAGAAGACGCGCAGCAGATCCTATCACCATTAGCACAGCATCCAACCCCATCAAAATGGAACAACATACCCTCCCTCGGCGACAACCCTTGCTCACTAGTTTGCAATTTTAACCCCCTAAGCTTCTCCCCCAACTTCCCGCTCCCACCAGGCGACACCGGCGTCGTCGGTCCCATGGGGTAGTTCCTTCCGTGACCCTGGGCCCCGTTGTCGTTACTGTTATCCGCATTGGGACCTAATCCAAAATGCGTCTCAATCCACTCCTTCTCCTGCACAGCCATATGCAGCGCAATCCCCTCTGCGTTGCTCAAACATTCCTCCCGGATCTCCCTCTCAAGAACCTGCAGCCTCTTCTTCGCCCATATTGTATGCAACACGCCCTTTTTCCCAGCTGACCGACCGGTAACACCTAGTTCGGGCGGGAATATCGCAGGGAGCGGGTTTAGTTGGATCGTATTCCTCCCCTCCCTTGTCTCTGTATTTTCACTTGTCGATTTCGCTGTCGAGTCCAATGGTGTCGACGGATGATACTCCAACGTGACAATAGGCGGAATCGTCACATCCGGCGGCAAAAGAAAGTAAAACCTCCTCGTACTCTCACTCGTCTGCTCATCAGCCGGCAAAACAGCCTTCTTCCCTTCCCAGAACACATGCCATGACCCCGCCCTGCTATCTTCCCATTCGATCATGAGGATCTTAGTCCCGTCGTTGGCCTTTCCGGCCTCAAATTCGAAGCGGGCCAGCGCTGTGATGGAGATATTGCTTGGTGTGGAGGGCTCGGGGGCGGCGCTGTCGGGGGTAAATGGGGCGGTCATTATCGCGGTGGTTTAGTTGGTTGGAGCTGTGGCTTGCTGTGGCTTCCTGTAGTAGCGTGGGTTGGGCGGTTAAGCTGTAGGATCGATGGTGTTGGGGGACTGGGGGACAGCCGGATTGGGTAGGTGAGGGGGTGTGTACATGAAGAGGTTGGCGGTAGTGATGATCTGTAGAAGCTATCCAGAACAGCACAGGTATGGGGTAGGGAAAAAGTTGGGAGAGAAAGATGAATGAATAATGGTGATTGAGGGGTGTTCTAAATATAGAGGCTTGGCATCTGACCATTATTCAGACCGATGCTGTCATGACAATAAGCCGGATGCATATTACTATGTAGACGGATTCGGCTTGCTATGGCTTCTAGCTATCCAAGTTCCCTCACATTTCTGCACGGGGTGCTCTACGGGTAACAGCTGCAAATGCATGGACAGCCAAATGAGAACCCCAGAACAGCCACAAAGGAAACCAATCAAGCACCAAACAAATCACTAACAATCTGCAGAACCCCAGGGACAAAATCCAATACCAACTGACCGATCTCGCAGCGAAGTGACAGTGACGGGTGATGAGAGCATGGCAGAACTGCAGTCTCATTGGTGACTGTCCGGATGCATCGTCACAGCGTCTGTTGCCTGTCTGCCTGTCTATGTGTCCAGATCTCAATCTTCAGCTGCTATCAGATGCAGTCAGAGAATCCGAATGTCGCCGGTGATTGTAATTGTGCTCCGCGGATGCTCGGTGCTTTGTTGTACTTACAAATATACAACAAGTACTTGTATATGGGTACTCCGGTCCGGTTTCCTTGTAGATGAATGTCGTGGTGACTACCCAAACGGTCAATTCTGCAGAACAAGTATGTACCGGGGCAAACTGTGATGAGATTCTCACCTTGCAGGATCTGTGATGATACTGCCTTAGCCCCTCTTATTGTTTGCCCCTCCAGGTGGTTATGCTGTACACCTTACTCCGTAGTCTGGTTCGGGATATCTAATCGTATTGCCAGCTTTCCTATACCAGAATAGACTTTATAGAGACAACAAACACCCTCATCTGAAATCCACTCCCCTAAATCTTCTATACAAGTACAAAAAATACAAGTATTCCATACAAAGCACCCAAACCGAAAACCAATAATCCCCGTCCGATCCTACCACATCCGTACTAGCGCCGGCGCTTAATGAGCACTCCTCGATGCGCCGGACACCATCATTTGACAACAAATGTGATGCAGTGAGGGGTCATTCTTAAAGAGCTTTTTATAGCACCCAACTGAGAACAAGCGCGTTGTCGACCACTCAGAGCACTTATTTGCTGACGGGGTGTCCGAGCTGAAAGTCTATGTGATGATTGACTGTATGTATGGGATGGGTACGGTATGGGACTATATGATACAGTACGGTGTATTGCGTTTACAGACCTATCTATGCCCTTGTGTGTACGTAGTACAAGTTGTTTGTATAGTGGGGGTTATCGAGTCAGTATACTAACTACCGACTCTCTCTCCAACTAACACAAACTAGAATGACACACTCATCGCGTACTCCGTACATCCGTAGCGCAACCCAACTACTTCTCACCCGAAAAAGCCAGAACAAAGAAAACCGGACCCTTCCCCGTCCAATCGCCAGGAGTACCAAGCCCCCGGGTCTGCCACAGCGCACTACCACTGCTTATCCAGACACCCGGTGAGCTTTGTTTGGGTTGAAAAGGGCCACTTGTACACGTGGACGGCGCGGAGTCCGTGGATCTTATAGGTTTGAGAGGTGACTGGGGTGTGTCGAGGTCAGAGTGTGTTTACGTATGCGATAGGGTAGAATGGGATGGCGCAGGAGGTGAGTGACCACTCGGAAGGAGAGGTGGACCAACATGACAGAGTTAAATTATCGGGGATTTGTAGAGCAGGGTCATTTTAGGCATTTCATTGCATTGCCATGTCATTAACCCTACGTTGCCGATGCGTCTTGTACCATAGAAACAAAAATATCAATTGAACACAAAACTCCAAACTCCACATGCTAATCCCAACCCAACCAACAACACAAACCCACCCAACCCACTAACCCAAACACAAGGAAAGAAACCAAACTAAACATCCTTCCCCTCATGATACCTCCTCCTCTTCCCCTTCCCCTTCGGCGGCGCCTCCAACTGCATCCTCTTATACGTCACCGTCCGTGTAACAACCTGCCGCACACTGACCGATCGTCCACCCCCGCCGTGAGTAGCAGTCGTCGCACTCCGCGGCTCCATGTATCGTAGTTTCCAGTCCGATGGCGAGAACGGAGAGCGTAAGGTTGTCGCACTCCGCGGGGCATCCGTCGCCGAGGTCGTGATGGGAGAAAGATGCATGGATGGTGGAATGCGTAGGCGTCGGAGACTTTGGTGCTTTCTTATTGCGCCTGGTCCTGAGGATGTCGGACCCGTGCCTGTGGCTGTGGCAGGTGGTGGTGGCAGCGTAGCAGATTTGACAGGCGGTTCACGCTCATGGAATCCAAACGTCCCACTAACTGCACTCGCCGGCTGCGAAGCCGTCGTGGACGTGGGCGTCGGCGCAGAAGTAGGACCCTGACTCTGTCCCGCAGGCCCCGATGGTTTATCGAACTGGAACCGAGAAAAACTAGTCCCCGCGCTGACGGGACTCGTGAACACGGGCGTCATAGCCTTAAGAAACTCAGTGTAGGCAGTTGGAGGGGTAATCGGCGTTGCAGTGCCAGGTTCATGTTTGAGGGTGTCTGGGGTTATAGAGGGTGTTTTGGCGGTGGTAAAGTCGTCGTGGAGTTCGGAGGGGAAGGTTGCTGTTTTGGGTGTTTTGAGGGGGTGGAGGAATGGCTTTGCTGGCATTTTGGCGTGAACAGTTGGACCGTGGTAGGTGTAGATAATAATGTAATAGAGTGGTATAGTATAGGTAGGTAGATGTAGATGTGGGCGTGGTTGTCAGAGCGCAGAGGGAAAGCGCAGTATATAATAACCTCAGCAACAAACAGAGACACCAAATAAGGGGCAGCTCAGACTATAATCCCTGCCAACAGCAAGAAAAGAAAAAGGAAAATGTAAAAAAGCGAAGAAAAACGATGAGAGGATGAAGGATTTATCTCAATGCAAATGCGGCGGCTAGTGTATCGTACCGTCACGTAATAACGTGTATTATATTGGTACCGTATCGTAAGCCCTAGGCCGCTGCATACAAGTCAACATGTGAAAGAATTGAATAACACTCCGACGTAGATATTCAGGCTTTAAATATGTTGAAAGAAAAGGGTGAGTCTAATTATAATAGTCGCGCGCCAGATGAATCAACGACCGTGGAATTCTCCTCCAACACTGTCCAAGCGACTTCTCCGTTTCGTCCTCGCGCTATGCGAGACTCTAGCATCGCATCTTGCATCGCATCGCATCGGCGCCTCCGCAGCCAGCGCAGTCTGGCGTTTCGGTCGTCAGGACGACTGTTTATTTATTTCATGTATCGATTTCGATATGAACGCTTCGTTGGCTGGTGTTCTTCAGAGGGATAGATGGTGAAGCGGATGTGTTGCAGAACCGGCTAGTTTCGTCAAAATCGATATATGGCATTGGACATCGACTGGGGTGTGATATATTCGCTGGGCACTATCTTGATAGGTTCTGCAATGGAACAGGGGCCTGGGTTCGATATTACAGTAGTGAATGTTTGTGCTATTATGCGGTGCTCAATGAGGAAGTTGCTGCGAGATCAAGGAAGTTGACCGATGCGTTGAACTGCGGGTTGTGTTGATGCGGCAATTATGGCCATTTGGGTTGTATGAATAGTTGTGAAGTTTGTTATAGATGTGAGTGACTAGAGATACTGGTAGAACACTTTACATTGCTGGAAGTAGTTTACTGTGGTCGCACTCGATTAGATTAGAATAGACATTCAAGATGCTTCATGCCATAACATAGTGGTATCTTAAACAATAACAACAACTAAATGCACACATGCAATGCTTATACAGTAAATGTAAAGAAATCCCAAACCCAGATGCAACAAGTTACCGCTGATACCGCGGTAACGACTCATCCCCATTCGCTCTTCCCCCAACCAACTCTTCATCCTCATCCAGAACCGGCGCACTAGGCCCCTCCTCAACTGGCGCCCCATTAACACGATGGGACGACTCTGGATCCTCAGGTGCGCTAGTTTCCATCATCAAACGCTGTCGTTCCAGTTCCAGTTTGTCGTCTCCATGTGTCGGTGTAGAAACAGGAGGCGCGCTGGGCCCGTCCATTTGATGATGCCCATGTTGTCCTGGCATGATCGTGTGCACAGACTCCGCTGACATGACGGCTCGTGAGATCCCATTTTCACGGGCGGGGGCGGAGGGAACGTGGTGGTAGCCGTTGATGTGGTCGTCTTCGGGGAGGACAGGGGCTGTTGGAGTGGCCATTTCCGCTGTTGAGGGCCCACCTTCTGATGACTCGGGGGGACGACTGGGGAGAAGTGTTTCTTCCGCTTGTCGGAGGCGTGCCTTTTCATCCGTTGGTTCCTCAGCTTCAGGGGTTGTGACCATCGGGGCAAAGGGTTGATGATGATGATGATAATGCTGGAGTGGTTGTGAATAATTCTCTGCATACTCTCCCCACGGGGCCTCTCGGAAGTACTCGTACCCATAATCCTCTTGAACCGGATACTGATACTCCTCCGGAGCGCTGGGTACAGAGTTCGGATCCTCCGGCCACTCGCCTCCTTCGGCGACAGGCGCATTCCCAACTGACGGTGGAAACTCTGATCCAGGGGTTGCAGCAGGCGTATTACTACTGATAGTAGTAGCAGCCTTGGCACCAGTCACCCGCTGTGAGTCGCGGGTTCCAACCACAACCTCAAATGCCACTGCAATCACGCCTTTTGCCCGTCGGATTTGGTCAGTATCGAGGATGTTGCCCGCCCAATTGGAAGTGACAGCAGTCGTCCCACTAGTATCGGCTGGGTTGAGAATTTGCCCACTGGGCGAGAATGTGCTTCCGCTCGAGACCATATTGAGCCGCGGGAGGAAGCGTTCTGGTGACGTGAGCTTGCCTCGAAGATCTGCAACCACCTCTACGTAGTATCGGAAATGAATCATGCCGCCTGGCGTGCGTGTTATTGTGGGAAAGGCATCCTCTGGGATCCGGATCGATGTCCGGACAACTGCGGTCATGTTGGTCGGGTCGACAATCAACGGAGCGAAAGATTGAGACAAATCTTTTCGAAAAACACTGCTGCTGCGGCTGGTGCCTATTGTCAGACCCCCAAGACCCGTACGTGATTTTGGATAACAATCCTCGTAAATCGGTCTCTTGCCATCGTCCGAGTATCCGACCGGGATAGACGGATGCATGTCGACCCGACCCTGACGGTATAGAGTAATAATAATGCCGTGCGCACTGCGCACCTGCCTACAATGGTTAATGGTAACATGTACAGGTAATGAATCCCCTGGCAGCACGCCAGCGCGCAGCACTTCGGTTTTGGCGGTGATGGTTTTATCGGGTGTAGAGGGCGTGATGCTCCGTGTTTCGCTATTCCGCATTCGTGTACTCGCGGAGGAACTTGGGTCGCTACCGATTTGGAAACTTTGACTGCTGTTGCTGAGCCGACTGGAGGAACTGACGTTACTGGGAGCTGGACTGAGTGGAGCGCGATGATCCGAAGTCGATCCCCCACCGTTCATCGAGGGCTCTCGTGAGAGCGTATCTGCCGTTGAAGAAGTTGCTGCTGCTGGTGGTGGGGTGGTCGTTGTCGTTGTTGTTACTGTTGAATCTGTCGCTGGCGATTTCCCTTTGACTCTGGATTTCGAGCGTCTGGAAACAGGTTCCAGAGTGACGATGCGAGCCTTCGGTGCTGGAAATGGAGCTATGTCGATGTTTTCGAGAAAATTAATGCGTCTTTTGCAGGACATGGTTGGGTTGATCGTCGTCGGTTTTGTTAGGGTGGACGTAAGCATATAAGCAATGGTCCCTCGTTCAAACTGCGGTCACATTGTTAGTATATTCCGCGAGAGACGCCACGAGTAGAACGTACATTGATACTGCTGGGCAGGGGATACGGCGGAAAGCCCATCTCGAACCGGAACTTGTAGATGCCCTCCTTGAGACGACCATCTCCGCACAGGACAACCTCATCTTCAAACAACGTAGCCAAGCCATTTCCCAGGTATTCCGACCCTCGACGACCGCGCCCTGGCCCGAGAGATCCCACGTCCGGGCCCGCCTCACTGGCCGGCACCGTATTCCTGTGTACCTTGACCACCCCATGCAGACAAACTACCAGATGTGTGATGCGGACGGGTCGTACGACGGTCAGAACAACGGTACCTTTGATCGCATCGCCGGGGAAGTAGGAACGCCAAGGATCGTCGGGTTCAATGTAGATATCGCTGATGCTGCGATTTCGGTGACCCAATTGCGAGCGAAAGCGGGAGAGAATTGAGCTGCGAGTGCGCGATGACGAAGAAGGTCGAGCGCCAAAGGAGTCGACTGACATGACCTGCAGTCACTCCTTCGCTAAGTCCGTGCAAAACGGGGGGCGAGGAGGGGGAAGAAAGAGAGGGATGACTGATGGAGTGTAAAGAGTAAGCGTAAGCGAGGGGGTATGTTTTGTTGTTTCCTCGTGCACTCAACCTAGACGCACAGTAACTTTTTCAAGCAATGGTATAAAGTCAAATGTACGCCGAGACCAGGGAGAATGAATGCCAAGTTGAACGATATCGAAGAGTCGCGATGAAGGGAGGGGACAGGCACCGCAGGGAGAACTCAATTTCCCTACAGGTACGAAATCAATCCCAGCAGTACGTTCTCAAGGCGTTTCAAGATTCGAGGCTGGGTAACAAGTCCAGTATAAACCAGCCAGCTATTGAGGTATATTCCGTCCGGCGTCGTCGGGCGCAAAACGTCAAGGAGACTCGCAGCGATTAGGGGCCGAAATCGCAAGACTTTTCTCCTTCTCTCTTTTTAATTTGTATTTCCAACCAGGCAGACTCGGATAATGGGAGGGTATGTGGTTTCTTTCTTTTTTCGATGGACTCGCTCCAGGGATTCGAGGGGGAGGGGATAAGGATTACGATGCAGAGCGTGGACTAGTCGGCCGCATCGTTTCGGACGTGTCGATGAAGGCAGGCAAAACAATTTCTTCCCCGCCCCGGAAAGAATGAGATAGGCGCTGGTAGGGTCGAGGGTTTTAAAAAAAGCGACGTATCAAAGGTGCAGGAAGTGACGGATCGGAATCGGGGATCGATTGTCGGCGGTCGAATACCGGAAGGGGACGGAGACGCGGTCGAGAAGAGAACAGTCGAGAGGAGAGGATGATGCGGATAAAAACGCTCTCAGAGCAATATAACCCGGTTAATAATAAATGCAAGGAAGATGGAGAGGGTATGCTGTGAGTAGAAGGAGGGTGTTGGTGCTGGTGGTGAAGGGAACAGTTCGCGATAAGCAGCGGAGGCGGAGAAAAGGATTCGCGCGTTTGGCACAAGTCAAGCTTTTGCTTTCTCTTGGGCTCTCCACTACTACTAAGCACCCGTATGTCGTGGGGGTTCCGTACTGACACAGACACTGTTGGAAAATACATGCAGAGTGTTCTGTACACAATTATATCTCCCGCAATCCCTCGCCCTCCACATATTCCTCCCCATAACACTCCTGCTGCACTGCCGCGATAATTTCCCGATCCCCGCCGGCGAGCCTACCCAAGTACTCCTCCAGGATGTAGATGTTGTCGGTCCACTCCTGCACCGTCTGTCGCAGTGTCTCCAGTTCGGCCTTTTTCTCCTGCACGCTCTTCCCCTCTCCGTCCCCTGTAGACGCCATGACACCCTTCCACTGCGCCTGTAATCCCTGGACTTCCTTCTCTAATTTCCCTTTCTCACCCAGTAGCCTTTCTCTCTCATTCTCATTTCCGTCGCCGTCGGCCTCGCCCCCGCTCCCGTTCGCTTCGGCCTCCCGTTTCGCCAACTGCTCGGCCAAACACGATCCCACTTCGTCGTAGCTCGCTTGGGCCTTCTCCACTTCCTTCTGCAGTTGACCGAGACGAGTCTCCCGCGCTTTTTTCTCGTCGCTCCCGAAACACCAGTACCAATTCCCGCTTCCGATTTTTTCCACCCGGATGAGATTTTCGTCCGTCAGGTTCTGGATGTATTCTTTGACCTGCATGCCGTTGATCGAGGCCACGGAGGGGAGCATTTTCTCGAGGTCTTTGAGCGTGTGACAGGTACGCGTGGATCGAAGGTGGGAGATGATGAGGTCTTGTTTAGCGCTTTTGGAGAGTTTGGGGGGCTGCATAGAATTTGGTAATTAGTTGGTATTCTGTTTTCTCTCTTTATTGCTTTTGTTTGATATACTCCAGAGTAGTAGAGTCGTGGGTGGGTAGACAGACCATGGTGTTTGTTGATCAACGGCTGTAGCCGTCTAGGAACTGTAACTGTCTGCTTTAGATGCCAGTAGTCATAGAAAAATAACAGAAATGCAAGGGGGGTATAATGAATATCTGTGGTGATTCTGACGATGACCCGTTGTTTGGATGGAAGAGGCGTGTCGACGAGTGATTGTCTGCCTGTTTAGGAAATGAAAGAGGCTCAACAATTTCTCCGGAATTTTACTACTACAAACAAAGCATTCTATTTATTTTCCCTGGCTTTGAAAAATTCTAAAATATCTAGTGTACAATCATTCAATAATATAGGTAATAATAAGCTCGAAGCCCATGAAGCAGAAATTAAGCTATCCCTACACAGTGTATCTGCGCCTAAGACAGGGTAACGACAAGATAGACCAGAGCTAGGAAGGACTATTGACGGGCTAGCACCATGCAAGATTATCTCACTATAATATCCTATTTCTCTCCCTCAGCAGTAACCCTAACCAAGCCCCACGTCAGACCACTATCCTGTGCTGCACGGAGCGGCATACGGAGGATTGTCAGCTCATGTTCCCAAGTCGATGGTCATCCTCTGACTCAACAAGGAAAGTCGAAATGAGGAGAGCGATCTCTCTCGATAGTCAAAAAAAGATGTTTTCGATATTCGTACGAGCAGTCCTCGAGATCGTCTCAGCTGCCTCGGCGTCCCATAGTAAGCACTAACGTGATATCAGGAACAGAGAAATTCCCTGGCATTTCTTGGTGAAATGCAAATGAAATTGCGTTTGGAAATAGTAGGGGTATATTGCAACAGCCATCTCCATATAAAATAAGGTCAAGAGTATATAAAGCCGCTTGCACGTCCGAGCAAGCAAGTTGGGATTCTACAGCTTATAGCCATTCGGAGCTTCAGGGAGGTAACCTGCAATGATTGATAGGATCTCATTAGTGGGGCAGAGTAGCTTCGATTCTGGATATTCGTCGTTTGTGGCTAGAAAGAGAGACAGGATGTCAGCCAACTAATGTGGAGAGTGAAAAAAAATCCCCAGACAGGGTCACCGGAATATTATATACATACCTCTATGGTATGGGAAAGATAATGTGAGTCAAAAACAACAACATCCGTTGCCTTGCAATATTGCAGATAAAATTGTGTTCGGATTATGGTAGGAATGAGTTATATCAGCCTGCGCGTTTTGTTTGTCGAGCAAAAGATTATATAGCTGCGCCCGCAGCTAGAGCTTTCTCTGCCATACCTGGCGTTCCTTGGACTGCCACAAAGGGGATCACATTCAGACAACGATACGGAAATACCACATTGGCCTTGATGCTCTCTCTTCAATGGACCAAATACCACATATAATCTTCGATAAGCTTTGATAAAGCGTTGATATGTCGGTATAAATTTCGATAGTTATATAGTGTAGAGCACGTCCGGGCCAATGAGTTCAGTTTTCCAATTCGACCGCGTTTCGTCTTAAAGTAGTATTCATGCCAACCATAAATCGCCTCATCGAGCCACTTGGCTTCGCCAAGGGGTTGATTCTGCACAGGTTATTAGCTGGTGGCGCACGGAGAATCGGGAACGACGACAGGTTTACCATTCTAAAAATGTTGAGTTCTGGGATGTAAAGAGATCAGAAGTTAAAGATAGTGGTGAGAAAGTTCGAAAGATCTTATGCAGATTCTCGCTCTCGATTGATTCCATGCAGTATCCTATGAAGTCTGAGAACATGTCGCTGTTTCAGACGACCACCGATGAAATATATATACAAAGGATAACCCATTTAGTGCCCAGGGCTCTGTATAAACCGCGGACTGCCTCAATTGAGAAGGTCTGTTCCGCGTTGCGGAGAAGAATTGCCATAGCTATCAGTCGAAGATAGCCGTTTTCTAGTAAAAGCATCAACTTTGTTATCCGGTATCCCTGTGTTCTTAACATACTGTTCAAACGTCAATGACCACTTCATTGATGGATTGTCGTGGTCTTTAGCAGGAGGTGTAGACGATAGCACCAAAGAGATAAAGGTGGTGATGTCTTAGGCCCGGGGGCATATATATACTAAGACGAATGATGGTAGAGAGAAAGAAAGGAAATGTTGCCCTTGCTTTGTTGTGACATAGTGATTGAGAAACCTGCCTGTCAATCCGACATAGGGGAGGATACGAAGACCCTTATCTGTAAAAAAATCCGGGAGGAGAGGAGGGGAGAAGGCGATGGAACAATTTGCTGCTCGTAACTACCTATCGGAAAGATACAGAAGTCCAAGAGTATGACTGATATGGAAGAGCGCTGGTAGGAAAATATTTTCCAGGCATGATCCTTGGAATCAAATAGGCGGCAGGCCAATCAATGCAGGTAAAAAGATCATAGTTATATCGCATTATGGGTATCTTATCGTAGCACACGGAAAGCAACAGAGCAAACCCCATCCGCCCATCGAATCATTCATCATTCTCTACCCGCGGTTTCTCATCCGGCTCCGTGTCCATGCGAGACATGAGACGCGGCCTCTTTACCCGCCTCCTTTTAACCACGTTTTCCAAATCATCTCCCGAGCTGACCATCGTACTACTTTCCCGTTTGCGACTCATCCGCCTCTTATGTCTCATGGATGGCAACCGCTCACTATCCGAGATCCTTTCCCCTTCAACCAATACCAAGTCACCAGTTTCACCCAATGACTCCTTCGCCATCTCCTCAAGGAGGATTCCCATTGCAATCAAAGCCGTCTCATCCATGCTCTGGTAATCCTCTTGTCCGCGATCAATCGTGGCATGGTCGTAGAAGTCGGCTGAATAGACATGGATCGACTCTAACAGATCGGAGCTGGGGAGCGGGAAGGTAGGCGGAAGGTTCTCATGCGCAAAGTAGAAGTCTGTTTCCTCGTAGCGGGTTGGCGCATTTAAACGGCGGAAGAGCACTTCTTCGGGCCGAACTGGGTTCGCGCTGGTGGATGTTGTATCTCGGTATGTGGAGGAGTAAGGGACTGCGGAGAGGAAGCCGTGGGAGTTCAGGCGACCTGCATTGGATGGTCAGCGCATTAGTATCGCAATGCACGGGAGAGAATATATTTACCAGCAACAGCATCGTAGACCGTGGCTTGCCTCTTTTGTCGCGATATTCTGGCATCGAAAGTCTCGTCCACTTCCTCTTTCTCTGGAGGTTGGACGAAGTTATTCTGGCTCAATGCCAGAGATTTGCCGTATGACATGGCCTGGTATGCATCTGATTTGTCTGCACCAGAACATTGAGAGTTTTCAATCCATTGTTTATCCGAAGCAGAAACAGTTCAGTTCGTCAATTCTTTCATGTGGTTGAGATATCCCGGCGCAACGTTTATCCGTCTCCGCTGACGTTGAAGTGGCTAGGGCCTATTAGGGATATGATTCCTCAAAACTCTTTTGGTTATTTATGAATAAGGACAGATGAATGAATTCGTATATTTTGAACAGGGCCATCGGGTCTATTTCACCGACGACCTTCCACGTCGCTCAAACTACCCGCCTGGTTCACCATCTTGAGCCCGCTCCCGGCATTCGATTCTCTAGTCGCAGACCTCAACAGGTAGGAAACACCACCGAAGAGAATGAAGAGGGCCCAGAAAACGAGTTACTGGCGCATAAGTCTGGTGTGAATGTCCTGGCAATTGATCAGTTCGAAGGACGATGGTAAGCGACTAGCCTACATCACCTCTTTAAAGTGCTTTGGCTAAGCCAGACAGCATGGTATCCGGAGGTGCAGACGCATCAATTCGACTATGGGACTTGGAAAGTCGCGGGTCAGAAACGAACCACATCCACACGGCTAGTTCATCTGCTACCAGGGCCTCACACGAGGGAGCGCATACCCATGCCATCACGTCCATCTCCATCTATCCCTTCGATCCGGTCCCATCCACTGTCTTAACAACCTCGCACGACGGCACGCTCAAACTCTCGGCTCTGGAACCAGAAGTGATTACCCCGGTGCATACTTTTAATCTGGACTGCACGCCATACTCGCATTCCCTCTCGTCGCATCCTGGATCGACGCTGCTTATCGCAGTCGGCACATCCGAGAAATTGGTCCGACTACTAGATTTACGCACGGGTCTATCGACACACGGTCTTCCAGGACATAGTTCGTCAGTATTATCTGTTTCATGGGCTCCTCACCAGCCGCATATCCTCGCGTCTGCCTCTGCAGATAATCGAGTAATCATCTTTGATATTCGTCGAGGAGGGCATAACTCCGCCATTACGACGCTGGACATGGACGATGCAGTGGGTATGGTCCATCCGCAACTAGCTCCATCAGGGTATCAAAGTCGACCAATGTTTTCGCGTCATGCGCGCGCGCATAACGGCGCAGTGACTGGCGTGCGGTGGACATCCAACGGTTCGCATCTAGTGACTGCAGGTCAGGACGCACGAATACGAGTCTGGGATGCGACAACAGGTGCAAACACTCTGGTTCACTTTGGTCCACGCGTACGCAATAGTGCCTCCTCGCATCTGGCCGAGCGAATACCCCTGCTCATGCCACGGGGTCTCATGGCACCAGGCCGTGAAACACTGCTCTGGCCCAACCTCAGCGAGAAGGACGATCGCGGAGAAATCTTCATGTTTGAGCTACGCGAGGGATCGTTTATGAAGCGCCTCAAGGTTCCTGGGTTAATAGTTGGACGGCAACAGTTCCAGGGCCGGTCTACTGCGCTGAGCGCCGCGCGGATCAACGATCTCGCATGGCGAGGTAATGGAGCATCTGGTGAAGGTCTGGAAATGTTCTCAGCACACGGGGATGGAACAATTCGATCATGGGTGTCCAGAGAACCCGAAGGAGAGCCAGATGAAGCCGAAGAGGCTGAACAGGCTGATCGGAAGCGTAAGCGAGATGTTCTAGAAAGTATTTACCAAGGGTTCGTAAACAACAATTCATAATCTTATAAGGTAAACAATGACCGTCATATATACGACGGGCGAAGCGGGCTCGCCTATCTAGTAGCTAAACTAATTCTATCATACATGCTGGCAGAAGCTCCCAGATAGGAACTTGCCTAAGATTCTTGGGCCGCAAAGCGGCAATATGCATTCTGTGGAGGAAAGGGGACGAAGGAAAGGAGGGGTAGGAGAGGAGGGTGAAAAGTTTTCAAAGTGGGGGATTTAGTGTGCTGGGCATACTGTGTGGTAGAAGTGAGATCTTTGCAGCCATTTGTGGAAATTTCTTGTTCCTGACTTCGTGCGCAGGATCTCATCTACCTGCTGGTTTCCCCATGGGTGTGGGGACGCCTTGCGGCCCTTTCTGCAGTAGTAGAAGTGGTGGGGGGTCTTTAAGTTCCCACATGAGCATTCTAACTTGGCATCTTCGTGTCCAAAACGCTCATGGTATTCGGCAAAGTCTCCATGGCCTGTCCGGGCGGCTAAAAGTCGGCCGAGGATGCCTCTAGGGAGGGATAGTTCGTGGGGTTGTTTGACCAGGCTAATAGAGAGATCCTGGTATTGCTGTGGTGCGTTTTTAGTCCAATATGACTGAAAACGTCGCCAGAACTCCTCCTTCATGGTTCGGCAGGCCCAGGCGTATCTTGCAAGGGGGGGAGTGATCTGTGGGGTAGATCTAGCTCCTCTTTTTGCTTGCTCGTCTGCAATTTCGTTCCCTCCAATACCTGCATGTCCAGGGATCCAGCAGACATGCACTTTTCCAGGTGGGATCGCCGTGCATCGGGGAGACCGATTGGGCCAAGCATTTGCGGCTTCTTGGAAGGCCAGGATGGTGTTCTGACTGGAGCCCCTGGGGAAGCCC